ACACACACACACACACACACACACACACACACACACACACACACACACACACACACACACACACACACACACACACACACACAACTGTCCAGTACTGTGAAGCTGGCATTTGGGTTTCTACTGAAAAAGTACCATTTCTCTTAACATCATTTTAGGAGTAGACACTGAGGCTTCAGATCTTGGTTCTTTAATACTTTCTGGTTGTTCTGGAAGAATTGTAGCCTGTGTTTTTCCCCATCCTGTAAATTGTTAACACTCTCTGTGTTTATTTAGAGATTTCCCTTCTGATTGAGTCAAAAGAAAACATTTCCCATTTTTGAGCAACCTAAGACTTCCAATTTCCTTTTTATTTTTTCAAGTTCCATCACATGTTTTCTCCTTCTACTCCTGATCTCCATCCTCCAGCCAGGCCTCTCCCTTTTTCTGATCTTTCTGGGAAAGACTCTACTTTCCATGTGGTGAGGGAACCACCCTCTGATGTCACCAAAGCACACCTATCTATCTTCAGGTGAGCTGCTTCTTCCCTCCTCAGTTTTTTCTAATGAAGTATTTTAGTAAGGGTTTCAGAGATAGATGTGCTGGACACACCTAGCTGTTATAAGTACTTTCATTTGGTAGTTCATGCCCTCAATATATTATTGTTTGATTGGCTTCCTCCATGTTAAGAACTAAGTTTATGATACAAAAGCTACTCAGGAACCAGTTTTCTCATTTCATGGAACTGCTGAATGGGCTAGGAGCTCTTGACCTCATGGTCCATGGACAAGGTAGGAGCTCTCAGGCTGACTCAGGTATAGCCCTCTAGAAACAAGGCAATATTAGGTGTGCATGCCAACTCCCCTACAATGTACTGTCCTTAGATCCTCTGAGGGTCTGTGATACAGAAAATGTTACAAGCCACTGGGACAAATGATCTCTAAAAAATGAATTTTCATTCAGAAATTTTATGAATTTATAGTTATATCACAAGTTTCATCATATAGAAGCCTACAGATTCTATAAATTCTGCAGATTCTTAGATAACAAGCCTAGATGTTGGCAGGCAAACTATCTTGGGAAACTCAGAAAACACTTGAAGATAGCCATTTCCAGGATGATCTTCCCCTTTCCTTTCTTGATTGTTCTAAATTTTGTTGGTAAAAATGATACCCAGCAGTATTACAAAAATTCTGCGGATAATTCTGAACTCTTACATGTGTTTGTACATGTTTGTGTATGTTCTTGTCCAATCAATTAAGTTGTCCCCCCAAAACATAAATAAAAGGAAAGTTTTCCTTTTTCAAAGGCAAAGGTCTGAAGGACCTTTATATATGTTTTTCTCATTTCAACTGCAATTCACATAGGACTTTTACCTAATCCTAGAATAGCAAAGTTAAAAAGGAATATCAGTGTTCATAGCCAGCTGAGTCTTTTGTTTGTGGACAAGGAAGCTGCTAGGAAAGAGAAGTAACTCATCCAAAGGCACCCAGAAGACTATGAACAGAGCTGGAGCTAGAAACCTTAAGACCAGTGCTCTTTCTACCACTCCTAATTTCCCCTATAAGCCCTAATTGCCTCATTTACTATTCAAAAAAACCCAGACATGCCTTATAGCCCAATGGGAAACCGATTGACAATGAATATGAGTAAGAAGTCAAACCATCTTACTGGAAGAGTTCACACATCCACATGATCTGGATGGGGGCAGGTGATGAGGGGAAGGAGCTGGAGCTGATTGGCAAGATTCACATAAAGGTAGGTGACCAGATGCATTGCGAAGTGGCACCAATGAATGTCAGAAGTGCCAATGAATACCATCCAACCTCTGGTCCCCCTGATCTCTCCCATCTATTCTCCTAGATATTCAAAGTCTTACCCAAACAAGAAACACACTATTCTTCATACACACCTTACAGTTCTTAGCTTCGGGCCTTGGCCACCTGCCTTGAATACCTACCTACTGCTGTATTGAGGGTAAAACTATTCTTTTAGGCTCAGATCTAATACTTCTTTCCAGGAAAACCATCTAGCCCTCTAGTTGTTCATTATTTCTTCCCATCTTGAACTTCCAGAAAGTCTATGATTCTCTTTCTTCTTTGCATTATAACTATTTACAAACAGGTCTCCTTCCCCCAGTGGACATCATAAATTCTTTTAGTTGTGGTCAGTTATTTTTTTTGTCTTCTTTCATTCAACAAATATTTACCTTGTACATATCAAGTGTTGTAGCTCCTGGCTATGGGACTTTAATACTCTGAAAGGACACAGGTAGGCAAAGGGACAAATACATGCTGATATGGGTCAGGTATCGCTGGGGCAGCACAAACTCAGACCACTTTACCCAGTTATGTAGGTGGCAGGGAGGTTGTCAGGAATGGATTCCTGGGAGAAGCCACATCTAAATGGAGATAGGAAGGGCAGGTGGGAATTTATCTAGGCCAACATGCCAGGGAGGCTTTAGAAGATGCATATTGCTGGTTATCTAAATGGCTAGATCACACAGGCCTTCTGCGTCCAATTAGAGAGACTTTCCTGGGAGGAAGAGGAAATCTCTGATGCTCAGCCCTCTCCATCTCTTATAGCACTTAGCACAGTGCGTGGACCACAGCTGATGCTTAAAAGAGTGAATGATCTTAGCATTTCAGACCACCTTTTCATTTAAGGGGCTCATGTAAAATTCTGTCTCCTTATTGATCAGATAATCAACCAAGTCCTCAGAAAAATAAAAGTACAATAAAATTAAATGTTTGATTAGTAAGAAGAATAATGGCTGGAAATTTCCTTGATAAGCAAACAAATCTGGACTGTATTTATACAAACAGGTAATAACAGCCTGAGGTCTAGGTGTCCTGACAGGGCAACTGCAGAACAGCTGGCATATAAGTTCCTTTCCACCTTTAGCTTGTCTGTCATCTAAAGAAGGCCCAAGAGGCAGACAGGAGCCCCTTGTGAAGTTCCTATTTCCAGAGCTGCTTTGGGAGGGAAGTAAGAGTCACTATGGAGAAGGTGTGTGAACCACTGCCTTTTCCTCACACCCCTAACTCTCATAAATAGAGAGCAGGGTCACAGCCTAGGTGCACCCACGGGGAAGGGGGTATGTGCCAGGAGAGCAGGAGGAAGGGAGGAGGCAGGAAATGGACTTGGGTCCGGAGCCCTACCAGGAAAGGGAAACCAATTTCCAACAAGCCTGACTTTCCAGTCAACGTATTCTCAGTGGTTGCCAACTACTCAACTCCTATCCTTGTTAGGAAGCAGGAAGTGTGTACCTCAAAGCTCGCTCAGAGCTCCAGCACCGCGCATACTTCCTGTGCACACTGATCCTGGAACTGGGCTGCAGTGATGACTAACCACTGATGGTAAGGATGGCTTCAGGCATCTTGGGTTGACTTGTGAGTTGTCCTGTGTCAGAGACATTGAGTCTTTTTCAACTAGCCTCTCTCCCAATGAACTATTCTTTCCTCAACCAGATACAATGCTTTTCTTTCTCACTAAACACATAGTAAGAACAACAATCCCACAGTCAGTAAACCCTCTATCAGGTATGGCTGCCATCCTGGAGTCCCAAACTAAGAGACAAGCAGAAAGTTCTCATCTTATGGAATCTTCCTACAAGCCAAGCACCCCACTTACATTCCCTGTCTCATGAAATCACTATGACTACCAGGGAGGGACCATCTCCACTCCTACTTTGCACATTCGAAAAGCAAAGAAACTTATAAACTACCCGATACTTGTGCTTAGTGATCTCCACTCCTGATATACTAGCCAATGGTCCACACACATTGGGCTGGGGTTAGAGTCCTGGCCCTGTGTGTCTCAGGCCTCAGTATTCCTGTCACTTTCCTGATGACTGCTATTATCTGTCTGTCTCAATGAGCATAGGCACTTCAAGAGCAGAATCAATGATCTGCAGACATCCCTGAAATTGGTACCAGAAAGCCTTGAATTCATGCTTATTAATTAAATAAAGCTTCAAAGGTAAACTGGGTTGCTGGTATGAGGGTACAACATAGCCTACTGTGAGCATCATATATAACAGATAATAAACAGTTTACATGGCTCAGAAAACCACCTGGCTTTAGAGGCTCCAAAATGTTCTTAATTCCAGGAGCTCTGGGTCCAAGACCTAAGACATATCTTCCCTTTACAAAGTATCAATCATATTCCCAGCCCTGTGCTTAGTACTCATTTTATGATGAAGATGTTCTCAGAGAAGGCAAAAATTCTTATCGTACACAGTTCAGTAGGACGGAACTGGGTTCTCAAATCTGGCTACTTTGGAAAAGTTGCCCAGACTAACTTTCCGGGTTGTAAACAACATAGCCAAAATTAGAATCATGAACTGTCCAGTTGCCAAGATCATTTCCCCTCAAAATACCCTAAGGGCAAACTCTGAAGTCTTTGGAGCTGACTTAGAGAGAAAATGGGACAGTTACTTAGAAATGTGGCATGTTGACTCCATGGCCTCCAGCACATCACGGGGACATGTCCTGCATGCTCTCCCCAGAACCAAAATACCTTTGTTCAGTCTGAACAACAAGGCTCTGGACTTCTACACAAACGTAAGACAGGACAAAGACCTGACAGAACAGAGCACCAGCAGCGCATCATGGGTTATGGGAACAAAGTGCACCTCACCAAAAAAAAAAAAAGAAAAGAAATCACACACCACACACCAAAGCCTGGTGTTCTCAGCTGTGTTAGTCAGAGCAAAGCAAAGACAATCTCCATGGGCTTTTGTACCAGGCCAGGAGGTACCTAATGTGGGAATACTTCTGAATCACTTCAAGGGACCAGAATATAGCTTGACCTTTCCCTCCAACTGTCCCCAGCCCTGACATCTTCATCGATGTCTCCCCTCCATTCCTCCCAGACCATTTCTTGTTACCAAGAAAATCAAACAGGTCTTTCAGGTCTTACTTGGCCTCAATTGACAATCCAGATGTCAATTGATGGGTGAGATGCCTTGCCCACCCTGCCAAGTGAGACACAAAGGCACCCCAGTCATGCTGCAGGCCTACCTGACTCACACCACTCTGAGCGGCCTTCCTCTCAGCCTCGCCACCTCTGTGCAGCTCTGTGGGCCCAGCCTCCCTTCCTGGAAAGGGGCTGCCCAGAGGCTTGCTGGGCTCGATCTCCTCAGGGGCATGGAGCTCTGGGAGTCTCTGCTCAGTACTCAGGCACCTGACCACGTCTGAAGGTTTCAAGCAGCTCTTCTTAGAGATCTTGGATCCACCAGGGCATCTCTCACCTGCCTCACTCTCTGTTTTCCTCTCATATTGTCCATTCTCTTCTTGCCAGCACTGCCTCTTGCTCTGGCTGCTAAAGGCATCACTAAGCTCTGAGATGACCCTATCAGGGCTCCCCAGCAGTGGCTGGGAGAAGCTATCTTGGTGAGGGTGGATCCCACCCTCTCCATTGATGTGAAGAGGGGTTTGGGTACTAGGTGTCAGAGAGTAAGTTTTGTGGGGTGGAGGCAAGGCTAATGGGGAAACCACTGAGCGGGGATTAGAGCGAACTGACCAACTTGAATAGGGGAGGCTGAGAGGCAGGGAGGGACGAGCCCTTGTTGGCAAGGAGAGGTAGTCCATGTCATAGACAGAAGTCTCAGGCAGAGGAGGCAAGGGTGGAGTCAGGGCCAGAGAACGCCTGCCTGGGACCCCTACAGTCAGCGAGATCCATTCAGAGGTGATGGCATGCATCTCGGGGGACAGAACCCGGCGGGGGTTGGGTAGAGATGAGGGGGCTGGCATGATGAGCTTGCTGTGACTAGGACACTTGAAAAGAAAAGGAGAGAGAAGAAAACAAAAGAAAGAAGCAAAAGATACAAGTGTCAGCAAAAAAGGAGAAAGGAGGAAAATAATTACAAGGGGGCATAAAGAAGAATGAAATGGAAAGGATGATTAAGACACTCTGGTGTCCAAAAAAGAAATCATCTGGTGATGCTTGAGAGAAACTGGGATGTGAAAGTGCATGAGTGCGGGCAGGCAGGATTAGGAGAGGAGTAACAGATGGGTAGAAATAGAAAGGGCTCCCATCAGACAGCTGCCAATTGTGCTAGACCACTTTGCAGAATTGGATTTCCAAAGGACAGTTCCTCCTCAGCCCTCAACTATCTCTGTAACCAGGGCCCTGACCCAGAACTAGGGGGAAAGGTGGCCCAACACTGTCCCTTCCTTTAGCTTTTATTCTTTAGGGAGCTCAGGCGAGTCTTCCAAAAAAGTGTGGCCATTTTGTTTTAGAATCACTATTGGTTACAGTCAAGTGAAAATACCTCCCCGAGTATCCCACATTACTATAAAACAGAATGTCTTGATCCAATCTCACACTTTCTCCTGTGAGATGACAAATATGGATCTCAATTGCACAGAGAGCTCAACCAATACATTATGCCAGAACCCTCTATGGGGGTCAGAGGCAAGCAGGTGAGAGAAGAGGAAATAATCAGAAGATGAGAGATAAAGAGATACCATCTCTGTATCATCCTGGGTCCCCAGATCTCCTGGCCATCCTTTCCACAATTTATATAGTGGTATGGTTACTTTATTCCACAGGATGTCACTTCTACCATGACTCTCCTGCACTTATTTTTCTCTTGGCTTTGGGCAAGTGAGCATGGGTTTGTAATAATTTATTTATTTATTTTGATTGGTCCTGGGGCTTGAACTCAGGGCCTGGGTGCTGACCCTGAGCTCTTTTGCTCAAAGCTAGTGTTCTACTACTTTGAGCCACAGCTCTACTTCCCTTTTTCTGGTTAACTGAAGATAAGAGTCTCATGCACTTTCCTACCTAGGTTGTTTTTTTTTAAATGAGGATCCTCAGGTCTCAGCCTCCTGAGTGGCTAGGATTACAGGCAGGGGGCCATCAGCACTCAGATGCAATAACACTGTTGTTTTTTTTTGGGGGGGGAGGGCCGGTCTCGGGGCTTGAACTCTGGGCCTGGGCGCTGTCCCTCAGCTCTTTAGCTCAAGGCTAGCACTCTACCACTTGAGCCACAGCCAGTTCCACAGCCACTTCCAGTTTTCTGTGGAAATAAAAGTCTCACAGACTTTTCTTGCCTGGGCTGGCTTTGAACTGGGATCCTCAGATCTCAGCCTCCTGAGTAGCTAGGATTACAGGTGTGAGACACCAGTGCCCAGTGGCAGTAACATTTTAAAACAAGTTTGCTCAGCTGGGCGTGGATGGCTCATGCCTGTAATTCTAGCAACTCAAGAGACTGAGACCTGATGATCATGCTTCAAAGCTATTCCAGGCAGGAAAGACCATGAGACACTTATCTCCACTTAGCCCACCAAAACCCAGAAGTGGAGCTGTGGCTAGCTAGAGTGCTAGCCTTGAGGGAAAAAGCTCAGGAACAGTGGCCAGGCCTTGAGTTCAAGCCCCATGACCAACAACAAAAAGTTTGTTCATAATTAATGTTTAGAAAAGCAAACATCTTCCTGTGCCTATAGACTGTGTAGCTCAATGCCTACAGCCCAATGCAGGCTGACCATCTATAAGGTCCCCTTTCCAACCTGATTCCAGTGAATGCTTGCAACAGTACTTTGGACCTGATCTACCTGTCTGAAGATGAGAATGCAAAATACTCTTTCAACTTTGCAAGACAATCTTGACAGACAAAAATTGTAGAAAGGACCACCTTGGGCCAAGGGTTTTATGGTATAGTAGAGGTTTTCACACCACCATCTTTAACTAATAAAGGCTCTGGTTTCTCTTTTTCTACTCAAGCCCACATCAATTTCCTTGGGTTATTCCTTTCCACTCCCTTTTTCCTTGTTACTTGTAACACATGAAAACAAACTCCAGTGTCCAGTCTGCATTGCTGCCAACAGTTCTTAATCACAATGCGCAAGAACCATTCCAGAGAAGCCACACACCATTGGCACATGGGCACTGCTGAGCACTGAAATTCCTGTGCTGAGTATTATAGAAAAGCAGTGATAAGAAGCTTAGATACCTGTGGGCTTGCTGTGGCACTGCGACTTGGGGAGGAGGAATAAGGCAGGTCGATGTAATCCACAGGGTTTTTCACCAGTGGCCTCTTGAGCACATCCACATAGGTAATGGGGAAGATGCCTTGGCGGGATGTTCCTGGAATCCTCCCCTCGTACCAATTCTCATCTACCTGTCGAAGAAGTGTGATCCTCTCACCCTGAAAGACACAGCCAGAGAAGCATGCTTGTCTTACCATACCTCAAAACACCTGAGGCCCCTGCCTGTACACTGCACATCCTTTGCTCAGGGAAAATCTTCCCTGCTGATTCTGGATGGAGCTGACACCATGGGATGGGGAACGCCCACAGCAGTAGAACTTTCTGAATGATACAGAGTTAAGCTTGGTTTTCAAGGATTTCAGGAAAAAGCAGCAGAATATCAGATTCCTGTTCTAGAGTATGAAATATCATGTTTTTGAGTCACTTAAAGCAAAAAAGACATTCAGTGTTTATTTGTAAGGTAAAAACTTTAGAGGATTATCTTTTTCTTTCTTCTTATACCTTTATTTTTTTCATGCATGATAGAAAACTTAGAACATATACATAAAACAAAATAATCACCATTTATTACATTATCATTTGGGGATAATGACTGTTAATGTTTTGGCTTATGAGCCCTCTAGATTTAACTCAATACATATGAATTAAATGTACTCATATTTTTATTAGACTTACTTTATATTAGACTTACATTTTCATATAAAAACTGAGTATATATTATATTTTGCCTTTTCTATTTGCTTTTTGGTATTAACAATATAAAGTGCCCCTTTAGCTTTTTAAAAATTATATGTAATGTAATATAATGTGTATATACATATCCCTCCCTCCTCCCCATACTGACACGGTATTGCTATGTAGCCCAGGCTGCACTTTAACTTGTGATGCTCTTGTGCTTTACCTCCAGATTGCTAGTATTACAAGCATGTGTCACAACATCCAGTATAGTTATACACTTATAAAATGTACATTTTAATGGACTACTGCAAGGCATTCTATTGTTTATACATATGATTTTATCACTAATCCCCTGCTATTGGGATATTAGATTGTTTCCAAAATCTGCCTCTTTCTTTCCTTTTCTTTTTTTTTTCTTTTTGAGGTGTGGTGAGGAAGTACCAGGGCTTGAACTGAGAGCCTCACAGTTGTTCAGTTGGTGCTTTATCACTAGACCTCCTTTAGTCTGACTTTTTGCTGGTTATTTTGAAGATGGAGTCTTACAGATTTTTCCACCCAGGCTGACTTAAACTGTGTGATCCCCTGGATGTCAGCCTCCTGAGTAGCTACAATTACAGGTGTGAGTCACCAATGCCTGGTTCAGAGTATCTCTTGTATGCAAGGCAGTCCATCTTTTGCAAGCCATGAGCTGACTTCTCTCAGTCCTCAATAAAATTAGCAATTTTGATAACTTTAGCACCCCAGAGAATTTTGATACAGACAGAATATTTGAATGCTTTGCAAGAGGCAATCCTCTGCACAGGATAACTATGTGCACAATAGGCATGCTGAGCCCCTAAGAGGCAATAAAGATGGTATTAAGACTAGCATCTGCTGCTTATGTAAGAACAACCAGATGCCACACATCACACTGGTGGTTTCACATATGTTGCCTAATTGAAGCCTCTTTCAAGTACCATGGGAGAGGGCCATTTATCTTCAAGTCGTTTTTTCCTCTATGAGGCACTGGGAACTCAAAGTATTTAATTCCCCACAAGCTCAAGGCTGGCAAAGTGTGACTTTCTGGTACTTAAGTTTTTTCCCCTTCAGCCTATCAATATCTTAGAAACATAAACCTAGTCATCAACAGTGCAACAGGTACTCACTAAGTGTTGGCTGGATAACTTGTAAAAGATGATTAAAGCTTGAGAAATACTATCCTTTGTCAGTGAATTCAATGTAGTTCAGCCCTGATTAGTCTAGTCTTTGTTTAAAATACCTCATCTCAGAAAATTCTCCAAATGCCCTTATTGCAATTTCTATCAGCATATGAACCTCTTAAAACTATAGACTGGCACTCAGCAGCAACATTATATCCCCCTAATAACGATACCACCCAAGAGCCCCAAAGCATATCATAAGAAAGGGAGCTTACCTTTCTGAAAGACATTTCTACTTGAGTATCACCATTAAAGTTAAACTTAGCAATAGCTTCTCCATATTCCAACACCTGCACGGGTGTCAACTTTTTGGGCTGAGCCTTTTCAGCAGGAGGAAGTAGCTGAGAAAAGAAAAGAAGCAAAGAAGACAGAGGGGCAACAAGAGGAATAGAAAGCAACACAAGTATTCAGTAAACACAGTGCTTTGGATATGGTTGGGATTTTTCTCAGAAAGATAAGGGGCTACAGTACCTCAATGTAGGTGCGTGGGAAGATTCCCACCCGGCCATGGTGTTCGCCTTCATACCAGTTCTGATCGATCTGCTTATAAATGTAAACAATGTCTCCCTTCTGCAGAGGAAGCTCCCTGTTGACAGAAGGCCACTGGATTTTAGCAGATGGCTCAATATGTGCAAGATTAAGACACTTATGTTTCTTATCAGGAGACTTCAAGTGGGGTTAAGGGAGAGAGATTACAGAAGAAGGTGGCTCCATATTTGGTAGTAAGAAACCCACTCGTCAGGAAATTACATCACATTGGGCATTTTTCCAGTCTTTTGTGGGATGGGTGTTAACATTCAAACTGAATAGCATTCCAGATTGCTGAGAGGCCTGGTTGGTTTGTTGGAGCTTTCTCAATGAATGTTTTGTGAATACTGTCTGAATGCTTTGAATATTGACACACCACAAAGAGATGCTCCCAAAAGCCTTAACTGATGTTTATTTGAGGGTGGAAAAATGTCTCCTTCTGGATACATTTACTACCTCCTTCTGTGCTGCAGCAATAAAGTCTGCATTGCTCTAAATTACCTGTGAATAATCTGCAACATACCAAGATCCTTCAATCATTTCACCAGTCAGCCAGCTGTGTACCCCCTCATCTCACTATCCATCTCTCTAACACCACACAGTAGGGAAGACTCTAAAGTTAGACAAACCTGGACTCAAATTCCATTCTATGATTTATAGGCTCTGGGGCTTTAGATAAGATACTAATACTTAATCTCTCTGAGACACTATTTCTTTATCTGATCACAGTTGCTAATTCAAAGTTGCGGCCACCAATGCAAAGGAAACACAGTGCCTGTTCTAGACATTCAATAAATGCTCATTTCCTTTCTTTTGAATGTGGAAAAGGGCTCTTGGAAAGAAAAGGGGATTTTCTTTCAAAGTGCTTCATGCCCTTTCCCCATTTCTCCAAATCCATGCCTTGCCTAAATAATGATGACATTAACATTTAACTAGGACTCCTTTTTAAAAAACAATGAGACACCAAGAGAAATGAATTCTTTATGTGACGTGTTACTGTAATCTCTCTGCACATCACCTTTTATAAAAACAATAAAAAAATTAAATGAGACAAAAAGATGGATTAAAAATAAAATGAAAACTCCAGAGGGAAAAAATTATGGCTTGAAATTTTCTTGGATGAAGAAAAATCTTTTTTTAAAATATATTTTATTATGAAAATACTGTACAGAGGGGTTACAATTACATGGGCAAGATAATGAGTACATTTCTTATCAAGCATTGTAGCCTCCTCCTTTGTTTCCCCTTCCCATCCCTTCCCAGCCTCCTCCCACCACCCCCCTATCCAGTCCCCCCCCCCCCCCGCAAGAAAAATCTTTTTCACTTGCATCAAAGTATGGGGAAAAGATCTCTGATTGTAATTTGGAAGGGGTGTGCTACCAATTGTCCCATAGTACATGAGGGATGCCAGCTAAAGAACAGGGCACATCTGGAAAAACTTGCACACAGCACAGAGTTGGCACAAGGTGACTGATCTCTAAATCCTGCACTGGGAGCTAAGATTTTAATCCTAAATAGGCCTGTGAAGAGGATCTAGACATTTGTTTCTGTGAGAAGAAATGTCTCTCACCACATTTTTGCCAAAGCCTTTTGTGAAGTGTCCCCAGTTCTCCTTTTATCCCTAATTGAAGGCAAAAAGCATGAGCAGGATTCTCATCTCTCTACTTCTGCGGAGTGTGTGCAGACTCCTAAGTCAGTGATCCTGAGTGTTTCACAGCATGGAGGGCAAGTAGGAACTGAAACAGTCCTATAACTAATACTAAGCAAAGAAGAAAGACAGCTTGAATGAGAGAAAAAAATCAAGAAGAGGTATGCAGTTGTGGCCAATGGAGATAAATAATGAGGTCTCTGTGGTGACCATACTATATATAGACTACCCCCAGCTCCAAAAGAACCATGTGACCAGGGGCTGGGAATGTGCCTTAGTGGTGGAGTGCTTGCTTAGCATGCATGAAGCCCTGGGTTCGTTTCCTCAGTGCCACATAAACAGAAAAAGCCAGAAGTGGCACTGTGGCTCAAGTGGTAGAGTGCCAGCTTTGAGCAAAAGAAGCTCAGGGACAGTGCCAAAGCCTTGAATTCAAACCCTAGGACTGGCAAAACAAAAAAAAAAACAAACAACAAGAACAACAACAAAAACCCATGTGACCAAATATGATGGTAACTACTAGGAAACAATAGCACAATACACTGATAAACTTTAGGTCTTTTCTGGAATATCATTGCATATATGAGCACAACACAGCAAGGAACCTGGTTGACTTTTCCATATTGTTGAACCATGTGTCTCCACAGCACAGTTTTTTGTTTGTTTTGTTTTGTTTTACAGTAACACAGATAACTTTAAAGGATTAGAAGGTTTAAAATAAGACTCTCTATGGACGTGGCAGTTACTGTTTTCGCTAAGTTCCAATGACTTTGTTTTGAAGGCACAGGTCATGATGGATTCAGAGTCAAGAAGGAACACTCTAGCATTAACAATGATGATAAAGGGTAACAATTTCCCTGAATCTCATCTTCTCATTTCTTCTATCTGAAATGATTGCACACGAGAAGAAATTACTTTAAACTCTTTCATGAAACCTAGGAAAATACATTATCATTACACCCTTCTTAATTCAAAGGGAAAAAAAACAGTTATCTATAGGATTAAACTGCAAATTAATTTATATGCCTTTGACATTCTCCTTCTGGCTAAAAAAGAGAGATAATACACTTGGAGCATTGAATTCTGATCCACTGTAAAACATGTTTTACAGGTTTTACCCTGGTTCCTCACAAGAGAAGCATTTTTTTTAAATCCTCATCATGCAGATAAGGAAGACTAGGGATGAGAGATTGATGGCTTAGACAAAACAGCAGACATCTCTTGGCTGATCAGCTACAGACTGGAGTAAAATAAACAAGTTCAACGTCATCAGATTCATATCTACATTTTAGAAACTGGCCCAGTTGCTTATTTGGCATTGGAAATGGGAACCGCAGTTGAGTAGCCCTCCCACCGTGTTCCCTGTCACTTATGGATGTGAGCTGATGGCTATGGGGTTTTCAGCTGCAAATGAAAGTACACGACCAATTTTAATCTATAGTTAACTACAAAGCTAGCACATAGAAAGATTTCTGCAGCCATGAATATACAGCAAAGTATCTCTTCTAGAGTGGAAGTGGGAAGTAACAGTGGTTCCTGAACTCATTTTTTTACAACAGGATTTTTGTTTTGAGAAACACCTTACAAGGTGTGCACTCTGAGGAATGCACTTAAAAAAATGCTAGTTTCCTGTGGGTTCTCAGAGACCTTTACTCTTTTGGAATGCTGAAGGGAAACTGGCCAAGTTATATTCCGAGAGACTGGTTCTACACTTTCTTGAAGTGTTGGGTAGATGAAGTTGCCACTTACTCAAGCAAACTGGGCCCTATATAGAAGGCTGGGGACACAGTGCCTAAAAGCCCAGCACCTGGTGCCAGTTTCTGTACCTACAGTCCTGCAGTTTCCTTGTGTGTTTAGTGGGGCAAATATGACTATATTCCACAGGGTTCATTCTGTCCTCATTCATGAGGGCTGAAAGAATATTCAACATATTTTAAACAGTGCTTGGTATGTAAACTATGTTATGTTTTGAAGTCCACATTATTCTTTTTTCAACTCTCTTCTACATGCATACTGTTGTGTTCAAAGCAGCAGTGAAAAATACAAATATGACAGGTGGTACTTACTTTAATGTCTGAGCTTTAAAGTCAAATTTGGCTCTGGCAGGTCTCATCTAAATACAAGAAACAATGACAAGTTAATGTCATGGATCATGTCCAATAAAAAGGTCACACGTTCCTAAGTTTCTAGAAAGCAAAGCAGAAAAATTCACTCTATCCAGTTCGTTGTGGTACAAAAATCTGGGCCAAATCCCAGCATCTGACCTTATTTTTAGTTACCTTGGCCATGCATGAAAATTCCCCTAAAAAGGACCAGATTTAGGGAAAAGCAGTTTGAAAAATCTCAATGCTGCAGGAGTTGGGATCCCCCAAAACTTGCTGACCCTAGCTACTGGCAGCCAGAAGTTCCAAGGCATTCCTTATCTACTGACTCACTTCTTAGGACCATTTTCTATTTGCCTGAATTAAATTTTGATCTGCAAATAGTTGAAACTCTGATTCACCTTTTCTGCCAACTTGTATTCCATATTGCTTAGATTCAGTGAGATCACCCCAAAAGCCAGAAAAAGCCAGTCCTGAACCGAAATAAAGCCATCTGCTGAGATTTCCATTCCTGCTGGGACAGCTCTTGCTCTCTCCTCCCAGACACCCCAGCCTGCAAGTCAGACTCAGCCCTGCTCCACATTCTCATCAATTTTGTCATTAGAGAGAGCCCCTGAATCCACAGCACCATTGTGGGTCTGACCTCTGGTTCCCCCAGGCACAATGCTTGCTTTGATTTTACCTTCTCCACACTGGATCCACTGTCACCCAAGAGCACAAACAACATTCCTCAAATTCTTCCTCAGGTCACTCCCTTGCTTTGAGGCTGGCAGCTCTGCTCTTGTTCTTCATATCAGTTCTCCATTTGCAACATTTCTCCCCTCTTACCTCACTGCTTTTCCTATTTCCAGTCCAGCATATCTTCTTGCTACACCTCTGCTAAGTCCCCTTCTTTGTCTATAATGTCTTCTGCTCCAATTCTAGCAAGAAATTCACCTTTACTTACTATATTCATTTAATATCTTTCTCATCTCTAAAAGTAGGCTTTTCAAGCTTTTTTTTTTTTTTTTTTTTTAAGGAAGATAAACAGTAAAAATCAGGTAAATGCCAATGTAATTCTATCCCTAAGCCATGAGAAGCTTCAACCTCTTCAATTGCTATGACTTTTTGGTCTAGAAAAACAATGTGATGAAAATGAAATAACATCATCTCTTCCTTACGAGAAGGGATTGGTTGAGTGGAAGAAAAAAATGAAGGAACATTTTAGTTAAGAAAAAGATTTAAAAGTCATTAAACTTAATGTTAGATTTTGATCCTTCAATAGATGCCCATAGTTGTATGCTTCTCAAACTGAGGTCTTACAGGGTCTTCTTAGGGACTGTGAACTCTCCACAGGAGTTTTGTTTTGTTTTTGGGTTCTGTTTTTGAGACAGGGTCTTGCTATATAGCCCAGGCTAGTCTTGAACTTACAAGCTTCCTGCCTCCACATCCTCAAGCCCAGGATTATAGATGTACCCCACAATGCCCAGCTCTCAACAGCAGTTTTTTGTTTTGTTCTGTCTTTGTATTTCTATGTTGACATTTCCATCTATCTATAAACATACATAGCAGGGAGCAACTGAATGGCCACTTTATAATTGAGTTAATGCCACTCCATTGCAATGCCTATATTTATGTCTGTTTGTAGTCAATGATCATAATTTAAGTTGTAAAAAAGAAAAAGAATGGATATGGAACTAATGATAAAATGACACAAGTTCATAAGAGCCAATAGCAAAAGTTGCAAGTACAAAAAGCTCACAGTGATCCCAAAAGAAAAAAAGTAAGTAAGGTAAACAAAATAGGGGTGCAAAAAGTCACTCTATATTACCCTATTAGAGCCATGTGACTATTCAAATACATACCAAAATAGCATCTATTTATACTTTGGATGATATACAAGTTCTTTAAAAATAATATCATTTATTCATTTAATTAATAAAGTTTATATAGGCATATAGTTTGTTAGTAAATAATTTATGAACTATTTAATGAGTAAATAAGTTTAGGTCAATAATGGTGTCTGGTGCTTTTTTTTCCATTAAAAGGAACTTATAGAGACTGGGCACTCATGTCTCCTTTGTAATTCTAGCTTTTCTGGAAGGTGAGAACTGGAGGAGTGAAGTTCAAAGCCAGTCTAGCAAAAAGCCAGGCTGGAGAAGTTGCTCAAGAGGTAGAACTCCAGTCTAACAAGTACACGGTCCTGAGTTCAAGTCCTAGTACTGGCCAAAAAAGGTAAAAAAAAAAAAAAAAAAAGGAATTCATACATTACTCAAAGCTGAGAAACAATGATTCCATTGAACTCTTAAGACATATGTATGTGAGTTATCGATGGCTAGACAAGACAGTTACAGTCACTTCTCTATGCCCCTCTAACTCATCTTTGCTTCCTCTGGCTCTCATTGTTACTCACTCTAGCATGAGGTAATAAATATGCACAAGGGAAACTCTTCTACTACTAGCCTTCAAAGACTATCCCAACTCTGCCTCCCACAGGAGCCTATACAGAATTAGTTGCCACCCATGTTCTACTGAGTGAGAATAAAGTACAGCTCCACAACACAGCCTGGTGCTTGCTGGTTATTTTCTCACATTTACTAGTCAACTCCTAAGGCTATGGTTCTCCTAATGCAGTCCCTTAAACTGGCACCATCAACATCTCCCTAGCAACTTGCAAATTCTCAGGCCACAGTCCAGATCAAAACATTGTAGACGGGACCCAAGAACCTGCATTCTAACAAGCCTTCAGGAGGTTCTGATGCACAGTCAAATATGAACACTTCTACTTAAGAGGGGAGTCAAGACTTGTCAAAGAGAAAGCACCTGCTTCTGTCCATGGCTACCTCACCTGAGCTGCATCTTCATTTCCATGTGTTATCAGAATGCCTTTGCACATTTCTATCTTCTTCCTCATTCACAGGCCCATAGACCTGGAATGGATGAACCCACACCAGAACCTCCTGGTCAGCGTTGTTCTGAGGAGGAGCTGCAGTGCCAAGGGGGAGGCTAAACTTCCCTTATAGGTGAGCGAGTGACACTTCTAACTTTTGCTTCCTTTTCCTGCTACGTGCTCTTTTTCTCCTACACTTTATAATCTCCTCCCACTCCCCAGATTTCCTTAAGTCAGCGTCCCTTCTTTTCTTTATCTCTTTTTGCTAAACACCTTCTATTTCTCAAAAATAAATAAGTGAATAAGTACTAGCCAATGATACCTATGTCACTCAAAAGCTAGAAATATTAGTATGGATCTACTATACTAAAAGTTTATAAAACTACATATTGTATCACTCCATACTACCAAGCACCCATATGCCACACCCCAGACATGTATACTTCCCCAAGAAGAGACCATCTTCAGCAGAACTAGCTAAGGGTCACATGGCAAAGCATAAACTCTTAGTCAAGAGGCAGCATGTAAGTCAGCACAAGAATTCCAAAGTACTGACCTTGATGTAGGCAGCCAAGATAAATCACTTCAAAGTTTTGTTCCTCAATCCTTTTATAATATGAAATGTTTAAGCTTACAAATGTCAAAAAAGCAATGAAATAAATGAAAGGCCTCTCAGAGATCTCTGTACCTTCTATGGGTTTATCCTAACCACAAGTCCTTCAGTTGTTCAGTGGTGCTGAAGCACTACTAAACAGGTCACACAATAATTAATCAGTCCATACATGCACAGCAGTAAGCTCTCTGATGTTTCCATGGCAATGCCACCAAATTTGGAGGCCCTTATTACTGTCATAAAATATCACTAGCCAACTTCAGTAACATAAGTTGCATTAACTACTTCTTTAAAAATGAATCATTACCAATGTGCATGGCCTAAGGTACATGGCGGTTAAGCAGAATGTACAGGCAACATGGTATCATGATCAAATGCAGAATGGAGAGGACTGGACTCACGGAGGCAGCCAATGCTCTAAACATGCATTAAGGGTGTGCACAGCAGATCCCGGTCCCACAGCCAGGCATGCTTGAACATATAGAGCACAGGACATAATGGGGCTCATGTCCATTCACCAGCCACAAAAGAGCCAAAGCAAGGCTAAGGGAAGCCAGGATGACAGATGCTGTTTGCAAAACTACATTGGCCTACAGAGGGCAATGCTGAGGGAAGGCAAGTATTGCTTTGGGTCAAGCAGCAATTTGAGGTGACCAAAACAGACCTCTGACCCAGATTTCCTTTTTGCAGTATCGTCTATATTGAGAAGGTCCCCAAAGCGCTCATTAGTGATAAACTGATGGTGCGTCGGGATGACGCCCGTGTGGCGTCGAGCTGCAATATCGGCCTCTTCTTGCTCACGCTTAAGTCGTCTCTGGTCCGCTAAAAGTTTCTGCCATAAAATTGCATAAAATGGGCAGTGAATAATCTGGTCTAGGGTAATAGAAAATGGCCAACAAAAGCAAATAAGGAAGATGGTAGGGGGTAAAAAGGGAGGTGGCTTTAAGTCAGAGGGGTGGGTGTTAGGGCCACAACTATTATGTTCCCATGGCAACCACCCTCCACACACCCTATAGAGAGAGAGAAACCTGCCTAGGAGAAACCTGGGGAAGGCTGGAATGTGGGAAAGCATGATTCCATATGACCACATTGTCCAGCTAACTATCTCTGGCTCAGCCCAAAGTCATCTGATTTCTAGCAGCAAAGGGCAGAAACCCAGGGATCACAGACAGGGAACTACAGGTATGTTGGATTGGCAGTTAAAGTTACCTCCCAAAGGTAGTGATATATTCTCACAGTGTATTCCCAAGGTGAGACCAGTACTGGCTATTTTCTGCAGCCCATATCAGGACCATGAAACTTGTTCAGCAACTAAGTCAGTTCTGTGCCTGCTCTGTCAGTTACTCTACCACACATTATTCACAGAGTTGAGCTGTCCAGAAAATGTGGATCCTTTCTTCTAGGCCTGCCAACACTTCCCTAAACACAAGTTTTAGGAGGCCTTAGGATATGCATCAAAGGCTCTTCATGTGGCTAAAAGTCTCGGTTATTATCTTATCGAATTACTTCTTCATTAGGTGAAATGAACTGGGTTTAAAGGAATGCTGTGGAATATAAACACAGTAAAGAAACTAACCATAATGGTACCTAGGGTTAGAGGAAACAGTCTTTTCTCTGTTAAGAAAATAGTCATCAATTTGTTTTAAAGACTTTTTAAAAAATGCTTCAAGTTGGAAGGGTAACATTGATCAAGATCCTCTGTAGTAATTATCTGACTTGTAGAACTGAAACCTATTTGTAGAATTTCTTTAAAAAATAATTCAACTTGCTTTTTTAAAAATGTCTTTATATGCTATTGAAATGGCTTTATAGAATTTTAATGTGTTTCCTTATACCACAGCAATCTTTCATCCCTCAGATTAACATTCCTTACAGGAAAGCATTAATCAGAACTAATAATTCTTAGCATACTCAATAAAACATGTTTTTTTTTGTTTTTTGTTTTTTCCAGGAGGCAATCAACTCCAAGGGATGGTGAGTCCAATTTTTCTCTGAGGTCTACAAATAACAACTCATCAAATGACTGTGGGATTTCCACTGTTTGGTAAGTTGTTACAAAGATTAAATGAGAGAAGACGAGAAAATGAGTTATGAGACACAGGCCATCCAGAGAGCACTGGCCCACAGAGTCTTGGCTTCTAGCTTGTGAACCTCTGTAGGTTCACTTGTTAGGTGGTCCTGGGTAGGCCACTTCATTTTCTGAAATTCCATTGTCATCATGCAAACAATAAAGTATCTGCACAAAAGCAGAGTATTTATTACCTCCCCTCCCCCTCCCGCTGAGACTCAGAGTCATTTCTACAGTGAAAAGACTCAGGCTAGAGGCTGTTACAGTCTCTGCTTAGCCCCACTGGGGCACCAGCCAAGGTTTAACATCATAAATGGAAGCAGACAACTAATGGAGCAAACTCCCAACCCAGTGCTTAAACCTGAGCTTTGTAAATCAAGCAGTTTGTCACTTAACCATGTAAGTTCCAATCTCGGTAATGATTCCAATTATTTTAGGATCTGTGAGCTGCCCCCATTTTGTAGACCACATTTAAGGTATCGTTGTTAAATCAAATGAGTAAATAGGCCCTATTCAGGTAAAGTTCTACCACAAGACTGTCCAAGTTAGATTCTAAGGCTTTATACTTATTACTGAAATGGAATTCCCCCTTCCTCTCATGGCAGTCCAAGCCTGCATACACAGGAATCCTGGGCCTTGGGACAGGAAATACGTAACAAAAAACAAGGAAATGAATCTGTTTTGTCTTCATGGACACTCATCATTAATGAGTTTTAGATCTGGTTGTTACAAATAAATCTGGACATCAAGTGCTTCCTCTTTCTTCTTGCATTCGACAGTATAGGATCGTAGTGAAAACTGTCCCTGGAAGAGGACAGGGACAGGCATGTTCTCTCTCTCTCTCTCTCTCTCTCTCCCTCTCCTTCCTTTGTCTAGTCTATCTCTCGTTCTACTCCTCTCTCTCTCCTTACCATCTGGCAGCAATGATTATAATCATAAAGTTCTGTCAGCTTTACCCTAAATCTTTAGGAAACTCCACCTATACTCTGGAACCACTCACGACAGAAAAACATAGGAAAATGGAATAGGATAGGGCTATAAGTTCATGGCCACCTTCCCTCACTGCCATCTGTTCAAAGAAATTCTTCCATCTCTTAGCTCATTACAGGAAAATGGGAACTAAACTTGTCTAATCTAGAGGACCCCTTTTTCCTAGGAATGTGAAGTCTGGAACATATGCATTGTAATGCTTTATCACCATAGAAGCTGATTTTGTGCATTCGGCTGATATGCAGTTCCACCTCTTCCCAGATCCCTGGGAAAATGGACTCTTGTAGGTCCTGGCAGTCATACTGCATGCAGACATTTTATTAGCTGCAAGAAAATATCCATGTTCTGAAGTTCTTGGACTACCTGTGTTCTCACCAATACTAGTGTGTGTGTGTGTGTGTGTGTGTGTGTGTGTGTGTGTGTGTGTGTGTGTGTGTGTGTGTGTGTGTGTGTGTGTGTGTGTGTGTGTGTGTGTGTCTGAATTAAAGGTTAACAGAGTTAGGGACAATTTCTTCAAATCATTTTATAAAATGTATTGCCACATTATTTTTTGTTTTCCTACTGTGTTCTTCTTTCCTGATTTGAACTATGCTTTGTGCCCACTGAGGGGTGGGTAGTAGTAGAGAATGGATAGGGAAATTTCCTTACAGATGACCAAAGGGGTAGGTTTGGAGGAAGGATGAAAGAATGAACTCTGGTTTCCAGCTTCTGAAGCATTACTGTGTACCTCTTTCTGTGCCTACCTGCTGAGACTGAGATGCTATCTGGTTATGGCATGTGCAGCAACATGCCTACCTCTGGAAAAGTGGACTGCGAGAAGAGTAATTGAGCCTTTGTCCACATCACCCATGAGAAAATGTCTATGACATTTACTTCTTTCCTAAATGCTTTTTTTCCTGCATTAAAATTATCTACAAAGATGAGATTTACCTCTTTATCATCATGACGTCTTCGAATAAACTCTTCCGTTGATTCCAAGTAATCAGCTGGTATAAAATGTCTTGGTGATTCTGAATCTTCAAAAACAACAAAGTTGAGTTAAAACAGGCTAAGACTTAGTGGGAAAATAGGTAAGGAAAAGAGCTCACCTCTCTTCTATCATACCAAATTTCATATCAACAAGAGTCATCGTCAATTAGTGATCAATAATCAAATTCTGAACGAAAAAAACCCCAAACTCATCTTTCCCTTTTGCGATTTACTAGTTTAATATGAAGAAGATTCATCAGAAAGCAAAGGGAGAAGACATTCTATAAGTGTCCCTACAAAGAGGCGTGCAGGCTCTTACAGGGGTGGACTGTACACTCACACACACGGGGCCACGGAGAGGCTGCCTCTCAAAAAACCACAGGTGGGCAGGGATTGATACAAATAGCAAGGGTTTGAGATTCCAATGAACACATTTCTCAGATGAGCTAAACGGCCAATTTTTCTTTCGAAACACAGTTTGCTGGTTAGTCTAAATGAGATGGGGCTTTGTTTTTTAAAGAAGTGCAGCCACTGCAAGCCAAGGGTTAATTGCCAAGCAAAACAAACAGAAGCAAAGGACAAAGCAGAAAATGAGCACCAGGAGAACACAAGGAGGAAGAGACAGAGCAAGCAGAGTGGAGACGGGGGAAGGTGAGACTGGTCAAACACACACAAAATGCCACCTCCATGGGATGGTGCCAGTTCACTTTGTGGGTTGTTGTTCCTGTCCAGGTCATGGTCTGAGTACGGCACGGAGTTCCCATTATTAATAGCCCTTGGACAGTCCTCCAAGACTCCTACAGGTCTCTCCTGAGGGGGTTCTGAGCTGCGGCTAAGCCTGGCCATGGCATGCCGGGAAGACAGGCGAGTGGGCACCAGAGGCTTTGCCCCAGAAGGAGACTGGTCCTGATGGGGCTGACTGGGGAGCTCTGGCTTCTGGCCCACTGGGAGTCCTGAGGAGGAGTCACCAGGGGAAGCCTGTCTGGGGTGATGCTGGAGGGGCTTTTTCAATCGAAAAGGGAGAGGACTCATCAGGTATATGTTCCTGAGGAGGCTGCTCTTGTCGCCCCTGGGATCTGGACGCCAGTCAGTCTGCCTGGAGGACTGCTGCTGTTCATGCTTCCGGATGGTGGTAAAGCGGGTATATGAGGCGGGGCAGGTGCCCTTGCACTTGTTCAGGCGATGTTTGGGGAAGTCTCCATGAACACTGCCACTGCTGCCCTCTCTGCTGTCATTGGAGACAGTTGAACAGTGGTCCAGCTCATCTGAGCAGGTGGAGAGGGGCTCAGAAGGCACAAGGCCTCTGAAGCCCAAGGAGTGGTGTGCCATATTACTACATGTTGGGGAGGCATAGCCCCTTCCCGAGGTCATCCCATCTATCTCCCTGGGACAGAGTTTGGTTGACTCCAGGAGGGACTCTGCTGAGCGGGCTGAGATCAGGCCACTGCGAGACAGCACAGGGGTAGGGGACTTGCTCAGCCTGCCTGACAGGTCCAGGGATGGCATGGATCTGGACCGCTGAATGAGTTGCTCGAAGGCAGTGATGCGGGACGAGACGGTGTGTTTGGGAATGTGCTCTGAGCTCTCCTGGCTGGATCCCAGCTCACCCCTGGCCAAGGCCAGGTTGCTTCTTTCAAAGTGGGAGGCAAGATCTCGCACACTCGAGGAGGAGATGGATCCCAGGGAGAGGCCGGCTCGGTTGATCTGGTGCATATCCCGGTAGAACATAGTGAAGTGCAGCCCAGGCTTTTTGGAGAGGGGGCAGGGCCTCCTAGAGCTGGTGCTGTACTCCTGGAGGCTCATGGTGCTGCTGGACTTGTTGTCATAATCCCGCCGGGAACGCATGAGCAGGTTCTCAATACTTCCCCCCACCTGGAGCGGGAGGCCTCTTTTGGAATCAGTCAAAGAAACACAAAGGTTCTCACAACTCTGAGCCTTCTCTGAGGGCAACAGGACACTCTTCTGTTCCTGCAAAAGAGTGCTGGGAGCAGAGAGCCTGGGTTTGAATTTGGAAGGAAGGATCTCAGAAATGCAAGCTTTTGCAGCTGACAAGGGTTTCTTGTGTTTACAACCAGGGCCTAATGCACTAGTATGAAACGTTCGGCTATGAACTGAAGATGAAGAAATCATGTGAGCATTCCCACCTTTACGATCCACTGGTAAGCATGCAGAATAAAATAAACAGACCCATTAGGTTAAAGCTGAAAGCTGCTTCAAAAAAAAAAAAAAAGGAGAGGTAACATGCTCATTTATCATTAGGGCTTAAAAAATATTTTTTTTTTCCAGTTGATGTCCAGAAGCAAAATAATCTGTGCTGCAAAGCAGGTGCAAAGATGCAAAGAACAAAATGGCCACCTTGCCGTTAGGAAAGGCTGAAGCTCAGCTAATTTCTAAGAAAAGAGAATTAGAACAAAAACAAGAGAGAGATGCTTCGAGGGTGAGCAAGGTTGGGGTTCAGAGAGAAGGAAACCATTAATGCTAGAAAGAAAAATGGCCGACATGAAAATGGGGATGGGACACTCGAGGGCTCAGAGGCCTGGTCATGTATCTGCATATCCATGGCAGGTCCCAGTTACTGGAGGTAGGCCTGCTGTCAACACCCAGGTAATAGGTAAGGAAGACAGAGGCCTGCCACTGCATCCCATAAATTACCTTTAGTCAAAGCTGAGCTGGAGGGTCTCTTGAGCCCACTCAGGCCCTGAAGAGGGATGTCGCCACCTTCCAAGACACTTTTATAAATCTGCCTCTCATTCTCCAAGCTAGCGAGATCCCCAGGAGCCCCATCTGATTCCCTCTTCACTGCGTGGAAGTTGGAAGAATATACACTATGAAGGAGGTCATATTATAAGTGAGAAAAGGGGGGAAAAAGATAAATCATTAGCATTTTAAACATTGTCCAAAAACACCTGATGTTATCATATGAGGCAAAGAACATTTTCTAATGTCCTATTCAACGTCTATCCTTTGTAAGGAACATTCTAATTCTTTATTCTTAAACATAATTTCTGTGGACAAAAGGCAGGCCCATGGGAGCTTGGATACTCAGGAATCTTATTCAAACAGCAAAATTCTCTAGTTGAGATGATTATATTTGTGCTTTAAAAGAATAACTCTAAGCTGGGTACTGGTGGCTCACACCTGTAACCCTAGCAACTTAGGAGGCTGAGATCTCAGGATCACAGTTAGAAGCTAGTTCATGCAGGAAATTTTGTCCATGAAATTCTTATCTCTAACCACCAAAAATCTGGAAGTGGAGCTGTGGCTCAAGTGGTAGAGAGCTAGCCTTAAGCAAATACACACACACACACACACACACAATTAGTGTAACTGTACAATACTCCTAGTAAAGGTATTGGAAGAAAGGTAGGGAGGGGGAAGACCAGAGGTCCAAAGGCTATATACATAATGGTACAATTAAGAACGTGCATAAGGGCTGGGAATATGGCTAAGTGGTAGAGTGCTTGCTTAGCATGCATGAAGCCCTATGTTCTATTCCTAAGTACCACATAAACAGAAAAAGCCAGAAGTAGAGCTGTGGCTCAAGTGGTAGAGTGCTTGCCTTGAGCTGAAGAGCTCGGGGACAGCACCCAGGCTCAGAGTTCAAGCTCCACAACCTGGGAAGGGAGTAGGGCAGGGAGGAAGAAGAATGTGCACGAGAGAACACATGGCTCCAATATATGGTCAGCCAGTGTCAGCCACTTAAAGCCCATTTCCTAGGTTACTTTTTCTAGAGCTTTGGCTGATGGAGCATTAAAATGAAAATGGAGAGGTCCAGCTATCTCGGGTGTCCTAGAAAACCACAAACCAAGTAAGATTGGCACCTGGGGACACTATGTGCTCTTTTACTTATTACTTTTATTATCACAGCCAAGCTGGTCCTGATATGTTGCCTAGGCTGAATCTAAATTCCTGGCTTCAAGAGATCCTCCTAGTTGGGTATCAGAGGCTCACACCTGTAATTCTAGCTACTCAGGAGGCTGAGATCTGAGGATTGCAGTTCAAAGCCAGACTGGGTGGGAAACTCCCTAAGACTCTTATCTCCAATAAATTACTCAGAAAAACAGAAGTGGTGCTGTGGCTCAAGTGGTAGAGTGTTCACCTTGAGCTGAAGAGCTAAGAGACAGCGCCAAGGCTCAGAGTTCAAGCCCCATGACCGACCAAAAAAAAAAAAAGGAGAGAGATATCTTCCTGTCTTAGCCTCTCCAGTAACCGAGACTTCAGGTATCTGACACCATACTCAACCTTTTTTTAAAAAATTCCAGATGTTTTATATATATATATTTTATATTTTTATTGTAAAGATACTGTACAGAGGCATTACAGTTACATGAGTAAGATAATGAATACATTGTTAGGAAATGGAAAGACTTGGAAAAATTATATTAAGTGAAGTAAGCTAGGCCCAAAGAAACATAGGTCCTATGGTTTCCCATATTTGCAATAACTAGTATATATCTGAGACAAGCAGAAAAGGTCAGATAAGTTGATGTTAGGTGAAATGAACCCCAAGATAAGTATTCAAATGTTTTTTTTTCTTTCTTGTGATCGTTTCTAGCATATTTATGATTTCTTTGTTGCTTTGAATGTCCCTCCCCCACAGTATAACCTCTGCTTTCACTGTATTTGATGTTGGTATAATTTGTGGAGGGGAAGGGAAAAAAACCAATCATTTAAATAGGGATACAGGCGGACCCATTGCAACAATGAGATGTACAAGTCGTTATGTCGAAAAATGAACTTTGCAACTTTGGTGGGGCGGGGGGGGGGTGGGGGCGTTGTGGGGGTGGAATGTGGGAGGGGGAAACAAATGATAAGGCAACAATGCTTGATAAGAAATGTACTCATTATCTTGCCCATATAATTATAACCCCTCTGTACAGTATTTTCACAATAAAAAAAGAAAAAAAAGATAATGAGTACATTTTCAATCAAGCATTGTTACCCCCCTCGTTTGTTTTCCCCACCATACCTTCCCACCTCCCCAACGCCCCCCCCCCCCATCCCCGCCAAGTTGTAAAAGTTCATTTTGAACATCGTGTCTTGTATAACTCATTGTTACAATGGGTCTAGGACTTCTTGGCACAGGCCAATTTCTTAATAAAGACCCAGAAACACAACAAATCAAAGAAAAGTTGAACAAATGGGATTACGTGAAACTGCAAAGCTTCTGCATGGCAAAGGATATAGCTAGCAAGATCAATAGAAAGCCCATGGATTAGGAGAAGATCTTCACTAGCCATACAACAGACAAGGGTTTCATATCTAAAATACACTTAGAACTCAAAACATTAAATCCCCCAACAACACATCCACAAAGAAACATACTCAACTTTTCAGCTAAACTTTACACTCACTTCTTACATTATGGCATCTACTAGGCACAGAAGCTGTTGCCCATTTATAGTCTTCATTTATGTTTTATCTTGTTAGAATCTAGGTGTTTTTCAAGTTGCTACAAATTCTTTTTGAAAGTACTCAGTCACCAAGCCTCTCCCTTCTCTAATCTCCCTGGTTCTGTGCCTCACCACTGAGGTGCTGACACTGACTGGCAGACATACGCATCTGCACACTCTTCTCAGAGAAGGGAACAGTATCGTTTTTTACAGAAGGACACAGATTTCTGCTAGGTCTGTTTCAATTCTGCTTCATTCAGTTTACTAGGATCATTACGGATCTGTCGGCTTTGGGGTTCCACAGCTTGATGAATTCCTTCACCCCAGTATTTTACTAGATTATCAAACACAAGAAAAGCTTAAAGAATGACAAGAGTGGCCACTTATAACCCTTGGTTCTACAGGTTATACCTAGACGTACTTACCTTATACACATCTAGTCATCTGTCCCAACCATTCACCAGCAAGGGGAATTGTGTCCATACTACCACACTAGCCATTCCTCTGTACAGATAATGACAGCAATAAATCTAGCTGCCACCCAGTGAGACATTCCAAGTGGGAGGCATTATGCTAAGTGCCTGATAATCATCCACTCTTGAATCCACACACAATCCTACTTCTGTCACTTTTCAGATGAGAAAATGAAGCACTGAGTGACTGGGCGGCCTGTCCAGGAGGCAATGTTAGCAGAGGCAGAGTTAGAACTTAGTTCATGTCATGTAATGCTATGTAGATGGCACTTTCAGCTACTGTTTTTTGTTTTTATTTGTTTATTGTCAGTTGTGGGGCTTGAACTCAGGGCCTTAGCTCTTTTGCTCAAGGCTAGCACTCTATCACTTTGAATCATAGCACCACTTCCAGTTTTTGAGCAGTTAATTGGAGATAAGAGTTCCACATGGATTTTTCTGCCCCGGCTGTCTTTAAACTGTGATCCTCAGATCCTCCTGAGTAGCTAGGATTACAGGCGTGAGCCACCAGCGCCGGGCTTAGCCACTGCTTTATGTAGAAAGTTTGCTACCTATGACAGAGGAGACAGTGGCTTAAATGCTACAGGAGCCAACAGGACTCAAGGATACTTGAGTGTCGTTACAGCACTACCACCAAGTAACACCTGCCAGGAACATACTTGGCCAAGGAATCGAAAATGGGAAAAAGGAGGAGCCTCTGTTGGAATATGAGGCTGTCTCCATCTTAAAGTAGTTAAGTGCCTCTGGGCAATATGGCCACCTCCCCAAGGAGGTCACACACTCCAGGCAGCTGCCACTAACTAGCACTAACCGCTCCCTTATCACAGGGGTGTGGTCTATGCCAGCTTCCATCCTGCTGCTCTGTGGTCCTCTGAACTGCCTTGTCTCAGCCAGAACTTCCAGCCATCTTCTCAAGTTCCTCTTCACTTCATTCTCTAATGACTCTCAGCTACAAGTGGCTGCTTGACTCACACTTCTCTACCTCACCAGCCAGCCCTGCTCTGGCTGTATTCCACCATTTCTTCCTGCTTCCCACAGACTGACAAACCAGCATTCAGGAAACCTCTCAGAATAGAATTACTACAACCAATTGTTTTCTTTCTGATACCAAAGGCTGACAAAACAATGCTTTCTCCAGATGTGTGACATTCTGCAATAGAGGTTCTCAGATTTAAAATAAAATATCTAGGAGCTCTGGAACAATGTTTTCTTAAAACATATCATCTCCACCAGCTCTCCTAATGGTGGAGGCACAGTTTCTTCCATTGTTAAGAGGGGGTAACTGAGGACCAGAGTGGCAAAAGTACTTGCTAGATCTAAGTAGATCAGAGAAGAGGAGAGGGCCCTGAGCGCCAGCTCATTGAGAAAAGCACCTGGATGTTCTCCAGGTATCTTAAACCCAACATGTCCCAAAGTAAACCAGTTCTGTCACTCCTCATCCCCCAAGCCAGAAAGCGCAGGGAATTAGTCCTTTCTCTTTCTTCTGGGCTCAAGCCCAGACACCAGATCCTGCTTCCTAGCCGGGCGCTGGTGGCTCACGCCTGTAATCCTAGCTACTCAGGAGGCTGAGATCTAAGGATTGCGGTTCAAAGCCAGCCCGGGCAGGAAAGACCGTGAGACTCCTATCTCCAATAAACCACCAGAAAACTAGAAGTGGCACTGTAGCTCAAGTGGTAGAGCGCTCGCCTTGAGCTGAAGAGCTGAGGGACAGCGCCCAGGCCCAGAGTTCAAGCCCCATGACCGACAAAAAAAAAACAAAAACAGATCCTGCTTCCTGTTCAAGATATATTAACTCCTTGCTTTCTCTACCTTCGTGGTTATCCCTCCAATATGGCACATCTACAACCCTGCAAAAGCACACCAGCAGGCCAGTCTCTAGTCCTGACGCTTTCCAATCATGGCTGGGCAATACTAGACAGACATCATCTCAGAAAGGTATCATCATGTTAATCCACGGCTCATTTACTCAACAATGTTTGCTGAGCCCCCACTATGTGTCAATCACTTTCCTAGGTGGAAGAGCCTAGCAGGGAACATACTTGCCCACACTTCCAGCCTTGTGGAACTTGTACATGCATTTTCAAAAACATGTGGTGATCTCAGAAAACAGAAATTTAACTTGTTAACTGTGGCTTTGGAGTACAGAATCTAGACAACCTTTTAAAAGGGTTTTGTGCTGAAAGAAAATTTGATTTTTTTATAGTAGTAATATTTTATAATTATAAAATTATTCATGTTTTATCATCAACTCTATAACGCTTTCCTTGATTTTCTTTCTCTTCCACAAAAAAAGTGCTCACTCCATCTTGAGTCTATCATTACATTTATCATACTGGATCCCAGTTGTTATTTACAAGTCTGTTTCCTGTGCTATACCCTGAAATCAATGCAGACAGGCAGTTTATTTTGTTCAACTTTGCATGTTGCTGCCCAGCATGGTTGTTCAGCAAATACCAGTAGAATAAATGATTGTAAAAGAAAATGCCTACGTGTGTGCACACATGTTTCTGATACGCATTTACAGCACACAGAAATCTCCAGTGTTTCACATAGTTCTTTAGGTTAGTATTTATATTTTGTTCAGAAAGTACTCTGCTAAATAGCCCCACCTCCTAAAGAGCAGCGTATCTTTGAGTGCCACCTGCTGGCCAAATAGAGGAAGGCTCTTTTGGTCAAGCAAAGAAAGTATCCATGTTAATTTGTGTTGAAATAGTAAACAAAGAAGTAAATAGTAAACAAAGCCGGTAAGTAGCTCCTGCAACCAATTTAAAGATCTGATGATGCTAGTGAAACAAAACAAAATAATTAGAGGCACACAGTAACAGTCACTAAATAAATACTTTTTTGAGGGAAAGGCCTGGATATCGAGACTATGGGTTAATTTCTTCCTGTCTATTTTTAATTTAATATTGCTAATGATCACTTTCGTGTGGAAGCAGGTTTAAAATATCAATTCTCTAGCTGTCACAAAGTGGTAAAGTTGTCACAAAGTTGGTAATTCCTGTCTATTCATTCTTTGAGTTAGATCAAATTTTCCCAGTATTTCCTCCAACATGTCATCCTTATCTGTCCAGAAAGAGGCCAGTGTCACTTTTCTCTCTTGCTTTGGTTCTGGTTATTTTTGAGACAGGATCTTACTTTCTTACTTTCTGGGCGAGCCGGGCTGTAATCCTCCTATTTATGTTTCCCATTACAGCTGGGACAACAGGTAAGTACCATTCTGCCCACTTTTCTGTTGAGATAGGTTCTCATCAATATTTTACCTGAGCTGGGCTTGAACTAGATTCAAGCTACCCCCAAAACAAGTATTTAGCAGCAAAAGTAGGAGGCAAGAAAAGGTACTAAACTGAGCCTGGATATAGAAAACTCAGTCAGTACTTAACAAACGAAAATATTTGCTACTTACTATGGATCTACTATTCTCTTGGTAGGGCCATAGTAAGTTAAGTATAACATTCATGGGATCATGGCTGGATGGCAAAGTGCTAAGAAAGGTAATCTGGGAAAGAACTCACGGTGGTTTGAACTCACAGTGGCTACCCCATGAAGCAGTGAATGGAGACAGTATACACCAGGCAGCCTCCTAAGAGCTGATAACAGGGTAACAAATCCACATGTGAGAACAAATAAGCTATCCTCTTCTTGATTCTACACTCCCATGTCAGATCTGGCCTGAGTACCCAGACCCACTGTCTCTATCTTTTATACCTAGTTTAGCTCATCCCTGCCTCATTCCTTCTCTTCTCCCTGATAATCCACTTAGGAGAACTCTGATTCTAAATGGAGACAAATAACCTCATATCAAAGGTAAAGACATCATCATGGGGGGAAAAAACTTACCAAGGGTAATACCAATCATCTCAAAAATTAATTTGGAAGAGGAGAGAACAAAAGAAAAATAATTTGAAGAGTATAATTAGGTTGCTACTTCTTACCAAAATACACATCATTCAGCACATACAAATGAGTGCACACAGTGGATAGATATGAGAGAAACACAAGCATCTCTGGTGGCAGTTCAAACATTTCATACACTGACCATATAAACAAAGCACGTGACTACTTACTATCCAGGAGGCTCTGAGGAAATGTCTGCCAAGGGGCTGACTGTTGAGCTCTGTAAAAGTCAAACAGAAGATAAAACACTGTAGTGATTTGTTTTGACTCAGAGGTTTCAAGTTATGAGAAAGAGAGAAGCTACTGCCCTTCCCTCATTTTGATAAGGGCCTCTGGGAAACGAGGGCCTGGATGAAAAGGCTTTGGTGCTGGCAAAGGGCTGTGCTCATCTTTGGGAAGAGGATTTGGGAATAGTGGTGTCTGTCTCTCATATCTTGATCTTTTGCCTCCCAGTAGCTATAGCAGCTGCTCTCTGGGAGGGATACGAGATGGCTTCCAGTCTCATCTTTATCTTCAGTTGCAGTTCCAATAGGCCCACCACCAGACTAACATGCACAGCATGCCCTTCACCAGCATTTCCCAACCCTTCGTCCTCCTTCCCAGTCCACTGCAAATCCCCTCCGTGCATCCCAAATGCCACACCCAGAGAGTCACGTAACACTTTAGACACAGAATGTACAAAAGTACAGTGTTTAGACAATCCATTCATTAGGCTTGAAGATTTACAAGTCCGGAAATGGGGAGAAACAGTATTTCACAAAACCCACTAATGACCATGTCAGCATGAATGGGGGATGCTTTATATAATACTGGGCCACTACACAAAAGGAAGCAAGCTACCAAAAGCTACATGTAGAGAAAAGGAAATTTAATTATGCAGTTCAGGCTTTCTTTCATGTCTTAGAGAGAAAATTGTTAAGGATTTATTTGGATTGAATATATTAATGTAAAAATTTCCTATAAAAGATCCTATCTGTAAAAATGACCATTTTTATGGTAACCAAGCTATCTCCAGAAGAGACATTTAGGGTCAAAAGGGGGGAAAAAGGAAAAGAAAAAGAAGATGTAAATGAGGGAATAGGAGATGGCAGGGAAGGAGAGGAAATATTCATAAGGCTAACCCACCTAGACCTCTGCCTGCCAAGATACCCACCTTCAACCTGTTAGGTTGACTTCTTCCATCTATCACAGCACTCTGTCCCAGGACAAGGACTCTACTTTCCCCTCCCCTCTCCAATCACCATTACTCCCCAAAGAGGGCCACTATGACTTCCTCCAGACTTTGTGGCTACAGTGGTGTTGCTTGCCCACCCTCTCTCCTTGAGTCTCCTACTTCTTGGCACCTGTACCATTCTACCTTTGAAGACCTTGTCCTGGTCTCTACCCTTGAAAGATTCTGTGAAATCCTCCAGGAACTTCCTTCTAAAATGTTTTCATAGCAAATTTTTATTTATTTATTTATTTCCCAGTCCTAGAGCTCGAACTCCGGGCCTGGGCACTGTCCCTGAGCAACTTTTTGCTCAAGGCTAGCACTCTACCACTTGAGCCACAGCTCCACTTCTGGCTTTTTCTGTAATTAGAGATAAGAGTCTCACAGGTTTTCCTGCTTCAAATTGCAATCTTCAAGATCTCAGCCTCCTGGCACCTAGCCGAAGCAAATATTTTAGCCTGTACGACTAAGCACTAAGTGAGCTCTTTTCATTTTTTAATGCTGGTCCTGAGGTTTGATCTCAGGGTCTGTGCACTGTTCTGAGCTTCCCCTCCTCATCCCCACTCCCCAAAGGCTAGCCCTCTACCACTTGAGCACAGCTCCACTTCTTTTTCTTTGATAGTTGATTAGAGATAAGAGTCCCACTGGCTTCGAACCTCAGTCTTCAGATCTCAGTCTGAGTTGCTAGGATTACAGGAATGAGCCCCCAGCATCCAGCTCTAAACGAACTTTTCTATACTGAGACTCAAATTTATACATCTTCTTGCCCATACTTCTGCTGCCATATAACCAAATTATACCTGTGCATCTCTTTCTTCCCTCTCTTCCTTCCCTTCCTTCTTTCTTCCAGAATCACATGTTTTCAATCAGTGTGCAATGCCCACAGGTTTCCCTGGTTCTTGGCCATATAGTCTAATACTAATCAACTATTTGTCTAGCAACCTCCAACATCTTTAAAAACTTCTTAGACCTTTCCTGTGAGTCCATCTTTTTTTACTTCTCTGAAGCACTAATCTTTCTCTTTTGCTCCAACAATCACTTCTTCCATTTCTCTGTACTGTTCTTCCTGTGACTCATCCCAATGGAAAAGTGTCAGTTCCCTCTCTTGTCTTGTCTTTGAGAGAGAGAGAGAGAGAAAGAGAGAGAGAGAGAGAGAGAGAGTTGCTGAGGATCAAATACATGGCTTCATGCATGGTAGGCAAGCTCTTTAGTATTAAGCTACATCCCTTTGGTTTGAGGCAAAGTCTCAAAATATAGCTTAGGCAGGCCTGAACTCACTATTCTCCTGCCTCAACCTCCCAGGTACTGGGATTATAGGCATGGACCACCAAACCTGTCTTCCTCCTTTCTCTCAATATGACCTCCTTCCATCTTTCAGCTACTCCCATCATCTTTCATCTACTCCCAGTGCTTCAACCAGGTGACTCTAATTGACTTCTTAAGCCCTTGCCTCTTCATACAGCTCTCACAGCTGGGGATATGCCCTACATGATACCCAACCAACACTTCAAAGTCAATTATCTGAAACCAGCTCTCATCTTACCTCTGTGCTTATTTTCTTCCCATCTTTATGCGACATATGGATGTTCTTATTCTTTTAGCTGCCTGGCCCAAACCCTAGTTGTCTCCATCCCTTCCCCTAATTCATTATTCTTCATACCAACTAGTTCAAATGTCCCACTGCAGTTCACTTGGTGATCTCACATCTGCCCTTCCCCACCTTCATGGTGGTACAGGCCCTCACCCCTACAGGCTGGCTTTTGCAGTAACACTTTGACTGGAGACTCTAGGCAATGATACAATTCTCAACCACATCTTTACCAGTGATATATCACTAGTATAAGGGCAAAACTATCATCTTGATAGCCATTTTTTCTGAGCCTCTATAATCCAGAATCAACTCTCTTTTCCAAGACTGTCTTTCAGTATTTTCATCTCAAATATCCTGTCCCAACATTTATTTAGCTCTGAGTGAGCACTACCTAATCTACTGTTGGAGGACTTTACTTATGAGTATGACTGACCTGTCAGTTCCTAAAGATGAAATCTTTTCAGTGCAGGTCCAGGTCCTCTGATGCCTGGCCCATACACACTTAGGACTAAGGATGCCAATCAACTGAACCATTGTGAAGCGAACTCGATGCATCAGAGACCTATTTTGCCCACCATGCCCTGGGCAGGGCTCTGCACCTTAGAAGCAGGCTCTGCTCTCAGGAAGGTAGCTGTTAATTCTAGTTGCCTCCCATACTAGTTGCAGAAGGTCTCTTTTTATTTCTGGACTGCTTTAAAAGTAACTTCTGATTCATTTTGGCCAAACTGTTATGACAACCCTCCCATCTAGCATCTCAGCCACATTAGTTCTTATTCCAGAATGAGCTGTACCCACTTTGACTTCAGCCCTACAATCCCACAGAGGCTACACCAGGTTCTTGTCTACTTAGCTAGAAACTCAGTGCCATGACCTCATCTTCCCCTGTCTTTAATCACCTTCCTGCCTTGATTGTATACATGGCAACTTACCTCTGGTGCCTCCTTCAAGTTCTGAAGGAGAGCCTGGTGTCTAAAAATTGGCTTCCTACTCCATCATCCTACAATGAATTTCAGGCTTTCTGAGTCCTAGAATTGCAGCGACTGGCCATGGCTCACTGGCTTCTGTCTCTCTCCTCCCAGAGCCCTTATTTCTCCAGACCTTCCCTGGTTTGAGTCTCTGGAACATACATGACTTTCTACTCCAGTCACTTGTGCTAGTGGTCTGACCTTTTGTCTTAGTTATGCTTACATCTCACAGACCCATTAGCAATTTCCACTTTCCTTACCATCATTTGTAGACCTTCTTGGCCTCAGCAGTACTGTTTTATTTCTTTTTTTCATTTTTTTTTTACTTAAAGCTATCTTTCCTCCTAGTTTTGTCAGGTAATCCTAGGCATACTTCTGAAAATATTTAATTTAGCCTTTCAACTGACTTTCTCCCTACTGCCTCCTATATTTATTTATTTAGTTAGTTAGTTAGTTATTTTGCTAGTCCTAGGCTTGAACTCAGGGCTTGGGCACTGTCCCTGAGATTCCTTTACTCAAGGCTAGCTCTCTATACTTGAGCCACAGTACCACTTCCAGCTTTTTCTGTGTTAATAGTGAGGAATCAAACCCATGCATGCTAGGCAAGCATTCTACTACTAAGCCACATTCCCAGCCCATCCTATTTTTTAGTAAGGTATATTTTTGACATGGATCCCCATAAAATTATCAGTGCAGAGTCAGTTTCAAACACTTGCTTATGTCCAGACTACCTGACTTCGAATGCTCCTTTTCACTGAGAACCTTCTGACCTTTATCATTACAAATACCATTCTTCTGACAGCGCCCTACATAGAAGCAACCCCCCCCCCCCATCACTGCTGCTGTTTTAAAAAATAACCTCTGAGGTTGGTATCTCCCAGAACTACAAAAATAGATATGGGAATTGTCTTTTTTTTTTTTTCCAGGGCTGAGGACCGAACCCAGGGCCTTGCGCGTGCCGGGCGGGCGCCCTTCCGCTGGGCTAAACCCCCAGCCCCTGGAATTGTCTTTTTTTAAAAAAATGAAGCTCATGCAAATTCAGAGAAAGTATTCAGAGGCAAAGGGTCATCCTCCAATTAATAATAAAGTATAATATGGCTCTGGTAGGATAGGGAGGAGTTTAAATCACCAGCATTTCCACAAACATTTGGAACATTTCCTCTATGAGGAAGATACCAAGCTCAAAAGGAATCCAAACAAACACTAACTGTGGGGCTGAGGAGGGTCTAAAACAGGAGTCAGAAAGCCATGCAGCTGAAAAAGAACCAGCACGGCAGTCTGTCACCTCAACTACAGCAAAACCAGAGAAGCAAATCAAACCAAGCTTGAAAAGGAATGGATAGCATGAGGAAGATGGGAAGAAGTACCTGTGGTGGGCTGGCACTGGGAGAATTAATCGTCTCCATTTTTTCTAAATCTGCCTCTAACTCTGTTTGGCACAGGTTGAGATCTTTTTCTAGATTAGTCTGGTTCAAGAAAGAAAAGATGAGAAAGAAATTTTTAGTTTAGAGGAAAGGGAGAAAGGATGGAAGGTTAAGTTTGAAAAATGAATTGTTTTTCGTGCCATACTTCAACAAGGCTACTATGCCATGACCCAACCACAAGAGCTCACTAGAAATTAGTCAAAGACGTGAAAGCAGAGAATGTAACATTAGACACGTACAGTAGAAGTCCTGAGCATCAGAGCTGCAAAAGTCTATCCTACTTGCTAACGAAAACTACCAATACCATGAACACCTACCTTTAAGGAAAGGCCTACTTGTTCCCTTGTTGGAACTGCGACAAATACTCTTGTGTCAGAAGAATAAGTCAATACTTGAAAGCCTCTACACATTAGTATATGTCTTAGGTACTTTATTAAATCATTTTATCACCAAGCCAAAAAGAAAAAAGTTACTACATTAAAAATAATGATTTAAGAAAACAAACCCACACCACACTCACACCAACCAAAGCTAGAGAGCACACACACAGTCACGGAGGAGCACAGCGGAATTACCTTTCTATCCTCTCTAGGAAGGATAGAGCAGTCTCCAGGAGTATAATCCCATATCTTTTTGGGAGGCTGACGGGAAGCAGAGGAGGAAATGAAGAAATGAGCATAAAGACATAAAGACAAACACAAGGCTGGTTCAAACAAAGAGGGGTACACTGGGAGAGCTGTGCCAACATAGACAGGAACTCAAAGCAAAAGGCTGGGCATTCAGCCCAGGACACACAAAAGTGTGCTGCCCAGGAGTTGGGGGAGACCTGGCACCACTAACAGGGAAGTGGGTTCTACTTTTATGTTTCAAGAGCAAATCATCATTGGATTATAAATACTGAAACCTTAAGAAAAAAAAGAAAAGAAAATATTAACACAAATTTCAACAAAATGACCAACTTTCAATTCTTCATTGTCCCTTTCAAACTAAGACTGACACTGGAGAATCTACATTTTCTTTTTGAAATAGCCTTTTCCCTTGTAAAACAAAAAATTCATTGTATGCTAACAAATGTACGAACCTAGCAATTTGGTTAATAGAGGGTAAACTGAACTAAACATGTTTTCTGTGGTCTGTAGCCATGAAATCTGTGTACAAAATGGGTATTAAATAGTGCACCAGACAATTTCACACCAGCTGTTTTGAACTCTCCTTTTAGGGTTTAAATAGATCTTGATGATGTTGCTAGTTGTAGAAATATAACTTCCATCTTCCATAGAGACCAGTTGCAACTTAGAATGTGAGCAGTAGAATGGAAGGTGATTTTTCTTTTCTCTCTTTTGCCCCTTCACAATTACAATTAGAACTGAGATGAAAAGTGTACCAAGTGATTGTTGGAGAGTTAGCAAGCACAGGACACTTAGAAGTTATAATGCGTGTCTAACAATGCAACTGCTTTTCTACTGGGTGGGCCTTCTGGTTTTGCCTCCATACCCTCGAAATCACCTATACTATGAACTCTGAGAAGATGAGAAATGGGAGATCATTCAAAGCTCAAAACTGTTGTATGTAATTCTTTGTTATTTTTAAATATTTTTAACTGATATTATAAAGGTGATGTACAGAAGAGTATACATAATTCTTGGCAACTAACTCTATGGAAGCATTCAAATTAATTTACTGAGAAATTTTGCCTTGAGTTTATAGATGCAAATCATGTTACTTTCTATTTTAAAAAGCAGAAGGGAAAAAAGAGAAGAAAAAGCTGCCAGGTACTAATTTAATTCCACATCGTGTTCACTGTTGATAGCAACAATAATGGTAGCTCTGTGTTAGTATATTCTGCATTTTGTACAGTGATACCAGCCATTATTATTCATCTATAGCACTATAAATACTTAGATAATTAGTCTGGGGATGTAGACTTTCTGAGGTCACATATATTACCCCTCCCACACACACTTCTTTATCCTAAAACTGCCAGAAAAAAGCATTTACAAATAAGATTGATTTTAAATATCATCCTCCAAATAGTCCCTCGAGTCTTGGATTATTTGCTATTCTATAAAAACCTATTGCTTAAAAAAATCAGTTCCATTTAGGTGGTGTTAAGAGAAGAGGGTTGCAGAGGAGTCTAGTATACAAGTTCTGGTAGGCTTCATTCCAGGACAGTTAGTGTAAGCAATGCAGAAATGATGATCTGTATGATGAAGTACAAGTTTCATTTTCACCTTGAAGGAAAAATTTTCCAAACTCATTTCCATAGTTAACACCCTCTTTTTAATTTTTATACTACCCAGGAATTAGGTTTCTTACTCTTATGGTCCACAGTGGTGGGAGCAGGAAGAGAGGATAAAACATTTCTTCCTTTCACCTTTCTTCCCAAACTGTTGGTTCAACTAGAGAATGAGTTTATCATGAATATACCTCAAACCACGAAGAACTAACTGTTCATCTCAATGCTGTTCCACTGATTATGTTATTTTGGCAAGTCTTCCAAAGTATTAACTTTTACAGTAAGACCTCCACAAAAGGGAACAAGACTATTAGAAGGCTCTATTTTACAAATGGACTATGTTTCAGTATTTATTTGAGATGGTTATTGTCCTTTGACCACAGCTTCAGGTAGCAACAGTGTTAACTTACCAACTTATTTTCATGGCTTATTTGTTTTATGCAGGGACTAAAATACTCTTGATTACCGACAACAAAAAACCATTTCATTAGTGAGGGGAAAAAGAACATAGCTTTCCCCCCTAAAAGTTAATATTTCAGATAAGATTAGTTAGTTCAGTTATTTAGCAGATGAGGAGATGGCTAGATATGTATGGATCCTGAAAGGGATTTAAAAAATAAACAATATGGAATCTTTATTGAATACAATTAAAAGCTAGTAGCTAGAGTTATCCTTGATAAAAGTATGGTGTTGTTGCTACATATAGCGCACATGGTGTTTTTTTGAAGTCGGGGAAGAAGGGGACAGAATAATATACATTAAAAGAAGCTTTATTTGTGCAATACTTAGTAGGTTTTAAGGAAAATAAGAAAAGGAAAAATATTGTTACTATTCAGTATTTGCATATAGTTAAAATAGGTTGAAGTAGAATTGATGTCTAAATGGTGAACAATAGAGAAAGGGAAGAAAATGAGAAGAAATGCGTGCACCAAAGCACTGGGTAGGGGAAGAGAAGAAGGCAGTTTGGGTTAGATGTTCCTCTCTTACTGTACACTAGGTGGCACTCTTCACCAGGAACAGCCCAGCTGCCCACGGGAGATGTGTCCCAGAACAGACAAATTGGTGTTCCTAAAAGGCAGGATCTTGCAAGTCAGGCTCTCCTAACTTAGAAGACATCTGAACTTTCACCTCAGCATCCTTAAATCAAATGAGCAATTCCAGAGCACTATGTCTTCATCTTAAAGAAACACAAGCAAAATAAAACTGTCATCTCAAGCCTCAGTAATCTAAAAGCTGGATTCAATGCTTAGAGTCTCATACAAATGTCTAATGTTTTATTTTTCTATGCTTAACTCCTCCACCGTAACTTTTTTGCATTTATAATAATTAAGGCTACTTTAAAGTTGCTGTTTAAAGTAACTAGAGTTTAAACCAGACATCTTGAGTAACAGGAAGAACTCAGTTTTCCTTTCTATTTGATACTTTTTTAGAGGCAGGGCTAACAAATTCAACCTTAAAGTACCATGACTAGATCAATTATACCAAAGCCAACTCAGTGATGTCATGGTAAAGCTACTGAACATTAGGTGAAACACTAAATTTGCTAGAATTCCTAGTCTCTATCCAAACTTGGAAAATGTTAGTCTAACTCATACAAATCATTCCATAAAAGCTATTTGTAAGGGGTGTCATTTGTGAGCCATATCTCCATGCAAAGATCCTGTTCTGGCACTTATTTCATATGTATACTGTAAAAAAAAAAAAAGTGCTATCTGAAGCAGTGGCAAAGCTCATCTTCTCTGTGTATAATGTATTTTCCTGCCTGTGTTCAGCAAGCACAAAGACTTGAGTCAAGGTAGTGAACCAATGGCTGCAATAATGCTGTCCACAAGGCATGTGATATTTGTTATCAGTGGAGGGTGGTCCTAGGGTAAGCAGTGACTTCATTGTGTTCTTAGGGATTGTGGTAAGCTATACCTCCACAGATCACCATCTTGGTGATATAAAGAAAGAAAAGCTTCCAGGTGGTAAGGATATGAGACAAGCCCACTATTGCCAACCAACACAACTGAGTTCCCTGCACATAGATCTGAGTCTAATTTAGCAGCAACAATGCATCAACAGCATTATTTTAAAAGGCGTAGAACCACCGAGGCTATCAAACTTACCGGTTTCCCAAACTCCAATTCCGAAAAGAACTTATACCAAGGTTCATTCTTTAAATCTATCTCTTCTGGGCTTATATCCCGACTCTATAGGGGTTGGTGACAGGGAAATGGAAGAAAGAGAAGGATAACATTATGCAAAGATTACAAAGGAACAGGCCAGTAGAGATGCAGTGGTATCCAGGTATATTGCATATAGCAGCTGAGTTCAACAGCAGCAATTGTCCATTTTTACTGACATCAGCAAAAACAGGAAGCTAAAACAGGAGGGAGAGGATATGTTTATAAACACAGGAAACTGAGGTAAGGAGTAGTTGAGTGGCTCATCTTCTGAATGGCAGAGGCAGATGGACTGGAGGTACAGATCTCTGCACCACACTGCTGCACTTTACAACAAAGCTGAATATTGGTACAGCAGTATTCTTTAATGATTTTCAGTACTGGAGAAAAGAAAGTCCTATTTCTTCTTGCAAAGAAGTATTAGTTAGGAGCAGATAAACTGGTGAGCACACCAAACATTTCACATCTATACCAGTTGAATAGAGCACAGTTTTTATGGGATAAGACAGTTTTAGTACTTATTTGCAAGGCTGCCTTCAGGTTTTCAAAATAAACACAAATATTGACACCTTATAAAAGCCAATTGGTTAATACTGCATCTTTAATGGCACATGAATAGGTGAGATACCATGACCCATACACAGTTAAGTGAAAGATGATATAAGTAAACACAGAAGACACAGTGAAAAACATTTTACACAAGCACCTGGTAGGGGATGAGTACAGACAGAATATATTTTGTGTTCTAACAAGTAAATGTTAAAGAGTTGGGAAAAATTAAGTGAGAAAAAAGCTGGACAAGACAGATAACAGAACATGGGAAAGAAAACTTTTGGGTTATGTTCCAACATTAGATTTCTCACTTTACATTCAAAGAGTATCACATGTAGACTGATAATTTGTTTCCATAGGATTTAATATTTAATCAAATCTGTATAAAGGTCTGGTACTTTATTACTTTGGGGGATAACACGTATTTCTGGAAACAATTAGTTGGAGAATGAGTACCTGGGAAGCAAATGAAGTTTTCTTTTTAATGAATTAGAAATATGTTCACATCAGACAAAAGTGTTTTTGGTTTGTAAACATTTTTTTTTTAATTTGTGAGAATCACAAAAAAGGAGCTAGGGTGATTTTTTTCCCTATGGCACTCTGAAATAGTAAATGAACTACTGAGATTGAAAACATCACATACTAACTTCAGGCTAAAATCTGGAATGAGCAAGTGAGAAAGAATATTGCTAAGTCCCATGCACAGGTCTTCCATGCTCCTACATCATCGAATGGTTCTTCTTAGAGGTACTTTTCTTAACAAATTACTTAGTACTTTTGCAGCCTGTAGAAAAGGTTGCAAACAGTCTTAGTGCCTTTTCCCAGGCCATTCTTCTAACACCCTTAGAAGACTCTGTTTCATTCCTTTCAGTTTCATAGGTAAAACAAGATATGGATACACGGCAGAGTCCCTGTCTTTCACAAAGGTAAACTAGGGGTTGAAATCAGAGGGAAACATATACTGAACAATCAGGTCTCTCCTCTTGCATGCAGAAAAACCTCTGGTTTCTAGAGGGCCTTAGGACTTCAAGCTTTACCCTCTGTACAGTCAGTGGATTCTGTATTTACTCAGTGAAATGAGGCACAACACCTATTTGAACCCAACCACTTGGCAGTGAACATCTAGACACCAGGACATTCTAAATGCTAAAATGATGCATTTCATGAAACCTATTTCACATTTATTATTTTATAAGGACTACTTTTTTTCTTTGTGTTCAAGGCTAACACTCTACCACTTGAGCCACAGTGCCACTTCCGTTAATTGGAGATAACAGTCTCATGGGGAGTTTTCCGCCAGGGCTGGATTCACACTGTGATCCTCAGATCTCAGCCTCCTGAGAAGGTAGGATTACAGGAATGAGCCACTGGCATCTGGCATAAGGACTATTTATAAACTTCTACTTGGGAACAGGATAGGCCTAAAAAAAAAAATCAACCAAAATGCAAACAAACCAAACCACCATAAATAAACTGGGCACTGGTGACTCATGCTTGTAATCCTAACAACTCAGGAGGCTGAGAACTGAGGATCATGGTTCAAAGCCAGACTAGGCAGACAAATTAGAGACTCTTATCTCCAATTAATCATCAAAAATCCTCAGTATTAGCACCAAAACAACACAAAACAAAACAAAAAGTACCAACTCTTTCAGGAAATGCACTAAAAGCATTGGTACTTACAATTCTGAAGAAATTAACCCACTTTATTCCTGAATGCTTCTTACAGACTGTTTAAGGAGGTTAACGCTGTGCCAAGAACAAAATCAGGAGGTGTGTCAAACAAGCTGGGTCAGAACCTCAGGTCCAAAGTCTCAGTCCTTTGAGTTTCCCAGAGGTAAAGCTGCCCTCCAACTGCATTTGAGTTTGCCAGGTATAACTCAGCTGTACAACCAAAAAGGGAACAAACCAACAGCAAACATCCTTATGGATGCAGAGGAAACTTGTTCCAGCACTCTTGGAAAATTCCATACTACCAGGCTCAGTTCTTGGCTGCTGTGGGCTGTTCTTCCCTAAGATTGATAAAGTCCTTGGAACATTCCGGTGACTTGCCAGAAAAATGCCAACTTATCAAAGGCACTTTTCTTACTCAAATGAAGCCAGAGAGCAGCTTCAAATTTCAATGAAATAAATCACCTGAATGGGATATATTGATTTGTAAGTGCTTCATGATGTCAATAGTTTTCTTACCATGGTATATAATCCTCGATCACCTCCTGTGGTACTTAAGTGGGGTTGGCAGAACAAGTGATATTTCTATTTATACATGAAAACACTGAGGCTCAGGAAATTCAAATAATTTGCCTAAGATATATGGCAGAGTCAGAACTAAAACCCAGGATTCAGATCTCCCAATTCCTGATCCAGCGCTCCGCATACTATATTATATTACACCTCTCATACCAAACAAGAAGGAGGGCTGACCTGCTGAATTTTTAGTCAATATCAAACCAAAGCAGGACTGGTCACTAGTTTGATATGCCAGAAAAGAAACTCAAAACTGGGAGGAAACTAACGTAGGTAAATTATCTTGTTTTATATTTTTGTTCAATAAGAACACGGCCTATAACTGATGCTAGAGAAAAGTATAAAGGAATAAAACCCAGAAAAGGCCATTTCTGTGTGTGGCTGTGTGTGGGTGTGGGCCCACGCACGTGCGCATGCACACATGCAAGCTAGTTCTGGGACTTGAACTCAGGGCTTGGGCACTCTTCTCAAGCTTTTTAGGTCAAGGCTAGCACTCTACTGCTTTTTAGTAGTTAACTGGAGATGGACTTTCCTGCTTGGGCAGGTTTCAAACCACAATCCTCAGATCTCAGCCTCTTGAGTATGTAGAATTACAGAAGAAAGCCACTAGTGCCTTGTTGGGGATGTGTGTGTGTTTGAAGCCTGGGTGGGCATCTATATGGTCTCTACCCACCCCTTCCTGGTAGTAATGAATAGCTGTGCCTATCTGCTTATTTCTATCACCTAAACTGTCAGAATTAAGCAGACATGAACACCTCAAAAATAAAAGTGTTTTCCCAAAATGAGATAGAGTAAATCTGAAAGCAAGCGCCAATTCTACATCTGTTGCTAGTTGGTATAACTACCAAGTTAACAACTAAGTTTTTTTTTAAATTTAAGTACAGGAGTACCCAAAGCCTGGCAACTAGATACTGAATAACTAGAGACAACTAACCAGTATCCACCAAACCAGACACTTGCCAAAAGACAAATGTCACATACTGAAATTTATATTCTAACTTTTCTGTTCATGGTACAAAAATAGTCAGAAAAAAATCTAACATAAAGGACCAATTGAACCACTGTGAAGGGCAGACTGTTAAAAGATGGGAGATCCAACTGAAATTCCTCTCTAAAAGTAAAACTTCCTCTTTAGAAAAAAAGAGCTAAGTTGGGCGAAGGGCACTGAATTAGCAACTAGGAGAATGGTTCCTCCCTGATCTGCCTTTGGGCAGATCCATTAGGGATGGTCCTCAGGACTGGCACAGAACAGAGGAGTTCTTGTGCAGAGTTCCAGCACTCTGCTGATGGTGTGATATACCCTACTCCCTACAGAAGAATCCATGAGCCAGTGTGTCACTTCCCAGGGTTGTTAAAACAATGACAATGATCCCAAGAACTAATGCATGGAAGAGACTCAGACTATTATGATATCATTGAGGAAAACAGAATTAGGTTGTTTTTTTCCCTAGTTCTGAATGGTGGTTAAATTACTATGACCAAGGAAAGAAATAAAAGGCAAAATTAAGAAACAAACAAATAAAAAAGGTGAGCCTTCAGTAAGAACCATGGCACCCTATAAATGGTTACATCGCCAAAACAAAAGCATCCAAAAAGCTTACAGAATCCCTGAGATCATTTCAATGTATTAACATGTGATAGAGGACCCAGGCTTATTATTTGAGTATTAGAAATGTATCTGAAGAACACAGTTTTCTTCCCTGGAGCCCCTGGGAGTAAGGTTCCCATGTACGTATATTATATAGGAGATACCTTCTAACAGGAAGAGAATGACATGAGAGCCCAAGGCCAGATCCTCTGCTCATCTCCGAGCTTTCTGCTTAAAATAACTGTGGTGCACAGTGAATACCAAAGAATGACAACTCTAAAAGCATTTCTGTGAACTGTTGACCTTTTATCCTAATTAAAATTACTTATCCCTCTGGGCTTTTAAAGATGTCACATTTTACTTTAGTAAAAGTCAAATCGATTATTCTTTTAACACATCTAGAGAAGAAAAACGGGGAGGGAAAATTGAAGCCTGAAGAGACATGCTCCACACTTGGTGTGTTAGCAGCAGTGAATAAAAACCAATCCCCAACACCACCATCCCACCCTGTTGTCAGAGCCCAAGGTCTCCTATGCTTCTAGAGCTTTCTAGAATCTCTTTAACCAAGATCAGAAATCAAAATCAGATTTTCCTAATGAAGGGTGAATAAAAGGAAGCGTGATTGGCAGATAGGAAACTAATCAGTCTATAAAAAGTCTTCCTGTTTCATAGAAGGGGCTACTTTTCCACAGCTGTCTGTTATACCCATGCAAAGCCATTTTCTGAACACTTAAACCTGCTTGAATTTATATAGAGAACTATAAACCAGACTGAATATGAAATAAGGCCTCAACATTGTACTTATCAAAAAAGGAAGACCTAAAAGACACATTCCCCCTCATAACATCCTTTTAAAATTTATAGCCTTTAATAATATACTAGCAATGTCTACAAAATTCATGCACATTCCAATAAGAGTCAGTTTTAAAACATTCTAACTTTATCCCAGTCAATGATAAGGCTGATAAATTAATGGTTAGACACTTAGAAAATAAATAACAGTAACAAGATCGTTATGTTAGTAGAAAAATTAAAATTAGTTAAAACCATGCACAAAAGAGCAATATAGCCACAATAGCAGGATTCTTTAAAAGGGGACTCTTAGGACTTATTTTATAAACACCTGTGAAAATGTAAAGGGAAAAAACCTTCATTTTTTTATATTCTTGCAAACAAAGCAAGCCTATCTCAAGGGAGAAAGAATATAATCTATGCATCCGGATTACAGGACATGGGCAGATGGAGAAAAAAGAACTTCAATATGCAAATTACCATCTTTTCGTTGTTCAGAACAGAAGACTTGCCCGGCTGATATTCATAAATACTTTTGGGCTCTGCACGGTATTTTCTTGTATCCACTTTCTTATCTGGGGGCTCCCAGTCATTTCTGTAAAAGAAAATCCTATTAGTGGCATTTTCATGAAAATTGGCATCTGCTTCAGACACAGTCTGACTTTGGTTGACTTGGGTCTAATCAAGGAATTTTTATATCCAAAGCATTAAAAAATCAGAGTCAAGATGAACAATTTAGCTGCACTGACTTGCTTCTCAAAACAAGCAATTAAATCTCTGACTTGGCCTCACAAAGGGCTTGAAGTACTCTGCACTCAAAACCAGGTACTAGGAAGTTGACAAGAAGAGAAAGAAGATGATTCATACATACTTATATTCTTCTATAAATCTGGTTCCATTAAAGATTGCCCTTCAAAAAATCTTTAACTTCTAGGTTTCTGGTAGTTAATTGGAGATAAGAGTCTCATGAACTGTCCTGCCCCGGCTGGCTTTGAACCGCAATCTTCAGGTCTCAGACTCCTAAATAGCTAGGATTACAGGTGTGAGCTACCAGCACCCAGATGGAAAATTGCAATTTTTTCATGTATGAATTGCAATTGCATTCTGTTTTTCATGCATGCTGTAGCTTCTTGTTCTGTCTTGAAGACAGAACAATGGCACACTCGTATTCTTGTCTCACATCAGGTGATGTTTGAAGACAGTTTGAAGACAGCCCAGGCAGAAATGTCTATGAGACTCTTATCTCCAATTAACCAGTAAAAAGCCGTAAGTGGAGCTGTGGCTCAAGAGGCAAAGCTCTAGCCTTAAACAAAAGTGCTAAAGGAGGGCACAAGGCCCTGAGTTCAAGCCCCAATACTGGTATTTTTTTAAGTGGCTCTTGTTTTAAAATTATATTCTTTCCCATGAATGTGCAAACACAGAGTATGCTCAGGTAATATGGAAACTGGTGACAATTTTTAATATATATATTTTTATTGTAAAGATACTGTACAGAGGGGTTACAGTTACATGAGTAAAGTAATGAGTACATTTCCTATACAGCATTGTTACCCCCTCCTTTTGGTAACAAATCTTGAAATGAAGATTTTTGTTGTGATGAGGTACAAAATCATAGTAATCATTAAATTAAGCCTAGGCTATGAGTGAGGCATTAATAAGAGTGTTATGTATATTATCTCACTTATCTTTGAGACATTCTGATCAAGGAGTTGTGCTGTTTTTATCTCCTTTATAGATAAGGTCATTGAGACTCAGATTAGTCCCTGATGATAGGTCACCAAACTGAGTCTAGCTCCTTGTTCTAAGAAAGGAGGCTCTGGGTCTCCACAAATGCTGAGAAAAGCCACTGTGTGGTAAAGATGAACTCAGCTCAGGGAATACTTACCTCTCTGGGCTGGACTTGAGTGAGGACGAGCGGGCTGGGAGGGGAAGTGTGGCCGACCTCTTAACCACCTTCTCACCATCAATGTAACTCATTTCACTTTTTGAACGAGGCACAGAAAGGGGAGATTTTGCTGGAGAATGTACACACAAAAAGACTTTGAAATCCAATGGAAACCAAAAATCAGAAAGTGTCTTCCCTCACCCACCTTCCTCCCCTGAAAGCAGGAAACTCAAGTCACTTACCATCTTCAGAAAAGGAGTATCGAGGAGAATATAGATCTGAATCATCATCTAGTGGGAGGAAAAGGACATAATCAGAAGAAATGGGGAAAGGAAAGAGAAATGAGGTTCATGTCATTTCTTACTTCCACAGTCCTGCATCATAGCCAGGCACACCAGGGAAGAAGGGCTTAAGCACACTGGATGCTATACCACAGCAGACCACAGTGAACAGTGAGGCAGAGCCGGCACACCAGGAGGGCCCTTCACATTGCCAGAGAGATGACTGCTGCCTAACACTGGGAAACATGGGGACAAATAGCCAAAGGTCCTTCTCAAGAGAATACCCACCAACAACAGAGGAATTCACAACCCAGAGTCTGGCTGAGGAGGATATAGGGGATGAGATGGCTCTAGCTGCTCCCACTTAGCCCACAGAGTGCCAGAGGATTCTGCCAGGCCTCTTTCTAGGGCTTGGAGCTGCTACTGGATAGGAAGGAAAGGCCTAGATGGTATGGCTGCTAGCTCCCCAACTTAACTCTGACCTGTGTCATCTTAAATTTCCATAGCAACATCAATGACAAAAAGGCTCTGAAGCTTAGAGTTTGAGAAAAATTGACATCATAATTTGTTCTGATTGTTTCAACTTAGTGTGGCTCCCTTGAGTAGATTTCTTTTCTTAGAACACAACACAGCCATGATTGATGTGGTTATATGATCTGCTCTTCAGATACTGCTTGGGGTAAATGCCTAACATAGCAACTCTGGAATAAAACTCATGAGAGTTTTTATGGTATGAGATGGCTCTCCAAGGGGGTGGAATCTGCCCCTAAATAAGCCAAACCCTGGCTCTAAAACTGATTGGATCAAAATAAGATCTTAAGCATCATGGAAGTAGCTGAGTTTTTTACACTACAAACTGGACCCTGTGACCACTTACAGGAGCTATGCAGTGCTGGATATGAAGTCACTGCATCCGTTATAGGCCTTTCAAAGTATTACTCCAAAACGAGTTTGCTGGAAAGTCTACCTTCCCTATTTTCTAATATCTTGCGAATTCAGAATTCATGCATACAGAACAAAGACCTAGTTCTTCTCTTAAAATCCACAATGTCTTTAGTGAAGCACATGACTTAACCAGAAAAGATGAGCCCAAGAATATATGCCATGTTAATGACAGTGTTAATCAACTCATTTCCTTGCAAATCATTTCAATTTTCAGAGCGGAATAAAGGTCAGAATACTTTATAAAAAGTATAACCAAGATATTTTTCACCTCCCTTTTATCTTTGAAGGTAAGAATTAGGCAACAGCAAGGCAAAATAGGTATAAGACTTTACCAACACAACCAAGCCTTTCTTTTCTATTCTTTTCTTTTTTGGACACAGTACCTTGCTATGTTGTCTAGGCTGGCTGAAACTCAATACTCCTTGCTTACTCCTTGTCTCATTCTGGGATGACCCATCATACCTGCCAACCTTTCACTATTAAAAGTCAAATGTATAAGCTTATTAATTTGTTAAAATAGGACAGGGGAAGGATAAAAATAGGATCCAGAAATATATTTTTGGAAAACCTGAATTTTGTGTTAACAGTTATTTATTTTCTTAATAGTACTTGATTCTTGTACTCATAAAATATCATATCAAGAACACTAAAAACTAGCTTTGATTTCAGGGACTTCATTAGAAAAACAAATGGTGCCTTCCCCAAATGAAGTTAGCTCAGATAGAAAACAATACAATACTACTTCAAATTCAGTCTAACATTTTAGCTCAAAGCCCTTTACCTCTCTGAATTGTGAAAAATTGAAGCCTATCAAGAGATGGTAAAGTGAAGGTAATTTATAGCTATTACCTGGTTCATAAGTCTAGGAGCGAAGTTATGGGTAGGGAGATGATATATAAATAGTCACAAACATTAAGACTGGGGTTTAAAGATCTGTTTTTTCCCAGAGATTTCTAATATGGAATTATAACTAAGGCTTTTGGGAAGGCAATAAGAATTTTTTTTCTTTTTGTCCTACTACCAGGGCGTGAATTCAAGGCCTTATGCTCTCAGAAGCCAGTGTTCTACCACTTGAGCCACATTTCTAGTCTGGCATTTTACTGATTAATTTTTCTGCCTGGCTTCAAACCGAGGTATCTCAGATCTCAGCCTCCTGAGTAGTTAGGATATTAAGTGTGAGCCATTAGCACAAGGTGAAAAATCTATCTTACAAGATAAAAAATATAAGACTTCTTTAGGAGTCTAACGACGTATATACTTTGGAAAGAGAAGGAGGAAATCTGGAATGAGGGCAATAGTGAAGACTGAATGTTCTTTAAAGCTATTTCCTTTTTCGATATAAAAATAGCCCCCCAACATTAACACAGGGGAGGGTATTTTCATATCTCATTGTCAATGGGAATTTAACATGGATTTCAGTTCTCACATGTTAGGAGGGCACAATCGAAGTTGAATAGCAATTATGACAAGTTCCAGATATCTTCTGTCTTCTAACAGAAGAAAAAGCCAACTCATTTTATGAAAGAAAATAATAATAGGCATTATTAAGCACCTGAAAGGAGCTAAAAATTTACTAATATAACCTCATTCCTGGTTAAAAAATATACAACAGGAAGAAACAAATAGTATATTTTGCAAACAAGGAAATCAGGACTCAATGAGGATAGGAAAGTTTTCCTGTGGCTGTACAGTAAGAAAATTAGATAGCAGGAATCAACTCAAGTCTTTCTGACTCTACTTCTTCATGATATCTCTAAATCCTGTCACAAGGATGGCTTTTTTTTGTTTGTTTGTTTCACCCTAGTGTTATGTGTTCAATTCTGGGAAAGGTGAGAGATTGTGAGCATTCTATTATTTTTATTCTAAAAGAAGCCCCCCCAAAATGTTTTCCTAAATCGCAAATAACTGTTGTGTGAGCCAATCTCCAGCTCTGGAAGCCTTTGTACTACTTTTCCCAATCATCCCATATGGGTAGTATTTAAGAAAGTTTTCTGAGTTATTCTTAGTTTTCTTCTTTCTGATCTCCAAGGACACTGGGTAAGAATCATTTGTACTACAGCTCCCCCTTGCTGATGTTTGGAACCTTCCCTTGATAAGCCAAGTCTATCTTGAGGAAGATGGGTATGCAGTTAGAAATGCCAGGGAATGGGGAAACTGATTATAGGGGCATCCTTCTAATTTTTTTTTATTGTGAAAATACTGTACAGATGGGGTTACAATTACATGGGCAAGACAATGAGTACATTTCTTATCAAGCATTGTAGCCTCCTCCTTTGTTTCCCCTTCCCATCCATTCCCAGCCTCCCCCCTTCCCCCCACCAAAGTTGTAAAGTTCGTTTTTCAACATAATGACTTGTATATCTCATTGTTGCAAAGGGTCCACCTGTTTAAAACCATTTGTTTTTTCCCTTCCCCTACACAAACTATACCAACATCAAATACAGTGAAAGCAGGGGTTATACCGTGGGGGAGGGACATACAAAGCAACAAAGAAATCATCTTATAAATATGTTAGAAACAATCTCATGAAAGAAATAAACATTTGAATACATATCTTAGGGCTCATTTCCCTAACATCAACTTATCTGACCTTTTCTGCTTGACTAAGATGTATACTAGATATTGCAAATAAGGGAAACCATGGGACCTATGTTTCTTTGGGCCTGGCTTACTTCACTTAATATAATTTTTTCCAAGTCTTTCCATTTCCTAACAAATGGGGCAATATCATTCTTTCTGATGGAGGCATAGAATTCCATTGTGTATATATACCACATTTTCTTGATCCATTCATCTACTGAGGGGCATCTGGGTTGGTTCCATATCTTAGCTATGGTAAATAATACTGCAATAAACATAGTTGTGCTGGTAGCTTTAGTGTGGTCTTGTTTGTGATCATTTGGGTAAATGCCCAAAAGTGGGATTGCTGGGTCATAGGGGAGCTCTATGTGGAGTCTTTTGAGGAACCTCCATACTGCTTTCCAAAGTGGTTGAACAAGTTTACACTCCCACCGACAACGCAGTAAGGTTCCCTTCTGTCCACATTCCCTCCAGCATCTGTTGTTAGTAGATTTCTTGATTATAGCTATTCTAACTGGAGTGAGGTGGTATCTCAAAGTTGTTTTGATTTGCATTTCTTTTATGGCTAGAGAGGCTGAGCATTTCTTCATGTGTCTATTGGCCATCCTTCTTTCCTCTTCAGTGAAGTTTCTCTTTAAGTCTTTAGCCCATTTATTTATTGGGCAGTTATTTCTTTGAAGATTTGTTGTTGGGGGATTTAATTTTTTGAGTTATCCTTCTAAATTTCTATACAATGGAGCTAGCATGCTTTTCCCTCCCTCCTATCTCCCTCTCGCTATGTATGTGTGTTCAATCATAGTTAAGAGATACACTAAGTAAGATGGTTCTTAAGCTGCCCATGATCTAACACCAGAAAGCCTACCTTCCCTTTTTTCCAATATTCTTTCAAACAATACCAGAGTAGACTCAGCTGAGCTGAGACCTTGTGATTCTTCCTCATGGTAGCCACATGCTCTTTTGCCCCTCGGAGCACCAAGCAGCAGACACTAAACCTTGGCACCACACTTAGCACTTCCTATGCCAGTGATTCTAGGAAGCTTGAACATACACAAAACTTCTGTGGAGTGACCCACTCACTTCAGGATCCTGAAACTCCCCCTGGTGGGCTCTGGTGTTCACATTCCAAAGTCTATCCTGGACTTTGGCAGGCTGTCCTTGGTAGCTCAATTTGAGGACAGACAGAAAGCTGCCAGAAACTTCCAGAAGCCACATAATTGCCTTTTCAACCACTTTAAATGAATTTTTAAATAACTTTCCTTCAGGGTTATGTTTTGGTTGTTGTTTTGAAAAGAATTTGTAAGTTTTCAAGACAAGGGAGAAAGTATTGGTTGGGGATTATTACTCTGTAATCATTACATAAGCATAATCACTGCCTATATCATGAATTTTCCACTTTATATACTTTTTATTTATTAAAATGTTTGTTTATCTTTAAGTAGTTGCACAAAGAGCCTTTGAATTTATATACTTCTTAGGTCTTTAATCCTAAAATTATTTTTGTAATATTAATGGCTCATTTTTAACATGTTCTTTTTCCATTGTTCAACATAATTCCCATACATGTAGAAAGTACAACGATAAGGAAGGAGGAAGGATAAGTAGTAAGGATAAACATATATACACATCCCACACAAAAAAAGAAGTCAAGGATAATGAGGAGACAGCAGAGTCTAGGATGGGAGAAGACAAGCAGAAGTCCTAGACGTGGGGGAAAATTCACAAGGTCATCTAGGTTTTCATAACAACAGGTTTTAAGGGATTAATAACAGGCCAGCATTGGATACAAAATAGCTGCAGAAGAACGAGAATACTGAGGAAGAGATGAGGTAGAGCCAAAAAGGAGTTAAAGGAGAAAGTCTGGGAGGACCCATGGCTTGAAAAACACTTACCATTCTCAGCTCCTAGCAGATGCCTGGGTCCTAAATGTAGAAAAAAAGTTCAACTGCTCTGCTTCTTAGCTATTCTGCAGGTCAAAGACTTTTGCGCTTGCTAGGCAGAGGCCTTCTGGGAAGCTCTCATAAGAAGAGCAAAGGTGACTGCTTTGAGCAGCTCAGCCCCTCCTCTGGGCAGTACTAACCAGAGTTTGGGGCAGGAGGCACAAGTCCTAGCCAAACCAACCATCTTCACAATAGAACAAACTGCTTGAACTCATGCAGCATATGGCTATTTTTAGAAATCCTGCAAGGCGAATGGAGTATTATTTTAACTCGACTCCATTTGTGCCTGAGAAAACTAGTCTTTTTTTTTTTTTAAATGGTACCAGTTCTGGGGTTTGAACTCAGGGCCTGGGTACTGTCCCTTGAGCTTTTGTTTGCTTTTCTCAAAGCTAGCGCTGTACCACTTGAGCCACAGTTCCACTTTTTTTCCCCTAGCTAAAAATATGGAACACTTCACAAATTTGCATGGCTTCCTTTGCATAGGGGCCATGTTAATCTTCTCTGTATCATTCCACCTTTAGTATATGTGCTGCCAAAGCAAGCACCTACAGTTCCACTTTTTGGAGATAAAAGTCCCATGGACTTTCCTGTCTGAATTGGGTTTGAACTTTGATCCTCAGATCTCAGCTTCCTGAGCAGGCATGAGCCACTGATATCCAGCTATCAGTCCCTCCTTGGTATAGTCTTGTTTAGGAATGAGGACAAGCATGAAACATACTACTGTGATACCACAACCTGGAGGTACCTAGAAGTGGCAGCGTCCACTTCAGAGTCGCTATACCAGGACATTTGATAGTTACTTCAGGCCTAAGATTTCCACAGCCTAGTAGCTCCTCACAATAGACCATACAGTCACACATCAGTCACTTGATTTTTCTGTAGAGTTTTAGGCATCATTTAAAAATATCTCCTGTTTTCTTGACATCCAGTGTCGAGTGAGCTACCACACATGGGCCAGTGCTGAATGGAAAGACTTGCTCTTTGAATCTGCATGTCTTAAGCTAGTCCTATAGCCACACATTGCAAACTAAATCTAGACAAGTATCATAGTTCATTTTGAAGGGCAGGAGCAGAGCGGTGTTTCTACATTACAGTGGCTCCATTTTGACTGTAAAGGCACATCACTTGGGTCTTTTCTCATTACATGTTCACAGATACTACCTCGGGAGACAAAAAGCAGTCTAAGTTAGGGCTGACCCAAGGGAAACTAAAGTGAGGTGTCCGAGGTAGGCAAGAAGGGGACAACCAAGAGCACAGAGTATGTCAGGGGTAGGGAAAGAACAGCAGAGCAGCTGAGAAAAAGCCCACATTTAGGGCCCGTGATCACAGACTTGAATTTGAATCCTGCCTCTGCTGCCTACTATGCCATCTTGTACATATTACTTAACCTCTCTGATCCTCGTATTCTTCATCGATGAAATGAAGATTCACTGCAGTGGGTTATTGGGAGGCTAAAATGAGCTAATAGTGATGTGCTCAGCACAGAGCTTCATACTGCATTGGGTAAGAGCTGAAATGAATGGCAGACACATGCTATCATGATGGCAGTAATGTTGTCATCATTAATAGGATTATTGAGGAAATATAAGCCACCATGCTGACATCTCCTTAAACAGGACATGAAGAAAGGCGGACTGGCTGTAGTTCTGAGTGCCTTCTCCACAGCCCATCCTCCTCTCTCCAGCTTCATGAAATGAAGGGTAAGTATATACAAGTAGTATATCTCAGAGATTATAGGACAGTTGGAAAGGCCTGCTCCTTGCTGGAATTTACAGAAGTTTGTTTTTCCAAAGTACACTTTTAACCTCATTGATTGAGACATGATCATTCTGTTTATATTCCCGAAGTCTGGCCGGAAGTTTACTTGACCACACTAGCTAGGGAGAAAAGAAGGTTGCTACAGCAGCATAAACTCATGTTCACATGATTCCTTACTATTTAGGAGAGTCAACTTTGAGATATTTAGATATGCCATTAAAAAAAAAAATGCTGAATTGACAACTACAATTTAGACAGAGGCTGTAGCTCCCAGGCTAGGCTTTCATACGTTTATTACAGATACTTCTAGTTCCAAGCTCTAAATTAAAACAAAACATTAGTAGCATTAGCAAGTTTTTCTCCAGTAGATAAAATTCTGGACTAAGGATACTCATTTTTCAGTAAAGTTGTTTATTCTGTAATGCATATTAAAACCAGTGGCCAAAGCCGGGTGCTGATGGGTTACATCTATAATCCTAGCTACTGAGGAGGCTGAGCTCTGAAGATGGAGGTTTGAAGCCAGACTCGGCAGGAAAGTCTATGAGACTCTTATCTCCAGTTCATCACACAGAGAAAGCTGGAAGTGATGCTGTACCTCAAGTGGTAGAGTGCTAGCCTTGAAAAAAGGAGCTTCAGGACAGCACCCAGAGTTCAAAGCCCAGGACAGGGGAATAGGGGGTTGGAGGTGGGGAGGGAATCAATGGCCAGAAACTCTGTTAGGTAGTAATCTGTCTTTATTCCTTTCTTTGACAGGCATAAACATTTTCTATTTTAAGAAGGGTATGAGGGCTGAGGACATGGCTCAAGTGATAGAGTTCTTACCTAGCAAGTTCCAGGCCTTGAGTTCAAATCCTATTATCTAAAAGAGGGGAGAGGTATGTCCAGAGACAGAGCTATCACTGAGGAGGCAGTACCACAGACAGAGCTGAGGAGGTCCTGTTGGAACCACAGACAATATCAAAACCACAAACCACAAATCTAGAAATCCAGAAAACCTCTCAAAAGTTAAAAATTTAAAAGAACCCAGTTTCTTTCATCTGTAAAAAGCCTTTATCTAACTAAATATATCAGTGATACATGCCTAGCTAGATATGTCATCTAGGCAGAGATGGGGGCGTGAGATGGAATCTACCCTATTTTTAAAGATCTCCAGGGAAGACAACTTCTTTGGAACTTGTGTTGCAGTATAATCATCTTTTTTTATTATGCATTTTAAATGTTTAACCTCATTTTTTGCTTTTTATTCTTTAAGGCTGTTTCTTCCTTTTTTGGTGTTTGAAATGATATATTAGGTCTATTTCTAAATATATGTGATGAGTTTGTCATATCATCTATTTCCATGTTAACTTCTGGGAAAAATATTCCTCTATTTCCTCTTGTGGCAGACTTGATGTGTCCAAAATGCAGGCACTACCATCAGTTAGGGTTGCTAGGTGTGGTGGCTCAGTGTGAGACCATGAAACCCTGTCTCAAGACCAACAGCCAAGCTGACCAAGGAGTCAATGATGAGCCTAAAGCAATCTTCCAGTCCCATGGGAGCCATTGTTTTCTCCACAGGACTTCTCCAAGAAGTTTCCCTTAACTTGTTTTTTTTTGTAAGATTTTTTGACAACTGGACTTCTTACTGCCAAAAAAGAATCTCTTAGGCACAGATGTGACTGTCTTCCTCAGCAGATCAAATTCCAATTCAGCTCTTTCTTGAAATGTTTTTCAGCTTGGTTGAAATCCTTATTTTCAGAAAATATATCCCACCATGACTTAATCTTATACCTAGAACTCTCTTTAGGAATTCTCAAAGAAAGACGCTCTGAGGGCCCATAACAGGGAGGCCAGTGACAAATTACCTATGTGGGCACCTAGTAATGCTTCTTTGTTAAGACTTTGGCATGCCTACCTCTTGCCCATCCACCATAATTGCTTAATTTCCAAGTCACTGCTCAGGACACTCACATAACAGGCCCTGGGTGGTTGGTTCAGGCAGCTTTTCTCAGAGCCCCACATGTTCTGAACATTATAACTAAACTATGATGGATACTGCCCCATTAATCAGATAAACACTAAGGGAATAGGATTAAAATATCATCTGGATAGATTCCAGTTATACAGCCCAAGAGGAGTGAGACACTATCACAAAACACAAAGTTAGAGGGAAGCAAAAGAAATGGGAGACAGCCCTTAGGCACCAGGGAAAAAACCCAAGGTAAAAAGAAAGTAACAGCACCAATACAAGGAAGGCACACACTTTCCTTTAATTACCTTCAGATTTAGGACTAGGAGTAGATGCAGGAAACTGGTAGGTAGGAGTGTAAGGGTTGTCCTCTGCAGCAGAGAAAAGTAGTGGGTTTTGAAACTATCCACCGTGAAGTGGAGGGACTGACAGATCCCCAAAAGACTCTTTCAAATGTTTGGTTACCTATTTTAGTGTTATTAAAGCACACAGGCATCACACTTAAAATAGATTAATGAATTAGAAAGGATTTAGTTATTTTAATATAGCACATCATGCAAATGAGTAAAATAAAATTTTCACCAGCAAAAACCCCCCACAAAAACAACCTGTAAAAATGAAATCTAAAAGCCAAATTCCATTATGCCTATAATGGAAAGCTAAGAACTAATTTAAGGCTATGGCAACAGATACACTGTCTAAGTTGATTGTACCTTCAGAATTTTGCTGGATTTCAGGAAGTTCAGGGAATTTGTACGTAGGGAAATAAGGGTTTTCTTCAGGAGTGTCTAGGCAGAGGAGCAAGTTTGAGAAAGAGAATAGAGGAAGATACAAATGGAGACAATGAACGAATAGGAATCACATACAATTTAAGGCTCCTTGAATTGTGGAAGACAATGAGCTTCAGTAATCATATGAAAGAAAACCAAATTGCTTTTAGAAAAATCCAGTCTTTTGCCTGAATTATTGAGACACATCAAAAAAGGCACTATCGTTATTTTTCTTGGACCAAGAATTACATATAACCAGATGCTAATGAGCAAGAAGCATTTAACATAAACCTTCAAGTTTTCAGTTTTTATCAGATATATTAAGTATGACAAGCCATATACATAAAGAAAACACTATCCTAAAATATTTTTTTAAATCAAAGCTTATGTTGTAGACATTAGAATCAAGGCAAACAAGTGGAGTCTTAATTTTTCAAATACCTTTGCCAACTATTAGAGCAGGTAGTTTTGTTTAGAAACTCTAATTTAGTTGAGTTAATAGCTATAATAAGAGAAGTCCAGTGCTGCCCATGGGACAGAATTAGACATTCTGCGCATAATACATGCACTTGTTCCTGCATTTAGATTTTTGAAGCTGCGTTTGAAGATGAGAGAGTCAGATTATCACTAGAGGAAATGGGACAGTGACTTTAGGAAGTAAGTGGAACTGACCTATCAGATGACAACAATCCAGCATTCAGCATCACCAGGAGTGAGCTTATCCACCCATAGCAGATTTACTGTTGATCCCAAATGTTCAATACTAAGCATCTTTTTATTTAGAAACTGTTTGAAGAGGTTCATTGTGAACTCAGAAAGAGCTAATTAACAGTGACATTATTTGGCATCCACAGCTAAGCAGAACGATTAGATATTTGTGACTTTGGTGGGACTCACTGACCAGGACACCCCCATGTGTCTTTCATGCCAGGTGGCCAGACTGGATTTGGGCACAGGGAAGAGTAGGATGCTCTGCCTGCAGGAGGATAGCATCCTTTCCCTGCTGCAGTGACATCTTGCTGACTGGCAGATCAGATGACTAGCAGCATAGGTGGCAATGAGAGCTGCTGGGGTTGTGACTTGCCAGAGCACTGGCTTCCCCACCATGCTGGGTCACTTGCTGACAGCCCAGTGGGCCTCTGATTTGTAAACATCTCTCAGGTTGAGCAGGCTCTAGTGTGTCAGCTCTTGACTGATTCTCAGGGCACCTGCCAAGGCTGGCTCCAAGATGGAGAAGCTTATTTTTCATATTAACACAGCCTTAGATATGGACTCTACTTCACAAAGCCAAAAGTAGACAGCAGACATCCTTCTAAGGATAGGAAGCAGAACCAACACAGTGATACATGATTGGCACAAGATCACCTGAGTGCATGAGGGGCTGAATCTAGGTGAGAACAACCTTTCTTAACTTCCAGCTCCGTTTTTTGTTGTTTTTTTCAACTTGCCTTGCCAACATGGAAGTCATGGGCTGACACAGAAAGTATCTAAAGCTGGAAGCAGGTGGGAGATGAAGCTGCTCTCACCCCAGGCAGATAGGGTATGTAGCACAGATACAGTGTGAGGCTCAGCTTGCTGCATTCCACAACAGCTGGGAGGGAGGACTATGATCTGACTCCAAATTCCAAAGCCATTATAGGCATGCGGTGTGTCCTCCCTCCCTCCTGTGATCTGAAAGCACATGGGTGGGCTCGGGCAGACCAGTACCTAACAGGACCCAACTGCAGAACCCAGTCCTGGAGTCCAGGCAAAGTGAGTTCAGGTCCACATCTGACAATCGAAATATTGGCACATAGCATAGCTTAGCTTCTACAAATGAAAATCAGTACCTCTATTTAGTTTGTGGATCTGTTTAAACATCGTCTTGTACCAGTCTTTTGATCTCTCAGTATTCTAGAGAAAAACAAAGGCAGGAGATAAAATGAGATGGAACTTGTGGCACATTCCTGAATTGCTATGATTACAAAATCAAAACCAAACAAGGAAATGACAACATTTTAACTTAAAATTCAGCCACATTTATATCTTTATTTTTATAATTTTTTATTGTGATTAAGTGATTACATAAATTTTACAAATTTCACAGTATTGTGAAATAGTGATACTTAAAGTCACAAGCACATTCTAAGCTTCATGAGGCAAATTGTCATTATCATGGTCTATAAACTTTGTGAATTCTATGGGCTTTGACAATACAACTATTTCTTCCACATCCGGTGATATGTACATTTCTTTGCTGGTGGCTCACACCTGTAACCCTATCTACTCAAGAGGCTAAGATCTGAGGATCATGATTCAAAGCCAACCTGAGCAGGAAAGTCTGAGAGACTCTTGTCTTCAATTAACCACTAGAAGACCAGAAGTGGCATTGTGGCTCAAAGTGGTACAGCATTAGCCTTGAGTGAAAAAGCTCAGGGATGACACTCAATCCCTGAGTTCAAGCCCCATGACTGACCAAAAAAAAAAAAAAAGTTAAAAATTGAGAGAAAAAAAAAAACAAGAAATTCGGACATAAATCTGTAGAATAATATTTGGATAAAGAATACAATTTTTGAAAAAACACAATGTGTGGTTTTTTTTTTAATGTGTCCATTCTTCATTTTCTTTATTTCTTTTTTTCTTGTCGGTTGAGGGGCTTGAACTCTGGGGCTGGACACTGTCCCTCAGCTCTTCAGCTCAAGGCTAGTGTTTACCACTTGAGCCACAGAGCCACTTCTGGTTTTCTGGTGCTTTATTGGAGATAAGAGTTTCACAGATTTTCCTACCCGGGCTGGCTTTGAACCATGATCCTCAGATCACAGCCTCCTGAGTAGCTAGGACTATAGGCGTGCCCTGCCATTCTTCACTTTGTTTTACATTTCACTTTTCAGAGAGATTCTCCGTATATGTACACACTATCAGAAACTGAAATAAATCTTCCTAAAATCGTGAGATGGAGAATATTTGCTTATGATGCTATCTATCACTGGCCCTTCTGGGTTATTCTGTATAAATATATCTAAGTCACCTTGCATAGGCCAGATATAGAATACCTACATTAAAATGTAACCCATTGTAACCTCCAATGCAAGAATTTTCAACTTCACCACAAAGCTAGAGCTTTTTTTAAAAAAAAAGATAAAAATAACAAAAGGAAGGTGACACATAGCTGGTTAGAGCAGGTATTTTTACTCCCACTTTACAGATGAGGAAATGAGATAGGGAAACTTAAAATGAGTTGTCTGAGGTCATAGAGGTGAGTGGAAGGGCCACTTAACATGATAGGGGCAAGCTTGGGAGAGTAATGTTACCCCTGGAATCCCTGTTTCCTGGTGGTTATAGTTTGCTTGAGAGTCAACCTTAAAGGTCCATATGTAAAGGCTTGGTCCCCAATATGGTGGTATGGGGAGATGCCACGGACCTTGAGGAAGGTGAACCTAGTGGGAACTCCTTAGGTCACAAGGATGAGTTCCACAAGGGACTGTGGAATTCCATTCCACCCATCCTCCCTCTTTCTGCTTCCTGACTCATCTATGAGCACTCCCCTCCCACATGCGCTCCTGTCAAGACAGACCCCCTTCACCAGAGACCTAGAGCAAGGTGGTCACTCAGTTTTGACTTGAACTTCTTGAACCATGAGCTCTTTATTTCATATACAGTCTATAGTGATGCAAAACTCACCTACAAAATGGAGCAGCATACACTACTCACTCGAGTGGTAATGTTTAACTGAGATAATGTGCCCCCCAAAACGAGTTGTATTCATGCCTAGCACTCTCTTTTTCTATTATTACTTATGAACAGAGAAGAGTTCCTTCAAAGCCTAGCTCTAAGATGTTTCCATTGGCTTCCTTCAAAACGATATAAGAACAGTCCCTTCTCCAAACAGAAATCACAGAAGAACATATGGCAGCCAAGGGTCGGTGAACAAATGTAGAAGAATGGAATTCATCTGAACTCAATTTCAAAGGAAACCTGGTAGGAGGACTGACTTGGCTGACAGACCTACCCTGTCCTGTAGGACTTGGTGGGCTGAATCCTTTGTGGCTCCTTTAGTGTCTCTCATTTGGATGATGGGGTAAATCTCATCCACAGATCTTCTTCCTGAATCCAGAACCAGGGATCATGGGCCTCAAACTCTCTCCAAGATGCCCTAGTCCTGGATCAGGAGATGCTGAATGGGCTTCACAGAACAATAATAAAGGCATATCACCTAGGACATTCTCCACTGAGCATTCACAAGACACAAGCCTCTCATGTTCTGCTGCAGAGAAATCTCTCCAACTTTGTTCCACCCAGATATTCTTTTTATCTATGAGATACATTAATACCTCACACTCACTTTCAGAAAAGCTATTGTACACCAAGTCTGGAACATTGCTTATCAAGGGTCTGGCACTTAGGGTCAGGCACCACAAGTGAGGATCCTCCTCCTCCAGGCCTCTTATCTATGGATGGGGTTCATGGACAACCACGGCTGCACACTGTCATCCTTGTCTAAGCTGAAGTGTAAGAAGGACCTGAGGTCCAACTTCCTACCCGCAGTGGGATGCCCACTTCATCCATGGACACATCGCTTAGATCTTGTGCACTCTTCACCACCCGTCTGCCATCATCCTTCACTCGTTTTTCAGCAGCTCTGCTGGGTGAGGTGGGTTTTTCCTGGATTGGTGCTGTGTCCTGCTCACCCAATCTTCTCTCTGAGACAGGATCTGGAAATGAAAAATGATCATTAGCTGAAATTCTTCTGGCAGCACCAAAGCAGAGACCTCCTAGACAGTCTAGCTAGGGGAAAGTCGTTGCTAATTCCCAACTAGTACTAGTTCTACTTAGAGGAGGGGTCAGTAAACTCCTCAGCTACCTGTTGTTGTAAATAAAGTTTTATTGGAACATAGCCATGCCAGTTCATTTATATATTATTTATGAATGGTTCTGTGCTACAATTGCTGAGCTTGGATAACTGGGATCATATGTCCTAGAAAGCCTAAAGTATTTATTATCTTCTAAATTAAAAAAATTAAAAACACTTTGCAGACACTAGTTTTGTAGAAGTATGTTCACTGTGCTCTGAACATTCAAGTAGTTTTGACTATTGTAAAAACAATTTTAAACAGTTGGCAAAATGTCATTGGAATGTTCTTGCTTCATCTGGGGAAGTCATTTAACTTTTCCCTATGTTTTCTCACAAAAAAAAATAGGGATAATATTTTTCCTCTGGCAAGTTCACAGTAATGTGATGACAGGATTTATCAAGATAGCTTAAGCCAAAGTACTCAAATCACCTAGCACATTGCTAGGTGATCTTTACAGTTTAACTTGGTTCAAGGTTGGAAGTAATAGAGAGCTAATAAACACACCAGGTATGGTCTACAGATTATACTTATAATCTGTTATTCTAATCTATGTCAATCACTTACTGGAGATGCACTTACTAAGCCTACAGTCATGAGGGTGAATATCTCAGAATCCTAGCCTTCAGGTAGCTTAAATTCTAGTGGGCAGAAAGAGCAAGCGAGTCAGCAATGAGAATATAGAATGATGAAAGCTGATGGAACAGCCAAAGTCCAACTCAGCTGAGAAATTCAGGTTCAGAGCCATCTTGTTTAAGGAGAAGCCAACCAGAGGAAAAGAAAGTAGAGTGTGCTTCTGACAGAGGGAGCAGTACAAGCAGATGCTTAGCTACCTTGAAATACTCTAACCTAATTATGGGACAGGCATTGCACTAAACTCTTGCACTTTGTGAATACAGTGAAACAAAGGTAGAAATTCTCTAAAGACGCCCCCTAGTCTCACCCCTCGGGTGAGACTCCTTGGCAGAGTGAAGTTTTGGCAGCACAAAAGTGATGGCCAACGTCAAGGAGATGTCAGAGCTCAGCAACAAAAAGAGATAATAGCAGAGCCAAAGTCTGATGTCACACACTGAGGGATGCCACAGATAAAGGCTAAAAAGTAGAAGAACCCCAAGTGGATGTGGGAGTCATCTGGTGGATGGGAGATGAATCAAGACATACATCAGAGTGCCATGAAACCAGAAGAGAGAGTTCCAAGAGGGGGGTAGTTAAACATGTCAAAAACAAAAAAAAGGAAAGAAAGAAAATTTCCCAGAGATTGAAGCAGAGGAGGAGGCCTTAGATAAGCAAGAAGAAAGTCACAGAAAACTGAGGGCACAATTTCAGGAGGGCAGTGCAGGTAGCAGATTGCAGGGAAGGGGATAAATGTGGTACACATGAAGTAGAGAGGAAATCTAACACAAAGGAAGAAGGGTATCAGAGTGTAAGTGGAGAGGTCAATAAAGTAAAAAGGTTTAGGCCAAGGGAGCCTTCAATTCTATCAGTGAAGTCCATGAGGGGAGAATGGAGGGCCTCAAAATGAGCCTCAAAAGTCAAAAAGTACTTATTGTTTGGCTGAAGAGAGGTACAGAGTACTGATTGGAGGACTAGATAGACAAAATAGGGGGTTCCGGGGGTCCATGCAAAGTTCTGACAAAGTCAGAGGGGTCTGTGTATGGAGGGGAGACCAGGGAAGCAGACGACAGTGAAGTCAGCAGATTCTGGTTTTACTACCTTCAGTCTATTCAACAGGGTGATTCTGCCCTGATTTCATGTACACTTTTTGAGACCTCTACTTCATCTGGGAGTGCAGAACTATTTCTAAACATTCTTCGTGCTACTTTGCTTGCTGAGTGCTTCAGAAAACCTGATCTCTGACATTATTGCCATAAACTTCAAAGACTCAAAGCTTCATAGCATGAGTTCCCATGCTCCCAGGAAATTCTGACATGAGGCCAAAGTTTTGGCAGAAAGCCAAGACACACATGTGGGTTTCAAGCTACCTGAGTCTACCCTTAGACTTGGCTCTCATGATCAAACTCTGAAGCTACTAATATGTAGTTAGAGGCCTTTTATACCTATTTCATGATTCCATTCAAACTTCCACAGGCAAGAATGAGCCCCAACAACACCACCTCCCCTTTTTCCCCCCATAACTACCTGGGCTCAGCAACCTGGGTTGGGCCAAGGGAATAAAGTAGAGTGGGGTGTGGCAGCTCCAGGATGGGCATTGAAGGGCACCTTGAGCTTAACCACAGCCTGTCCTGGTCCTGTGGCCAAGTCCTGATAAAGCTGAGAGTGTGTGAGAACCTAATGTCCTCCCTACCCAGACTCTGCCCAAATCACAAGGGCAGCAAAAGGACAAAGTCATGCAGAAACCATAGAGCAGCTGCTCAGAAATGATAGCTTCAATTATCCACCAGATCAGGGGCACTTAACCCCAGAATTCATCTACAGCATTCACATGCACATTTGTGAACATGTGGCTTCTGCTAGAGAATGAATCTACTGCCTCCATAATATTCTCACAAGGAGACTACAACTAAAAAAAGATGACAAGACATCATACTACATCATTAGTTTTCTATGTGCATCATACTTCTCTAATGCAGCCCAGAGCTTGGCCCAGTATCCAGAACAAAGGAGAAATTCAGTAAGTGACCAATAAGTCAACAGAGGCCCTTGCTGGAAACAGTAGCTCACATATAATAAGCACTTAATGAGTACCAAAGCTCAGTGCAAAGTTGTTCGTTAGCAGACTCTGTTGAGATCTACAAAACACAACTACTTTCCCCTTCAGAATAAAAGTCCAAAGCCCAGTACTAGGGCTGTGGTTTATCATGCTTGTAACTCTAAGGCCCTGAGTTTAATCCCCAGTGTTACAAAAACAAATAAACAAAACAAAAGCCCCTGAATTGGAGAGATATCAGATAATCTGTCTGTGGTAGCACTGGGAGTTAGTGGTCGAAAAAGACTTAAAAGTAGAGTGGCATAGTTTGGGAATGTAGCTCAGTGGCAGAATACTTGCCTAGCATGTGCTAAGTCTGAGGTCATTCCCTAGCACTTCCAGAAAAAAAAATCAAATGAAGTAGAATGGCTACAGGAATCTTGCAGAGAAAGGCCAATTACCACTATTCCTGTGTTTTCTCACAATTTCAGCCTCCACATTTGTTCCCTCCCCATCCTAACACTGTCCCATGTAGCACACTTTCTCTGGGAGTGAGCTCTGATACCAGATTATATTTGAAGTCACTCTCCATCACTGGTTGATAATCCACTCATCAAACAAAGCCAACAGTAAGTGAGGTATCAGCATCATGAAGCAGCTGGCTAGAAATGCTCTCCAGAAGATCATGCTACAAGTTCAAGAAGCAGTTCCAGACACTGCTGATCTGGAGGACTCTCTCCTGGACCTATCATTCCAGCATCACCCAATTATATTTGAGCTTGTCACCCCAAAAGAAAAGAACTTTCCCACATTTAAAAACTTTTGATTTGCTCTTCTAAAGCCTGCCATAAACACTGCATCTACAGCAGAATCCTTTTGCTCTTTACCTAGAACATATGATGCTTCCCAGTAAGCATCAATTCCTTAGCACAGTTCCACAGGATATACTTGCCAGTTGAGTTCTAGGATGCAGATGCTATTCCTCTCTATTTACCACCACTGTGGTCCAGTCATTCACTCATAGGAAAGCTCAGAAGACAGTGATGATTGAACATTGGATGGAAACCAAAAACTAGCTTTAACAGGAACAGGATTAACAGGTAAATAATTTTCTCACTTACCTGAAAGGCTACTCAGTCGTTTCTGTTGTTCTATGATAAAAGAAAATATACAGTGTGAGCACATAGTAAGGCCAACAAATCCTGGCATAAGTTAAGATCCTGGCCTGGTCCTCACTATTCTCTGGGCTTAGATGCTAAAATATACAGCCCAGCTAGAGGCAGGCTTAATAATATGGCTCCCATTATCCAAGTGTGATACCTCCTAACTTCCTGCTATCCAGATTAGCACAGGACATAGGACTGCCAAGGTTTATGTGTCATCTCAAGATGATCTCCTCACTGAAGGGGACTCTCTTGACTCCTCTGGTTCCACATGAACAGGCCTATACTGATCCTTCTTTTGCTACTTTTGAGGGAAATGAAATGAAATTACAGATATGATAGCTACCATCTTCTGAGAGCTTGCCAAATCCTTGACCCTGTTTTAGGAGTTTTTACACATTGTACTTATGATCTTAGCATAACCCCAGCAGTTAGGTACAATTATTTTCCTTAGCTATGATAGCCATCTGGCTGGTGCAAGATAAAGAATAATCTCTTTTAAAAAAAAATCAGCATTAGCCAAGAGGTCTCAGCTAAATGACCAAGATAACATTGAAAATCATATGAATCTAAAACCTAAGTCTCTCAACTCATAGTCTAGGGTTCTTTAAAATTCTAGTCACAAAGCCCTCCATTGGCCTTAACATCAAAGCTCTACTGGTAGTTTGTACTCCTGGGTAACAGTGTGGAGGGAAGGCCAACATCTCCTTTGGAGAGTCCTGGGTGTACTTGCTGTGCGATAAACACAAAAATGACCTTTACCTTCCATAGCTGCTAAATATAAAGCAGCCACATAGATAAAAATAGAACATTTGCCAGCCCATGGGTGCTGTCATCATCCCCTCTGGCCACATTCCCACCCTCCCACAGGAATTAGGGTAGGCCAGAAGTAAACAGCAGCAGGGAGTTCATAGATCATGATGTGGCAGCTGGTCACTTCTAGTGCATGGATAGGGTTCACACTAGCTGGACAAGAAACCCAACAGAGCCCCAGGCTTGCTCTAGATGACAATAGCTAATTGAGTAACGTTTCTGCCTTAGTTTCCTGATCTGTAACATCCAGATTCTCTATGGTATCAAAAAGGATCTATGATTGCCAAACTCTGTTCTATAGGTTGTTGCCACGATCCTCATCAGCTGGACAAACCAAATGTATACAGTTTAAATGTCTATGTTGTTTCCATTTCTGGGGTATGACACGGCATTTCTTTCATAGGAAGTCACACAGGCAGTAGTAGCTGTTTTTCAGTGGTGTTACACAGAAAGTTAGAAATTAGCAGCACAAGGTGACCCCCAGACAGCTTCACATGTCCACAGATAACATGTGAGGATGTTTAAACACTTCTTCTCCAGTGTGGTCCACAGCCAACAGTAGCAACCATACCCACAGGAGTTTCCGAAAAATGCAAAATTTTGCTCACCTCCCAAGAGCTCCTGAATTTGAACCCTGCAAAGTCAACACAATTCAAAGGATCCAATGTACAGTAAAGACCTTGAAATCCTGAGAAAGAGCACCAGGTGCCTCTTTCAGTCCTCAGAGTTTCCTGATTCAAATCCTCTTTCCCAGACTGATGGTAGGAGATGTCCTAACATAATGGTACGAAGAGGCTAAGATCTGAGGATCATGGTTTGAAGAAGGAAGCCCATGAGGCACTTATCTCCACTTAACCAACAAAAAGTTGGAAGTGGAGCTGTGGTTCAAATGGTAGAGCACTAGCCTTAATCCAAAAAGCTCAGGGTCAGTGCTCAGGTCCTAAATTCAAGCCCTAGGAAAAACATGCACACACACACACGCGCACTTACACGTGCGCTCGCGCGCACGCGCGCGTGCACACACACACACACACACACACGAGACAAAAAAAAGGGAAAAGGAGACTGTTGTTCACAATCATCAGTGCTGACACATAAGCTCAGTTCCTCCCCCAGGCAAGTCTATTTCTCATAGGAAGAGGCTGGCTTAGAGAGATAGTTATTGTCATTCTGTGCCCTGGGACAATTTAGGACCCCCCCCCTCAAAAAAGGAAAAATTTTAAGATGCCTAAACTAAAATTTCAGAAGTAGAGTAAAGTTACTATTCCCTCAGAGTTAAGTAATTGTTCTGCCAGGCTGGACAAATTCCAAAGCAGTGCCAAAATGCTTGTCCTAAAACCTATTTATGATTAGCAAATAGCCAGGCTCCTCCGTTCTTCTCTACTCCCCCTGAACTACCAACAGGTGAACCCATGGTTTTACTCTTAATGGGAAGCTACAGTTTAATGCCAACATCCTTTTCTGGAATGATGTGTCTCTAGGGCTACCCAATTCTGATTTTTAAACACAAAAACAGAACTTGGCCAAAAGAAAAAGGCAAGAACTAAAGGCAATTGGGTAAATAAGAGTTCATTTATTCAAGGAAGAAACAAAGAGGAACTGTAGGCATTCCTGTGTTCAAAAATGTCTCACTAGGTGTCATCACAGGGACTTGGCAGAAGCAACTAGACATTACATTTGGCATTTCCCAAAACCAAGTTGCCTTGGGAATAAACTCCATTTTTTAAAAAATTGCCTTTCCTTTTGCTTCTGACTAGATTTTTTTTAAAGTCATAAAGAAGCTCAGAGGGAGGCAAAATTTCACTTTGTCCTGCATTAAAAGCACTCTCTAGACAAGGAGAGTTACTGGCAGTAAGGGGATGGTAGAGCTAGAAGGAAAATGAGCTCCTACAAGGGCCTGGGACCCTTTGTTTCTTTTAAAGAACACAGATTCATGAGTGAGAATTAATAATGGGAACCACATAGCATGCAGAATAAATAATAAATAAATATATCAACAATCTGCTAAAGCAACTATTTACAGTTTGAATCGGAATATTTTAAGTGAGAGAAAATGTTTTATGCATCTTCAAATTAGATGCTGGAAACCGAAAAATCTATTTTGTATGAAAAATAATTAAAAATAGACTTTAGTTCCATTCTCATCCAAGTTAATGTAGAGAGGAAGAGACCAGGATGAGGAGGAAATTATGAAGTAGGTGAAAAGGGAATCAAGAACAGGAAGACTTGGAACCAAGCTTTGAGCTCTGAACACAGTAAGTAAGCCTCCATTGTTCTGTGAATTTATACTGAAAAGTCCTGTCTATAATGGGGGGCAGCCTAAAAACTTTCATGCTGCAAAGGGCAAGTTTATTCCTCAATGGAATTCCAAAAAGGAAAACTTGGGATGTAGATCCACCGTCTGTACTCTTAAAGCACAAGGGTCAACCTATATAATTACCACTTCAAAGCTCTTGTGTTTTACTAACTCCCAACTTCCCATTTAGAACTGCATCAGAACCAACCAGAGCAGTCACAGAAAGTTTAGAAACAACACATGAAAACCCTACACAGAATCCTACATCTGGGTCTCGTGGGGCAGCCACAGCCACAGGATCCTCTGGATAGTAACTGCCCTAAGAGAAGGGCAGTGAGTCATTAGGAGAAAACCCAATCATCTATTTTAGTTAGAAAAAAACCAAATTTTATATTTTAGAGATTTTTTTCCTCCCCAATATGTTTCCTTTTTAGATTTAGTACTCAAAATTATGTTTTCTAGGAATTCATCATGTTGAAGAACTCAATTATTTATGACACTACTTTAAAAAGGTCTATCTAGACTTTCCAAACAAAGCCTCATTTGAAATCACAGAACAAAAAATTTAAGAGACACAGATGTGTTTTGTGATATCATCTGAAGAACCATGAACACCAGTCCAAGGTATGGTTCATATGATTACAGTTGCCCAGCTTACCTACTCAGACATTTGACATAATTCCAAATTGAAATATAGGAGGGAGGTAAACTGGAGCAGGTGGCCCAAGACAGGTCCATTTCTTGAGATGACAAAATTCTTGTCCCAGCTATCACATAATGGCTATTGTGCATTGGAGATGGGACTACAAGAGGGCTCCCTTACCTCTATTGTGCTGTAACAACACAATGGTGGGGTTGACAATAGTGGTGGAAGGGTAGGCAGATGATGGCTTGCTTGTTGGTGGAAAGGCTTGGGAATCAGTTCCAATGGGGGGAGAAGAAACTTCATTTAATAGAGGACTGGAAGCCTAAAAAGGAAACAAACATAAATAACTATAAAATACAAGAAATCTACAGTTAATAGTTTTTTTTAAAGAGAAGAAACGAACCTTAATTATAAAAGGAAATGTAATCAGTAAGACATAACATCATTAATTCCAGTTAAAAGTTTAATCTGGAATGCTTAGTCTCTTTGTTGTTATTAGTAAGGGGAACGAGAGGGAAGGTGAATGTTGCTGAAAGTCTCAGCAACATCATTCAATATTTTCATCTGATAAGAGTGATGGGTCAATCCGGTTACTGAAAAAGCAAATTCCAATCCAAGTAGAATAACATGCAAAACTCATGCAATTCCAAATGCAATCTAAGAACAAGAGCTGCTTAAGTGGGAAAAATCAGGGAAGTTTAGTATACTGTGTAGAAAACTGGGAGATGTGAGGACACAAAATAATCATAAGAACAAGGAAGAGTTAAGTGACAGTTCTTTCAGAAGGCTACTCTTAGCATCAGAATCTCCAAGCAGAATCTCCAAGCAATTATACTAGCATTTGTTTCTGAGCTATCAATATAATTGTATGATTCCATCATACTGTTACCTTTTTCTTCATTCTAATGCTAGAGTAACAAAGATCTTTGAAGTAAGGACTTGAAAGGATCCTAACTCTAAAAACCTGCAATCTCTACCAGATGTGCTAACGAAATTATCATTACTATTTTAATCTGCATGAGCAGGATAATGCCAGTTTCAAAAGAACAAAGCAAAGCCTGACAACAGTCACTTAATGGAATAAGGATATCCAAACAATGTCTTCCATTCTATCTATATACTTTGTAAAGCTCCTATTATAGAAGTTACAAACCTTAAAGCCAAGATGATTTTCTTAAAGGCTTAAACAACATTTTTATAGCTACTCTTGAAGCAATTATTAGACTGTGTGCATATGTGCAGGACAAGGACCAAGACTCCCCCTTCTTTCTGCCACCACCCAGAACACTGCCCTGCAGATAACAGGCACCAGTAAATGCCAGGTGAAGGACAGGAGTTATCTACCAGTAAGGGTATGTTTTGACTTAATCTTTGTGATAAGGCAATGTACTCATCAGAAGAGAGAAGGTGTGTGCTTGTAGCACTTGGAACAGCTCCTGACACACAGTAGGAACTTTACTAACACTGTCTTAGCCAATCTCCCTGCCCTCTGGAAGTTTCCTCTATAGTCACTACTGTCAGTTACAAGCAGCAGCTCAGTTTCACAGTGCACAGTGCATCATTTCAGCTCCTCCATTTGAACTGAAAATTTCCTAATTTATCTCTGCTCCAATTTAATGAGAAATGTCAAATTTAAAAAGCCTCTACAGTATACTCAAGAAACACAAAATAACAGGCATACAGCTCTTTAGAGCAGAAATGCCTGATGTGATGTCTGGGTAAATTATGTGAACATTAAGCATTTTACAAATTTTACTTGTGTCTTACTTCTGGAAAAGTAGAAAAACTGCTATTGACTAAAATGAACTGGATGAATTCATATGACTCTACTCCTCTCTGATATTCTCAAATAGCTGCAGGTGGAGCAGGTATCAGCTCATGGCCCAGAAACCATGCTCAAAGGCACTCAGAGAAGTTCCTTCTTCATCTCTTACTGTTACCTGAGCCCAATGAGTAGATGTTATCGGGCCCACTTCCAGGAAGGCTGCACTAGAGAAAATTGAGGAGACTGTCCCTACTAATCTGTCCCAAAACAAATTCAATAGGCAGGCCCAGAACTATACAAATGCTATATTTTAGAATATACAATAGAACATCTTACAATGGCACCTGAGTGCATTACAAATAAGATTCGTTCTACCTGCTGCTCTTGAAAAATATATTGTGTGTCTAAGGGAAGATGTCTGTGTACCCCAAGCCAGAGTGGCTTCTAATTTCCCTAGAAGTTCAGCTGGTGATAGAGGATATATCAGCCCAAAGCAGGGCTGTTATAAAGCTCAAAGGTAGGAAATACAAATTCTTGAATCATATTGGGATTGGTCCGTATTTAGAAATGTAGTGCTGCATCTAGAGGTTTGAGACAAGGTCTAGCCCAGGATATAATAGTTCCTAGCTTTAGTGTGTCTGATGCCTCCTTATAATTTCTCTAATAAGGCAAAGAATGATGCCTCCTTATAATTTCTCTAATAAGGCAAAGAATGATGCCTCCTTATACTTTCTCTAATAAGGCAAAGAAGTTTCCTTTCCTGTTTTCTACATGATTGGCTTCAGCTTAACAAGCTACATGAATGATGCTTTGTAGGCAAACCTCTTCACACAAAAGGATGTCTGTGAATGCTTAGTTCCATGAGCCAAATGCATGACTCAACAGCTCTCTGTATATCAAAATTGGTCTGTGGACCACTGGGGTGGCTGAGGCCAAATGAGAGTCCAAGCCCCTCCCTAGACCCAATCAGAAACTCTAGTAATATAAACTAACTTCTATGACTCTCAGATGAAACAGTATACGTTAACCCTGAGAACTGATACACTACCTAAAAAAATCATTTGAGAGTAGGGGCCCGGACTCATTTGTCAAGGTACCTAGATACTTTGGTACCTAGGACAACACTTAGAATGTGGACTCAATGATTTAACTCACCGGGTTAATTAGCCAGATGTTGTTGTTGTTTGAGTGACTATGGTTCCTCATTTATTAGGGCATGTCCTTAGCTACATAGCTAACATTTACCAAGCACCTTCTCTGTGTCCATCACTCTCACTGAACTCTACAGCATTGTGAGTATCCCCATACTTTAGCTCCTATGGAGGTTCTTTTTTTAATTCCCAAGACCCCTGAGGAAAAAGGAGACTCACATACTTGGGCTAAGTGTGAAGCCAGCTATGTTCATCCATCCTCAACCTTCAGGAGACCTGAGAGAGGTATCAAGACCTTTCAACTGCCCATGATTACCATTGCACTTGTTTGCCATAAAGGCTCCAGGCTTCCTTTTCAGGGTCCTAGCAACCACCTGTCTTTTTAGAAAGTCCTAATGTTTGCACAAGGCTCTGTTCAATTAAGCATCATATTTTCAAATCCCACTCAACTGCTACTTCTGTTATAAAAAGAGATTTCTTATTTCTGGAATCAACCGAACAGGGAATCCTTTCCTCCCCCAGAACCCCTCTGCTCTTTAGGACATTGCTCTGTAGCACCACATCTGTCATTAGCTTTCCACAGGACCCTTGGCCTTCATCCTCTCAATATTGCACCTTCCTGGTCTATGAAGAACAAGACTAGGCAAAGAAAAGTCCACAGCTAATTTTTCAGAGCTCTTCCAGGAAACCGTGCATTCCTAAGAGGACAGAGAAGAGGCACCAGAGAGCAGCCACAGGTGACCCACAGGACGCACACAGGAGGCATGCACTCGAGGGGCAGCAAAATCAGGTCTAGTCATCACACAAGCACAGCAGCAGCCAACACTTCCTCAGGACTTAGTACTTCAGTGAGAAAGGGAGGTTTTGCTGCTGGGAGCAGCCATTCAGGAAAGCTATGGGGGAGGGAAGTCCAGCAAGCTTACGGTACTTGAGACAGCTCCTGTGAGGTCAGGCTCCAAGGCTCTGTGGAGGTCCTCCGGAATGGGAGGGACCAGCGGAGGTGGTGGTGAGGATGGTGGTGTCTGGCTAATGGGGGGAGGGGAGCCACAAGCACTGGCTGGCTGGCTGTGGTGAGACCGCCTCTGCAGATGAGGGGGAATGAAATCATCTATAGTCGGGAAGGTCAGAGGTGAGGTGGCAGGGGTGGTCGCCGGGCTAGTGTGATCGCAGCCAAGTGGCCCCAGGGATGCTGGAGGTCTGGCAGTGCCTTCTTGCCCTCTATCAGTGTTAACCAGGTAGAGAGGGACAACTATTACCTCAGGCTGGGCTGGACTGGAGGAAGTGGCATCCTGCAGGAGATAAGGGGGTCATTACGTAAAGGGGTATGGTGGGGAGGAAGGAATTCCATATTTAAACACTTGAGATTGGTCATGCAATTATGTACTCTGTGAAATATTTAATCGGTGCCCTTTCCTCAGAGTACATGAGACAGTCAGTGCTGGCCAGCTGGCCTCCTGACACTCCATGACACAGAGGGAGCGCCATCCAAGTTTACTTTCCATCCATCTATTTTTGAATCCTTTTAACACTTTATGAGAGAAAGAGAGAGAACAACAGAGCAGGCAGGCAAGCTTTGTTGAACCCCAGAAAACTGTTGTACAGGGCCTGAAAGCTTGGGAGTAAACACAATTTCTTTGGCACCTTGTCACAAAATAGAAACAGTCTTATTTCACCATATGATTAGTCTACAAAAATTCCACGCTCCGGCATACTTACGTATTTACAGAAAAGAGAGAGGTCTGTGCTGAGGATGTTTAGAGAGAACTAGGAATTCAAGCTGCAGCGGTATTAATGAGGATAGAGAAGGCGGGATGGCCCAGAGAACAAATGAACTGCTCTCATGAGTTTGGAAAGAGACAGCATAGCAGACACACAAATATTCCTCATTTCTTGCCTTGGCTGGATAACACGGCTGCAAAAGGTAAAGTTCTTTGCTCTTCTGGTTTTCGGGATCAGAGGTAACCTGGGGGCCTAGTACAGGTGGTCTCACTGCATCTGGGAATGAAGCCCAAGGCCCCAGGGAAAGACTCTCACCACGGTTACAAGCATCTTTACGGATGTGGGTGTCACAGAATAGCTTGGGAGAGTCAGAAGGAGGAGCAGGGGGCAGTTTTTCTGTGCTGGCTGTGGCTGTGTGAGGGATAAGGCTGGGAGCTGGTGCTCGAGTGCCTGCAGCCTCAGAGGGAGTGTCTTTGGCTGAGTCACGTGCAACACACGAGTTTTCCAATGCTGCTCGGCAAATGTTATTGGATACACAAGGTACATATAAGCTGCTGATCTTTTTATTCCTGATGGCCTCATGACGTGGGTTAGAGCTCTTACTATAAACTAACCTAGTGGCTACATAGTGTTGCTGGTGTTGGGATGAAGCACTAGGGACCATGGAACCCAAAAGCAAGGGATCAGGACACACTGAATCTTTGGGAGGCAACCTAGTTGCCGGTGGGACAGAGATGGACTGGGGGTGTGAATGGTTCTGCTGGCAAGGGGTGCTGGGTGGGACATAAGGCTTTGGTGAGCTCCTATAGAGGGAGTCCTTGTAGGTATTGTGGAAAGTGGGGGGCTGCCATGCAAAGCGGTCCTCTTGAGGGAGGGCAGGATGTGGGGGAGACAGAACCTTTAGTATTTTTCAAGGCATAATATGAAATGGGAGGGGGGCAAGGAAGAAAGGAAGAGGAGGGGAAATGGAAAGAAGGATGGACATTAGAAACAATAGCATAATGTGACATGAAGACACAACAACTTTTGACACATTTTTAAGCAAATCCCCATGGCATCCACAGTTCTCTGGGCAAAGCAAAGGACTGACTCATACTCACCTGCAGAGGCTGGCCTGGCTCTCATTCCAGGAGTGCTGAGCCCATCCTAGAACAAGCCTAGTCAACTCTGGCATCAGTCCTTGGTTGGCTGCCTCTTTATAGACCCCTTGATTTAAGGAGGCTACCCAAGGAGCAAATGCCAGTAAAGAGAAACCCAGAGCTCCCCTTGCTTCTCCAACTCCCTCCTCAAGATTTTTCCCAAAGCCTTTAGCTTAGGAAGTTTAAATCTATTAGATTCTTTTGAGTGTCTTTCACTCTTTTTCTTTGGGAGAAAGAACATTAAAACAGAACAAAACAAAACCACCCGTTTTTTGTGTTCACAGGACAGATGTCTCCATTAAGATTCAACCCTCAGCTCCAGAAACCTAACAAATTAACGCTCACTAAGAGGAATACGCTAAAGGCTTAAAGTCCATATGTGTTCCTTTCTCAGAAAAACAATAGATAGAATTATTTGAAAGAAAGGGCTATGGGTGTAGTTCAACAGTAGTGTTTAATCCCTAGTACCACATGAAAGGAAGGGGAGGAGAAAAAAAAAGGAAACAGGATATTAAAATGTAGGAAAAGAAAGAAACACTAAAAAGGGTAAACAGGTAAGAGATTTAAACAACATTTCATGACTCTGGATTAGAATATCAACCCAGAAACTGTAAAATAACCTATCCTTAAACTTAGTTTTCAAAAGGGCAGATGCAGTGGCTCACATCTGCCTATATTTCTCAGCTACTCAAGAGGCTCAGCATTCAAGCCAGCCCAGACAAAAAGTTAGCAAGTCCCTATATCAACCAATAGCTAGGTATGATGCACACCTGTCATTCTACTTATGTGGGTAACATAAATAGGGGGATCATAGTCCAAGCCCCCACCCCCAACTTGATAACCTATCCCCCAAATAACAAAAGCAATGAATGGCTTCAAGTGGTAGAATGCCTGCCTAATTAATGCAAAGCCTGTCCAACCCCAATGCCATCAAAATAAAATAAAATACAATGCAAGTTTTCACAAATAACCTGGGAGAAAAAAGCAGTTATTTGAGTTTTCAACTAACAGATGTCTGAATTATGTCCTATCCACAGTACACGCCTGAGGATTAGTGGGATATAGAACCAGCCAAAACCACAAAAATGAAGAGTCCCTCTCTGGTATATAGCAAGAGCAAAAAGTTACTTGGCTCCCTGAACTTGGACCAGAGGTTGCACATGTTCATAGACTACATGATGCTGTCCAGAAGCAAAATGATTGGAACTAGCATAAACCAAGGGACTGTCAAGTAAACTGATATTGGCTTAAGAAGTGAGCAAAACACCATTTTAATTTGGGCTTAGATTGACTTTTACTTTGAGCTCCAAAGTCTTGCAAGTGAGCTCTTCTTACTCAAGTATAAACTCATTTTCAATGAGTTTTTAACTTAATTCAGCCATGGCCATACATGGGACAGGACTGTATTACACCAGACATGAGCTCTCCCAGGGTTATGACTCTGCAGAGAGGACACTTCTGGAGTATCCACAATGTACTTAGAGCCAAAGGATTTTCTGTCTCATGGCTTCTTATAAACCGAAAGAAAGAGGACAGGACTTGACACAAAAGAGCTACTAGCAGTTTTACTGTAAATATTTTAGTAACCACAAAGACAGTTTGGATTACTGACTAGTGCCTACTAATAAAATTTCATTTTTCTTTTTGTAAGGTAAGTCAGTGAATTAAAAAAATGATGCCTCTTGAAAACTTTTGTGTCTACAGTTTACATAGGTCTAGAAACTACCACTCTTCTCTGCCACTGGGGTCCACCATGCTGATGACAATGCCAGACAGGGAAACCTTGGTTCCATGTTCCTAGGGAAGGGATGGCAGCATGTCAGGCTGGCAGGACACAAGATTCCATTTGGCCAGTGGGTCTTCTGGGCCTTAATTCACACCTTATTAGGAAATGTTCAGACCACAGAGGTGTGATAGCTTTCTGCAGCTGAAACTAAGCCAAGGCTCTGCCCACTCCAGCCCAGCCCACTTTGGTCAATGTGTACTTAGAGCACTATGAAGCCAAGAAGTTTGGCTATGTGGTGGTTCAAGTGGTAGTGTGCCTGCATAGTAAGCACAGAGCCCTGAGTTCTAACCTCAGTACCATTGGAAAAAAATTTAACCAGGCATCAGTGACTCCTGCTGATAATCCCAGCTACTTGGGAGGCTGAGATCAGGAAGATTATGATTCTACGCCAGCCTGGACAGAAAAATCCATGAGACTCTAACTCTGCAGAAAAAGCTAGACATGATAGTGGGTGCTTACTATCACTCTATCCATAACAAAAGCCTAAAATAGGCAGATCACAAGACAGGTACACACCTGAATAGCAAGTGAGACCTTATATCAAAAATAATTATCATAGGGCTGGGAAGGTGGCTCAGTGGTAGAGCACTTGCCTTGCATGCCTGAGGCCCTGGGTTGGATTCCTCAGCACCACATAAGCATAAAGAAAAAAGCCAGAAGTGGTGCTGTGGCTCAAGTGGTAGAGCACTAACCTTGAGCTGAAGAGCTGAGGGACAGCGCCCAGGCCCAGAGTTCAGGCCCCACAACGGGACCCCCCCCACCCCAAAAAAAATAATCATCATAAAAAAGTGCTGGAGATATGGCTCTGTGGTAAATACCTGTTTAACAAATGTGAGGCCTGGAGTTCAAATCCTAGTAACCACTAAAAAAAAAACAAAAAACAAAAAAACAAAACATCCTCATGTTTATATTCAGAGAACAAATCTAAGAGATACTACATAATCTAACAGTTCTTGAAATTCAGAAGGCCAATTTTACACTGATACACAGAATAAAATCTTTTTATAGCAGCCATTTATTACACTAGCAGCAAGAAGGCGAGTGACCGGTGAGAGAATATGTAGTTGATAGAGATCTCATGGGATACTCACGCTATTATACAGCTCATTCATTTAAATACCTTGAGGGCAATGTTAACACAGTGATCTGAACATAGTGCACAGAAAAACCAAGTTAAGGAAAATTTCTTTACTTCCCAAGCTTGTATATTTTTGTACATGCTACCAAGTAAGTACTCTACCACTGAGCCAAATCCTCAACCCTTCACATGTGTTTAAAAGGATCTCTTGAGAAGAGATATTTACAAAGCCATAGGAACTCTCCAGTTACCCTTTGAGCTAAGACATGAGTGGTGGAAGACAACAGCTTTAAATTAATCAGTAGTGTTTAATAATCTGGGCAGATCTGACTGTACTCATTCTTGAGACTGCTGAGAAGGAAGCATGTCTGCCACAAGTAGCACATTTATATCAATGGAAAAGTCTCAGAACAGGAACTAGAAAGCCATTTTCCAGACCTCCCAAGTCCTTGTGTCTACAGAGGACTTCAGGAGGCCAGGCACATTCACAGATAGTGGGTATACTCAGGAGGAAAGCCACAGCAGAAGGCAGAAAGGCTCAGCTGTGCTGCTCTGAGCAAAAGGCAGGCAAGCGACCAACAACAGGCCTGGGAAGTCAAAAGTCTACAGAGAAGGAAGATGTCAGCTCTTATTCCAGGAGCCCCTTCAGAAGGAGGCACAGGAAGGGGACAACACTGGGAATGTACTTCTGCAACAACTTTTTTTTTTTTTTTTTGGTTAGTCATGGGGCTTGAAATCTGGGCCTGGGCACTGTCCCTCAGCTCTTCAGCTCAAGGCTAGCACTCTACCACTTGAGCCACAGCACCACTTCTGGTTTTCTTGTGGTTTATTGGAGTTTCTTGCCTGGGCTGGCTCTGAACTGTGATCCTCAGATCTTAGCCTCCTGAGTAGCTAGGATTACATACAGGCGTGAGCCACCAGAACCCGGCTTACAACAACTTTTGAGTAGTTCCACTTCCTTTAAAAGAAGCCATGGAAATGCTCCTCTATGTAAAAACATTCCTCATAGATTACCTTTCATCAACATGGCAAAGAATCAGTAGGGAAAGAAAGGAAGAAGATGAGGGTAGGGAGGGGCACCTAAAAAAGACCTAAGCAACATGCTCCCAACTGCAAGTTGGGAAGAGCTAGATTAGGAAAGCTGGGCAGTGCTACCTTTGGGCCTTCTGTCTACAGGCTCTAGGGCTGCTGGATTTAGGGCCTGGCCACAGCTACCTGATCTTAATCCATAAGGATATAGTTGCTAGAATTCTTACTGTCCCAGCTCCAGTTAAAATTAGCAGAATAAACAAGAGATATTCTTCTGAATATTATACTCTATAGAGTTTAAAAATTAAAAAGCCTGAGACTTTTTCCTACTTATTCAAGGTTAAATGAACTCCCTTCAGAATATTTCTACATACATGTCAAACCTGCAAAATACTAGGCCTTTTCAATTACCCAACATTGATGGACTTCACCCACACTTCTGTTTCTAATGACCCCCAACTCTTCCTTCTAAGTCTAGCCCTTGCAGAACGTTTCCAGAGTTAGCCAAAAGGCTTGAGAACTATCCTATAAGCCAGATGAACAAGGAGGAAGTCACAAGTTTATGATACAAGGTACCACCCTCAGCTTTTACCCCGCCCACAGGCACACACCTACCTTGGGCTTGTCAGCAGAAAGGCTGGGATGCACACTTCTGTAGCCCTTGGCAGCAAGTGAAGAAGGTTGGGCATTCCCATTGGCATCAGCATTGGAAGAAAGTCTCCACTCATCTGTGATGAAAAATAAATACCTTATTAACTCAGAGGGAACAGTCTTCAACTTCATTGTAATTCAGGGGAACCTAGTGAAAAGTCAGTACAGCAAGAATGAAAAATAAGCCCTACCTGCTGAAGAATCCTCTGGCTCCAGGCCTGTATGTGGAGCAGAAAGGATGAAAACAAGAAGAAAAGGAGGAAAAGAGAAATGGTTACATTTGCGGGAAACTAGCATGAGTGATCCAGAAGGACGAAAATCCAGTACCCTGTTGTCTGACACAAAATGCCCTCAGTCACAATGGCCTGATTACCATAGGAACCCACTCTAAACCATGATGTGTTCTCAAGCACTGACCTTTGAAAATACAAGGCTCTCATTCACAGGAATGAAAAAACAATTGTTCCTTGACATTCTTATTTTACAGACAAAAAGGCAACTGAACTCTTTACTGTCCAGTCTGTACTCACTAACTCATTCGTCTTCCCCCAAGCCTGCTGTGGGCTCCAAAAGGACTGTTCCTCATTAGCAGGCTCAGCTAATTAACAGGCCCTAAAAAGGAAATGGCTAGGTTACTTCCAGGGGTGTTGGGTTAATGGTAGAACATGACTTAAGTCCCAAGGTAGCTGCTATGATGGGATTTTTTTCAGGGGAGGATGGAGGAAGAGGATCTTGCTTTTTGCTCTCACTATTAAATAAGCCACAGAAACACCCTGAAAGTTCATCATACTAAAATGTATCCATATATCCCTTCAGCCATTAAAACATTTTTATTGTTATTATAAAAGTAATGTACAGAGGAGTTACAGTTATATAAGTCAAGTAAAGAAGATATTTCTTAAGCTGGACGCCAGTGGCTCCTGCCTGTAATCCTAGCTACTCAGTAGGCTGAGATCTAAGGATCGAGGTTTGAAGTCAGCTCCGGCAGGAAAATCTGTGAAACTCTTATCTCCAATAAACCACCAGAAAACCAGAAGTGATGCTGTAGCTCAAGTGGTAGAGCACTAGCCTTGAGCTGAAGAGCTGAGGGACAGCACTCAGGCCCAGAGTTCAAGCCCCATGACCAACAACAACAAAAAAAGATTTTGTAGCCCTGAAAGACTCAGCCTTTCTGCAAGAAATATATACTTTATTCCTTACCAAAATATAATCTATTTCTGGCAGAAATATTTATTGTCTTTGCTCCCATCTGCTCTTACATGTGATCTTCTCTAGCCTATGGCTATAAGCTTCCTGGTTATTTCGTTATGTGTTCATTCACTTGGGCTATCATCAGTTTACTTATTTTTTTATTTTTATTTATTTATTTTTTTGCCAGTCATGGGGCCAGAACTCTGGGCCTGGGCACTGTCCCTCAGCTCTTGAGCTCAAGGCTCTACCACTTGAGCCCCAGCACCACTTCCGGCTTTTTCTGCTTATGTGTTGCTGAGGAATCGAACCCAGGGCCTCATGCATGCAAGGGAAGCACTCTACCACTGAGGCACCTTCCCAGTCCTCAGTTTACTTATTAATTGAAAGATGTCAGTTCTTCTTGAGATCTTCAGATAGTTTTCAGTCTGTGTGTTCTGGAAGAGCACGCAAGGCTTAGATGACAGGTTAAAAGCAGGTCTGTTGGTATTCTAAATCTTATTTGTTTATCTTTTATTTATGCTGTATAGTAAGAGAATTAACTCTACCCAAAAAAAGAGGCCTAACTTTTGCCTTAGGTTTCTGGCCACTGCTATGTCCTTGGGATGGCACCACTGATAGGGATGTTTTTATTTGTCCGGGGAGTTAAGCCATACCAATGTGATTTACAGTCGAGCTTTGAGCCAATAGAAGCTCCACCTCCTACTGCTGTGGAAGCAAGTCTGCCAGGTGATCCGTGGAGGATGTACTGGAGACCCAACAATAACTCTGGCCACAAAGGCTCGGGTAACTTCCTGTTGCAATACTTAGGCATACTGTTCATATATCAATACTGGGAAATAACATGGGGAAAGGACAACAGGAACCTCAGGGATTTCCCAGATTCCACGCTACACACTGTTCCCTTAATTGGTTTTAAACCCTATCCTTTTCCTATAATAAGCCAAAACTGCATCTTTTTAGCATCATCACTGAGTATAATAGTGGTTTGGAGAAACTCGTGAATTTGCAGTTGGGTATAAGAAGTGAGGGTACTTTCTTTTTTTTCTTTTTTTTTTTTATTGTGAAAATACCATACAGGGGTTACAATTACATAAGCAAGGTAATGAGTACATTTCTTATCAAGCATTGTTGCTTCCTCCTTTGTCTCCCCTTACCATCCCTTCTCGTCTCCCCCCCCCACCTTCTTTTCTTTGGTGGGGGGGGGGGTCCAGTCGTGGGGCCTGAACTATGGGCTTGGGCGGTGTCCCTCAGCTCTTCAGCTCAAGACTAGCACTCTACCACTTGAGCCTCAGCGCCACTTCCGGCTTTTTTCTTTTTATGTTGTGCTGAGGAATCGAACCCAGGGCCTCATGCATGCAAGGCAAGCACTCCACCACTGAGCCACCTTCCCAGCCCTCCCCACCCCCTCTCTTATAGGAACTTTTCTCTCTTTCTGGCCCTAATTCTCACACATGTACTCACTCATAAAAGATTGATTTAATGAGTATAGGAGGTACCTTTAACTATGATACGTTTGCTAATGCCATCCTGGGCAGTAAATATAAGAGTTAAAGCAGAGTTGATTGTGGACCTAAGAACCTTTTTTTTTTTTTTTTTTTGACAGTCCTAGGACTTGAACTCAGGGCCTGGGCACTATCCCTGAGCTTCTTTTGCTCAAGGCTAACACTCTACCACTTGAGCCACAGAGCCACATCTGGCCTTTTCTGTTTTATGTGGTTTTATGTGCAAGTTAGGCAAGCACTCTACCACTAAGCCACATTCCCAGCCCCAAGGACCCAAGAATCTTTATGTCTAAAGCTAAATAACCCAGTAGCACAGAATGAACAGCCTGCAAAGGCTATTGGACCTTGGTATCCAAGTCAGAAGCTGATGTGTCAAGCCAAAGGTCTTCAAGCCACACCAGAGAAGAACTTGGTGTTATACTCACTATCCCAAGTTCCCTGTCTCCTCTGAAAACAAAACATTATAACATAGGATATAGTTAGAGTTGATCTGAATTGACGTGGCTAACACTCAGACCTAATTGGACAATGAGATCAACCAACAAAAAATAAGGTATAGAATCTTCTTCCAGGGATAGGGAGTCCAGTATTAAGATTACTGCCATTCTTTTCAGATGATTCTGATCTAAGAACTACCACAGTCCACCATCAGAGATGAAGAGGCTGACCAGGAAACTAAGGCCCATGACCTTGGATCCAGTTACTACTTGAAAGCAGTGGGTCTACACAGTGGGTTTAAGTTGGACCTCTTTCTAGAGGCATGGTTCAGCATTAAAGAGCTTGCCTAGCAAGTCCCTGAGTTCAAACCCCAATGCCATCAAAATATAAAAAGTAATAGACAATTGAGCAACTGGGCATCTCCAAGGGCTCCAACACAGAGGTTTGGCAATCACACTTGCTTTCCAAATTGGCACTAGCAATCCATCTTAGTGATGTCTTCACTTGGAGACTGACAGCTCCCAAATCCACACCCTGGACTCTAAATTTCCAAGTATCTGTGAGAAATTTTCTCCTAGAAGCTCTTCCCTTCTAAAGAAACTTAAAATGTCTAAAAAGGGAATTCTACATTTCTTTCAACATCCTCATCTCCACAAAAACCATGAAGATACAGCCTGAATCCTGTCTCTCTTTGAGGCCTATCATTTTGTCTTCACAAAGATACTTTTTCCCTGCTCTTCATCCCCACTGCTATCACACCTAGCCTAGGCCTTCCACGCGTCAAACAAACATGATAGTAAACTTCTACCAGGCCCACAGTAACTTTATCATTAGGGGCCTGGCTCTGTGTTGAATACTTGAGATAGAAGTGCTCATCTAAACCCAAATAACTCCAGTATGACAGTTTCTACTTTACAGATGAGGAAAGTGAAGGTGAGCCTATATTGTCATACGCTCCAGAGTAAGTTCATTTCACCCTGCTTTGTATCCTCAGATTCTCTCCCCCACCAGGCTTTATAATTTTAATAAGGGAATGTGATTTTGTTGCTCTTTCCTCTACTCAGACACAACTTGTTCCCTCCCACCCAGACTTTTAGAGTATGTCTTCAATCAATGAGATTCTATTTGTGTGAACTTAATTTCCAAACTTGCCAAAGTCATGAAGCATTTTGGCACCAGTGAAAAAGGCTTGGGAAACTTCTTGCTCAAGCCCTCATACTTTTCATGGACCTTAAAAGTCACTGTGATTTATCATAGCTAGAAAGGAGAACAGTGGCCCATAAGCCCACTCTTAACTCTTCCTCTATTGCAACCAACTGCCTCTTGTCATCACGTACCTGCCTAGAGTTACTCTTTCCTCTTATTCCCCTTCTCTCTCCTTTCTTCATTCACTTCTCATTGTAAGTCCTACTGATGTGCTTAGCAGCTGGTATACAAGTAATTTACACTCATTTGGAATCAATTCTCTTAACTTATCAGGAGGAAGATAGTAAGATTACCAAAACATGTTCATGGCTGATAACTATCTTAATTCTTCCAAGTATTCTCATTTTAAAACAATTTAGTATAAATTTGTTGAAAGGGAGTTGGTGAAATATTTTTCCATCGTTAGCTGGTAGAAAATTTTAAGGCACAGTACTAACCTAGGATGCAACAGCACTTCCCAGACTGCCTCAAATCCATAAATAGTTCCATAGCATAAGCCCTGCACAGGGTGGGAAGAGGAGCACTTTGTTCTACACTAGTGCCAGCTTTAACCACTAGATGGAGCTCAAAGCTCCCTCTCCTTACCTCATTCTCAAGCTGAGGATGGGGTTCTTACTGAGTCATGAGCTGCAGGTATTTTTCCCTTTAGGTCATCCCTTAGGATTTTCTTGTCCCCACATGTTCTCTCTCTTGCGAGTGACTTTTCCAGTTAGGCTGAGTGTGGCTCACTTGGGTGAGCTTCAGAAAGATTATTTTGTCTCCTCATCCCGATATTACATACTCCCTCTGCTGCCTGGTCCTTACCCCAGGAGTGAGGCCTGCCACCTTTGCTTTCCTGGGAACTAGGTCCTGAGCTGCCCACACATCTCAGTGCCCTGGCTTCTTCTCCAGCCAGGGAGGGCCAGCCAAGTCACAGCCAGCCTCTCAGAATTGGATAAAAGCTCAGAGAAGACTAACCTTCAGCCCATCTCACCATGTGCTCCTCTGGCCATAAGCTACCTCTGTCCATACAGAGCAGCCTGCAGAGCACTGGCTCGTGGAAAACTGAAGCATACCTGTCAAGTCTAGAGCTTGGCCCATTTCCCATCACAGCAGAGACAAGAGCTAACAGTCTCAGGGTCTCTGAAGCCCAGCAGCCTCCCATCCTTCCTTTGTATCTGCACATTTCCTCCCAGTCTCAAGGATAGCACACCTGTCTTGCTTTCATTTTGTGGAGTTTCTGGAGGGCTTGCAGGACTACTGCTTGGGGTTTCCTTGTAGGAAGAGGAGGCACGAAGAGTCACCGCTCCTTTCCCAGTGCAGATTTTTGTAGGATCCATGTCTATAAAGAAAACAAAAGGCCAAAAGAGAGGCTTGAATCCAAGACCTCGGACATATTAAAAGGACAATCAGTTAGCAAATTGTTACAGCCAAGGAATGAGATGAATCTGGTGACAGCTATATAAAGTCTTCATACATATGTAGCTAACGAAAATTACTGTGTGTGGTAGAAAGGACCAAATGACATTTCCACAAGTTTGCCACAAATCACTAGGTTAGGAGGAAATGGAAGCAGTTCTGAGTAAATGGGTTACAATATCAGCTGAAAACCTTGCAAAATGAAAGCAGGTTTATTCCTCTATTAAATGCAATTTAGGTTGGTGAGCAGACTTCAGGCTAGTTAGTAAGGCATGGTTCAAGATAAAGGTTATGAAAGACCTTTCAAGCTTCCAGGTCATCCTTCTTAGAAAAGAGCAAGTTGGCCACATGGAGAATTAAAAGGACATTCTGAGGACAATCACAGATCCTTGCAGTTCTTCACTAAGGGAAAAAAAGAACTGGTCCTTCTGTCAGCAGGTTAAGACCCCTGAAACAATGAGACAGGAGGCACTGCTCAGGGGTAAGAGCTTCCCATTCCAAATGCAATAGGAAACTCTGCACAGGATCCCACCCTCCCCCACAGCTTCATCAGAGCCTAGCAACAGAGACCCAGGCCATTTGTGAGAGTTCCCTTGAGAAGAATCTCAAAATACAGTCCTCCTCTTATTCAAAAGGGGTGCATTCCAAGACCCTCGATGGATGCTTTAAACTATAGACAATACTGACCCCTGATATGTTCTGGGTTTTCCTATACACACATAGAAATCTTGGATTAGCTTAACTTGTTAATTAAGCACACTAAAAGATTAACAACAGTAACAAGAAGTCACAATTCTGTAACTATACTATAATAAGTTAAAGTTATTGAAAACTTGTGAATTATTTCTAGAATTTTTCAACCACATTTTTTTTGGGGGGAGGGGTCCCGTCGTGGGGCCTGAACTCTGGGCCTGGGCACTGTCTCTCAGCTCTTCAGTACAAGGCTAGTGCTCTACCACTTGAGCCACAGCGCCACTTCAGGTTCTTTTCTTTTTGCTTATGTGGTGCTGAGGAATCGAACCCAGGGCCTCAGGCATGCAAGGCAAGCACTCCACCACTGAGCCACCTTCCCAGCCCAACCACATATTTTTCAACCACAGTTAAATGCAAGTAACCAAGAGCACATAGAAGTAACACTGCCACTGAGGGGCCTGTTACAAGCTTCCAAAGGTCCAGATGCCTGTCCTCCAGGACTATCACTGCAAAGGAGGCTGGAAACTGGTACAAACCATGAAATTCCAGAAGGCCATCTGCCAAGTGGTTCTTTATGTGTAGTGGAGCTAAGCTGAATTCCACACTTTTTTGTTTTTCAACCTGTTCATAGCCTGGATCCCTAATGTAAAGTTTCCATGATTAGGATTGTAGCTTAAAGCTCAGGTGTGTGTTTGTTTGGGCAGGATGAAGGCTTAACATATAACTTAGCAAAGCCTCTTTTCTCCTTGCTCTCCATTCCAGCAGCCTTTCCCAACAAGTCAGAACTAACATTAGTGCTGTGGAGGAGAACCAATCTGCTCCCATCAGTCCTCTTCCATGGAAAGCAGAGCACAAAACCCCACCATGCATGACAGCAGGCACCTCAGTCAGTGTCTGACCATATCAAGAGGACAAGTGTCTGATGTCACAGAACTTCTAAGAAAACTAGCTCATGGTCATTTCAAAGACATGAGAGGCTCAGAAAGAATGACATTTCCCCATTTGTTAGGAAATGGAAAGGCTTGGAAAATATTATATTAAGTGAAGTAAGCCAGGCCCAAAGAAACATAGGTCCCATGGTTTCCCTTATATGCAATATCTAGTATATATATGAGTCAAGCGGAAAAGGTCAGATAATGTGATGTTAGGAAAACAATCCCTTAAATATGTATTTTAATGTTTTTTTCTTTCATGCATGTGTTTCTAACGCATTTATAAGATTATTTCTTTGTTGCTTTGTATGTCCCTCCCCCACAGTGTAACCCCTGCTTTCGCTATATTTGATGTCAGTATAACTTGTGGAGGAGATGGGGACAAACAAGTCGTTTAAGGATTCAGGTGGACCTGTTGCAACAATGAGAAGTACAAAATGTCATGTCAAAAACGAGCTTTACAATGTCGGTGTGGGGGGGGGGAAGGATTGGGTGGGGGGAAGGGAGGTGAAGGGTAAACAAAGGAGGAGGCTGCAATGCTTGGTAAGAAATGTATGCATTATCCTGCCCATATAATTGTAACCCCTCTGTACAGTATGTTCTCAAATAAAATAAAATTAAATTAAAAAAAAAAAAAAAAAGACATGAGAGGCAAGCTGGGCAAATCTAATAGCTCAGGTGAACGTTCCTGGACAGACTAGATTAGCCCTACCTCTGAAATCATCATGGGCTTTCCTTGGTCCCACTTGGGACAGAGGAGGCTATGAGAAAGCTGACATCTGCACAGCATGTACCCCCACCTTTCTAAGAGGCGGCGATGCTCTAGGAAACAGGCTTGAGCATCACAAAGAAAAGCTGCTGGGCCTCTAAGGCAGCAACTTCAAATTTAAAGCAACTCAGAGGTTTCCTATGAAGAAAAGGTTAATCCTAGGAGAAACTGGACTGATTTTTACTATTAAGTGTCAAGAGTTTCAAATCTCTAGAGAAAGCAGGAGAAAACCATGCATCTAGGTGTCATCTCAGCCTCTGTACCAAAGAAGAGAGGCCAATGCCTTCCCCTACTCGCTGGCTCCCAGAAACACACACATATGTGCTCACGTGTGACACACACACGCACGCACACATGCACACACATACTCACATGGAGGATGGGGAGAGGAAGGAAGAAAGGAAACAAAGGAAGTGAAAGGGAATGCTGCCTAAACCTGCAAGAATTAAGCCTCAAAGTGTATGTTAGAAGGAAAAAAGAAAGGAAGCCATGCATGATCTAACAATTAGAAACAACAGTAGGATACCACCCCAAATGAGAGGTACCTGAAGGGAGTACCAGGCCTGAAGTGTATTTCACTGTCTTCACAGGAATTATTTTAACAGCAGAAATAGAGCATGTGCGTAAAGGGTCGGTGATTGCTGAAAACACAAAAGGGTAAATAGTGCATCCAGAAAGAACAGTTGGGAAACCCTCAGGCAGTTAAGGAACTGAACAGACAATAGGAGGAAATTGCCTACATGGAAAGAACAATACAGAGAGCAGTAGATGTAATCATTAAAAATAACCTGCTTTCTCTCTTCAGAGTTCTGAGCCAAGGCAGCAGAAGCCTTCCTTCCAACCACCACCCAAATACAGTTGGTCAGAGTTTAGCAGTGCCTCCTGCCACATCAGGAGCTTGCCAAGGCTCTGGACAAAGAGATGTGCAGAGACACAGATGGCCTGGCAAATGGAGGACAGGGAGTACGGTCAGGGTCCCAGGGAACCCTGGAGAGAATGCTGGGTGGTTTACTGAGCACTGAGGGCTATGAGGAGAAGGCTATGGTCCAAAGGTTCCAGACAAGTGTAGGAAGAACAGGAACAAGTTCACACAAGTTGCCCGGTCCCTTCAGCCCTCACAGCTGCTTCCCCCAGATCATATCTTCTAGAGGCCATGTGCCCATTCTGACAACCACTGCCCTTTGGCCCGGAGCAAATCAGAACCTCCATCTGTTGGGAAGCAGATGGTCTTACTTAAACCCACCCTCTCCTGAGAAACAGGTGCCAAGTGTCCATGTGCATGCCCAAGACTCTGGGCAGTCCCCCAGTACACAGTGCTGGATCCTGACATCCAGCTGAACTAACGCAGAACAGGGATCACTGCTTAGGACATGAGAAAAGCTGCAGTCCTCAGTCCACCGTGATGCTCAAGCTTATTCATCTGCCCTGCCCCTGAGTTCCCTGCCTGCCAACCCTCTCATCTCTGTGGTGAGCACATCTCCATGCCTTTGTGAGCCTCCCCCATCCTCTCTCACAGTGGCAACACATAAAGAATGGAGCCTAAGTAGCTCCAGAGCCACAGATTAACAAGGGATAGGCCTGCTTGGAAATTAAAGAGTTTCTTTGTTGAATTCACATTATGCTGGTGTGATTATTGAGGTTAGGAGAGGGCCAGGAGGTACCTCAACCGTGAATAGTGTCCCTCCTAGCCTATTATACTACTAATCCATAAGGAAGTCTTATGGAATATGACTATCAAAAAGTAAGTTCAGCTGAGCACCAGTGGCTCATGCCTGTAATCTATTTGCTTAGGAGGTTGAGATCTGAGGATCACTGTTTGAAACCAGCCCAGATAAGAAAGTCTGTGAGACTCTTATCTCTAATTAGCCTCCAAAAAGTCAAAAGTGGATCTGTAGCTCAAGTGGTAGAGTGCTAGCCCTGAGCAAAAGCTCAGAGACAACACCCGGCCCTGAGTTGAAGCCCTAGGACCAGCAGCACCACAACCACCACCCCTCCCCTGCCAAAAAAAAAAAAGTTAAAGAAAATGATAAAGCCAGGAGCTGGTGGCTCATATCTATAATCCTAGCTACTCAAGAGGCTGAGATCTGAAGATCACAGTTCAAAGCCAGCCCAGGTAGGAAAGGCCATGAGACTCTTATCTCCACATAACCACCAGAAAACCAGAAGTAGAGCTGTGGCTCAAAGTGGTGGAGTGCTAGAGACCCTAAGTTCAAGCCCCACATCAGACAACAACAACAAAAAGGTAATTCCATGCATTAAAAAAAAAACTTCTATAGTAATCCTACTTGCTGTACCTTATCACCTGGGAGAGTGAATGGGTGGAAGATTCTTGTAACCGGTTTCAGAGGAAGAAACAAGAACTCAGTGAACCATTCTGCCACTCCATTCTCAAATGCAGAGGTTTAGTCTAGAGGTCCTGGCTCCAGGTTCAGTGACCTTGAAAAGTTACCTTGATGACCTTCTGGTTACACCAGCCCCCTTGTTTCCAGCCAGCTAAAGATGAGTCTTAACTCATGAGCGAGTAGAACTCACCTCTGCAGACCACTCTCCTCATACCACCTTAGTTCTCTTGTGTAAATGAATTTACAAGAACAAAGCTGATAGCCCCAGCGCCCACACTTCTCACTGGATGTTTATGTACCCCCTACAACCACTGCACAAGCACTGCCCCTACATTTTCCCTAAGTGAATTTAGTTAGATTGCCCAAGACCAGGGAGGCAGGGAATGAGACAGCATAAGCCACCTGGGCTCACTGGTCCCCATCTCCTATTCTGTGTCTTTTCTCTTCAACAGCGTCCTTCTAAGTCCACAACTTGCCTTGTCTCAGATGGAGTACTTGGCTATACCAGATGTAAGTTACAAAGGCCAAACATGTCAAACTCTCTGAAGTGTTCTTTGGGAGCTGTTGTGTCTCCCCACACTAGGAGTTTTGTTCACAAGATAATTGGACCCAGGATGAGAAGCAGGAATAAGTACTGCAGATCATCAAACTGCCACAAATTCTGGCACTTATCTGTAGATAAGAGAACTCAACTCTCAGAGATAAAAGCCTCCCCCTCCCCCAAAATGTCTCTGTTGGTGGGAAATAAAACCAGAATTGAACCTTATCTATCTCATTACTAAAACTCAAATGCCATTACCCACATGACAAAAGTGATACAAGGTCAGGATGACCTCAAAAGGTAATCTTATCCATCATTTATAGCTCTTGTTATAAAATTTTAAAAACTGAAATTTTGAGGGCTAGGGTAATAATTCAGTGAATAGCACCTGCCTATCCACTGAACAACTATATACTACAATATTGGTGAGAAAAAATATGAGGAGATGCATAAAGCTAACCCCACTAAAACAATTTAATGATCTGGAGTCTTGCTTCACAGAGCTGTGAACAAGTGCCTGTTTATTACAAGCCAAAGTAAAATGCTGGATGTGAGATTTTAGGCTGGTGAGTGCCACAGGCACCATGAATACTACACACTTGTGACCATGTTTGCCCCATTATCACAGTGGCCTTTTGAACTAGGGACAGCTTTCAATACATAACTTCACAGTAGGAAATGGGAGTTTTAACCCGTAAGAAGCAAGAACATGCTCCAGGTCTCAGAAAGTCAATGTAGCAACCAGCTTTCCAGTTTGCAACCTGTTTAAGCCAACGATGTCCTTCCTAGGCAGGTGAGGTAACCCTAGCCCAAAATACCCTGTACTTTCTAGAAATGTTTTTTTTTTTTTTAATTGTCTGTCCTGGAGCTTGAACTCAGGGCCTGAGCACTGTTCCTGAGCTTCTTTTGCTCAAGGCTTGCACTCTACCTCTTAATCCACAGCACCACTTCCAGCTTTTTCTGTGTATGTGGTACCAAGGAATCGAACTTAGGGCTTTATACATGCTAGACAAGCACTGTACCACTAAGCCACATTCCCAGCTCTAGAAATACTTTTTAAGACCAAGCTGGATGTCTCTTAATGAAACTTACCTTTGTCTTGCCCATTGCTGCTAGATGCTAAGCCATTCACAACAGCTTTAGAAGTGCCAACATCACATTCTAAAAGAAAGAAAAGGCATGAGGCTATGGCACCATCTACTGAGTCCCACAAGGTACATGGTGCTGGGAAGAGAGTGGAGATACAGCAGAGGAATCCTGTCCTTACATTCCTCTCAGTGACTCTATCCACTCCTCCCTCTGTCCCCCCCCCCCCACCGCCCCACTCCCATCAGCTTTCTCAGGTCTGGGTTAAACTCCCCAGGCCATCATGGGAGAGGTCTGAGAATCACCTGTGGCCTGAATCAGGCAGGGTATAAAAGCTCTTTGGAGATGGAAGTGTGCAATAGGTGATATAGATTCGCTTCCCCCTGGTATGACTGCTTAGCCATCATTTTAATAAAACCTGCCTAGCTCCCTCAAAATGGCACCCATGTCCCACTTGTTAAAGTCATTCTGTCCTATCCATGAAGTGATTTTAGACAGTACCCATCCTTTCCTTTGTCTGTTTTTATTAGCTATAACTAAAGTAAAAGGAATTTTAGCAAAGTGTTTAAAAATCAATAAACCTATCATCTCAAACTTAAGCCAAGTATGCTGTTATTCAACAGCCTCTGCCTCCATTCCACTCCACCCTAGTTGGATGACCGTGGACTAATCATTCACACTGCAGGCCTCAGGCTCCCCATCCATATAATGGAGACAGTAATAAGAGTTCGATCTTTGTAGATTTCCAGGAGAATGATACAAGATCTTGTAATTAAAGCATTTCCCTCAGTGATTGGCAGGTCAGGCCCAAGTTGAAATAAATATAATCCATCATTTTCATGCTGCTTTTTCCAGCATAGGCACAAATATATACTTGCTATGTGGCCACTGTCTTTCCAAATGATCATTTTAGAGTGGCATACCATCCAATCAAGAAAATACACACAGTGTACTTGTGCTTTCTCCACCTTCACAGAGGTGCTATTTTTGTTTCCTTCAAATTAAGATAGAAATTCCCAAGGCGAGGATCATCAGGTCAAAGGCCCAGAGTTTTGGAATCTCCCTAGGCAAAGCTTCCTCCCAACACCTGCCTGAGAGATTCTGAGTGGAAATCCCATGGGCATTGCCGCACCCTTGCCCTTCTTCCAGGCCTGTCTTCCTCCTCCCGCCCTGTAAATGCCAGATGCAGCAACACTGGTAAACCTAAGATTGGAAGAGCAAATACTTAGGTTGCACATCCAAAGTTAAAGAACAATAAAAGCTCCAGCTTTTATTGGTATCAGCCCCTAGGCACTCTCCCTAAGCTTCTTTTGCTCAAGGCTAGCACTCTACCATTTGAGCCACAGCGCCACTTCCCGCTTTTTTCTGTTTACGTGGTACTTAGGAATTGACCCAGGGCTTTATGCATTCTACGCAAGCAATCTGCCACTATGCCACCTTCCCAGTCCATACACATAATTTAAAAGCAGCAAAAGCTGAGTTACAAGTTTCAAAAAGCAGTACTTGGAAGAGGAAGGGTGTGTAGCTTTTTCATATAGAGCCAACATATTTGGAAAGGAGGGAGAAGCCAAGTCCTTCTTTTCACTCTTCACAAATGAGAACAGAGAGAACCTACAGATGGAGAACTTATCCACCATGCCATAGGCACCAGGTTCAGCACTTGAGGAGCATAACTTCATTCAATCCTCATGGTGCTTTAACTTCACCTAGAGTTGTGGGCATGGCACTCAACCTCTTTGTTTCAGTTTTGTCACTTATACTGGGTTGAATGCCTTTCTAGAACCTTGCAGCCCATGCCACACACAGTACAGTATATGAGGCTGGGCTATGGCCCTGAGCTGCTCTACCTCACAACTCTCCAACCATACACAATCCAGCACAACTTCATACTGTAAGGAAGTATGTAAGGAAGTGGAAAGGGCTTGTTTTTAATCTATGAAGGTTTCCAAGTGTACTCAACACACTACAGGGTTAGGAGACCCCTGAATGAGAGACCCACATAGTCATCCTCGCCTTCCCACCAGCCCCCTCACCAGAACCTGCTCAGAAGCAACCAAACAGGGCTTTAGTCTTCAGATGGAAACTTCTGGGCTGGAACACTGACAAATCTTAGCTCCACACCCAGCAGGGATCAGTTCCCCTCTGTCTTCCCTGCCCTGCACTTTCCACCCCAGCCCAAGACTAAAAATATTCAAAACTAACCAGTTGTTTAGATCATGATTTTTAAAAGCATAAGCAAAGCCCGGATGAAGGAAGTATTAGATTAGTTCTCACTCTAGGTCCATTATGGTCAATCTTGTCTAGTTCTGCAGCAGTCACATGGATTAAGAAATACCACTGAGGTGTATACATATGTCAAAATATATCAAATTTCATACTTAAAATAGCTACAGTTTACTGTGCACCAACTATATCTCACTAAAAAGAAGGATGGTTATTGTAAAGATCAGAACATAGTGTTCCCAAAGTGTATATAGCCTATTGAGAGATACTGTAGGTAATCAAAGCATCATTCACAATTTAGGTGGCAACCATGACTTTTCGGCAAATTTTTGGTGCTCAACTAGGTTTTGAGAAATAAAAAATAAAATGCGATTGAGGACTTCAACATTATGTGGGACATCTGGGTAAAGTGCCCAGTTATGTAGATGTGACCAGAGAAAGGCAGGATTGAAAGTGACTTACCAGAGCTCATGGTGGTGTCAGGACAACTCTTCTACAACTGGGGCTCTGACTGCTCTGCAGAAAAACAAACACCACACAATGGAATCAATGAATGGCAGGTTCAAGATAAATCCCCATGGTTTGCATTAAAAGTGCAAACACTGTAACCCTTAATAAACCAGGGCTAAACTAGATGACACTTGGCCAGGCTCCTGGTTTGTGGCTGGTAGTGTACTTTTGTGGCCCTGGGCACATCATTCAACCTCTTTACCTTAGTGTTGCCACCCATACTGGGTTTAGATGCCATCCCAGACCTCCTCTAGTTCTAAGTCTACCAAAAATCTTAAGTTATATGAATGCATGTGGTTGAAGAAGAACACTTAGGAAAGTAGAAAGCACATTTTAGAGGAAGAGGAAGAAGAAGAAGAAGAAGAAGAAGAAGAAGAAGAAGAAGAAGAAGAAGAAGAAGAAGAGGAGGAGGAGGAGGAGGAGGAGGAGGAGGAGGAGGAGGAGGAGGAGGAGGAGGAGGAGGAGGAGGAGGAGGAGGAGGAGGAGGAGGAGGAACAGGGGGGGGGGAGGAGAGGGAGGGGGAGGGGCAGAGGGAGGGGGAGGGGCAGAGGGAGGGGGAGGGGAGAGGGGGAGGGGGAGAAGGTAGTAAAACCACAATACAAACTGATCACCAGAAGTACAAGGAAATGTCCTAAATGCTTTTTGTATGTAAATTCACCTGATCCTTAACCTATGAGGTAAGCACTAATAGTTAGTGAAGAGCAGGTGGCTGTTATACACAGGGGTCTACTTCTGGACTCTGTTTAGTTCCATTGACTAATCTACCCAATAACTCACTGATTTGCCGACTACAGTTTTAAACCATCTTGAAATTAGTAAATAGGAATCTTCTAACTTCATCTTATACAAAATCATTTGGGCTATTTTGAGCCCTTGGTATTTTCATGTGAGACTTTAAATTGTCTTATTAATTTCTACCATTTTTTAAGTCTATTATAATTCTGATTAGGGTTTTGTTGACTCTGAGATCTAGACAAAACTAATACTTTTAGCAATATTGAGTCTTCCAATGCATAAAGACTCAATGGCTTGTTTCTGACTTGAGCTAAGTCTTCCTCAATTCTCTCAGCAATGTTGCATAGTCTTCAAAGTAGAGGTCTTATATATAGTTTGAAGAGTGAGGCCTTACTGAATATATCTGCAGGCTATATAATTAGAAAAGTAAGTCTTTGGGATACACAGAACCTTTACTTATTTAGTTAGCCAGTACTAGGACTTGAACTCAGCACCCTACCCTTTTTTTTTTTTTCTTAAGGCTGGCACTCTACTACTTGAGCCACTGCTCCACTTCCAGGCTTTTGTTAGTTAACTGAAGATAATAGTCTCATGGACTCTGCTGCCCTAGCTGGCTTCAACCCATTATCCTCAGATCTCAACCTCCTCAGTAACTAGGATTACAGGTGTAAGTCACCTGCAGCACTCTTCAGAACCTTGATACTTATAGTCTGAAGACCAGCAGCACTGGCATTAGCCAAGAGCTTAGTAAAAATTAAGGTAGAACTTCCACATCTCTTGAGTAGGAATCTGAATCTTAATGAGATCCCAGGTTGTCTCTTTGTTCTTCAAAGTGTTGGCAGCAATGATGTAGAGGAAATTCCTGGTTCCTTTTGTAATGGGATTGTCAAGATAGGACGTGGGGGTCTGCATCGGAAACATACTTTAGTTTCCTTTTATAACAAGCTGAAATTGGACATTGGTTTCCTTTGGGTTGCTTTGCTCACTGTCTTTGGAACTGCCAGAGTAGAATGGTAGGAATTGAAAGTCCTAAGTCCTCTCAGCCTATATCAGCAGTGACTTGCTTCTGTCACTGGCAAATATACCTGAGTACCATTTGATGTTCACCAGCCGCCTAAGCTGTGAGGATATTTGTTCTTTCAATCCAACAACTCACCACCTGCTGTGTACTACATGGCTTCCAGCCCTAGAGTTATATGCTCAATTTGCCTCTCAGGACCAAAAGGACTGGTTTGGAATCAGCAGCAAAAGCTTCCATTTTAGATGTAATTTTATGATCAATTTTATGATGGTAAGGTTTTATTTACTCAATTTTTAAAGCATGGTTGAAAAACTCTTTGTGATTCAACTGTGAAGGTATCTTAATAGGAACTATTTTTATTCCTTTGCAGTCCTTTCTAACCTTTAGATTCATAAATAGCATTTACACAGTTGTAAGCCAATGTGGACAGCTTTGTGATCTAATTTTTTTAAACAGCTACTTCATGAGCATTTTTCTGGATTTTGACACGGTCAGCGTATCTATTACTTTAATGGTTGTATACTATTTCATTTTAATAGCACTTTATGGTCCATTTACCAATTCCCTCTGTAGAGTTTAGTTTAATTCATCTTAATTTTTAAAATAAGTACAAAGCACAAGGCAACTTAGGCTAGGATAGAAATGAATAGAGATGATGTAGGTATCTTATGAACCAAGCTATACTCCTCAATATAGAAATTACTAACTTCTAAGTGCTAGTCCACTCTTCCTTACAAACTAAAGTAGTTATGGTCAGGGATAAGATTCAGAATATTTAACCATCAGATTTGTGTGTGGCTCATGCCTATAATCCTAATTACCTGGGAGTCTGAGGATCACGATTCAAGGCCAGACTAGGCAAAAAGTTTGCAAGACCTCATCTCAAGCAATAAAAAGCCTGGTGTGGTGGCATGCACCTACCACTGGGTAGGTGGCTACAGCTGGCAAAAAGCAAAACCCTTTCTTGAAAAAAACATGAAAAGCAAAAAAAGGTTCCATATCTTAGCTATAGTAAATAATGCTGCAATAAACATAGTTGTGCTGGTAGCTTTAGTATAGCCTTGTTTGTGATCATTTGGGTAAATGCCCAAAAGTGGGATTGCTGGGTCATATGGGAACTCTATGTGGAGTCTTTTGAGGAACGTCCATACTCCTTTCCAAAGTGGTTGAACAAGTTTACACTCCCACCAACAATGTAGTAGGGTTCCCTTTTGGCCACCTCCCCTCCAGCATGTACTGTTATTAGATTTCTTGACTAAAGCCATTCTAACTGGGGTAAGGTGGAATCTCAATGTTGTTTTGATTTGCATTTCTTTGATATGGAACCAACCCAGATGCCCCTCAGTAGATGAATGGATCAAGAAAATGTGATGTATACACACACACACACACACACACACATATCACATACACACACACACAATGGAATTCTACACCTCCATCAGAAAGAATGACATCACCCCATTTGTTAGGAAATGGAAAGACTTGGAAAAAATTGTATTAAGTGAAGTAAGCCAGGCCCAAAGAAATATAGGTCTCATGGTTTCCCTTTTTTGCAATAACTAGTATATGTCTAGGACAAGCAGAAAAAGTCAAAAGCTATGTACAATTGACCATATAAGATGATGTTAAGTGAAATGAACCCCAAGACAGGGACACAAGAGGTTTTATCTTTGTCGCTGTTCTTCTTAATGTACTTATAATGTACTATGTGATTTTTTTGTTTCTTTTGTATGTTCCTCTCACATGGTATAACTCGTTTTCACTGTATTTGATTCCAGTGCCCTGCATCTTGTATATACACTTCACTTTTCTAATTTGGGGAGGGGAAGGGAAAAAACAAAATGCTTAAATAGGGATACAGGTTGACCCATTTTAACAATGAGATGTACAAAACACTATGTTGAAAACGAAGTTTACAACTTCAGTGGGGGGTGGGAGTGGGGATGGGGGGCAGGGAGTAGTTGGGGAGGTGGAGAAGGGATGGTAGGGGAAAAACAAAGGAGGAGGCAACAATGCTCGATAGGAAATGTACTCATTACCTTACTCATGTAACTGTAACCCCTCTGTGCAGTATTTATACAACAAAAAAGTATAAAAAATTAAAAAAGCAAAAAAAGGATGGGAACATGGCTCAAGTGGTAGAAAGTCTGCCTGTTAACTGCAAAGACCTGAGTTCAAATCCCAGTGCTGCCTACATATATGCCTATAAATATATACCAGCACTTTGTCAGACACATGCTCGCATGTATGTCTGCATGTGTGCGTGTATGTATATGTTTATAGACACACACCATCATTTTTGTTATAAATGTTCACTAGATTGCAGATGTAGATGTAGTAGATTGTAGATTATAGATGTGGCTGACATTGATTACTTAGTGGTTAGGTGGTGACAGGGTAAAAGAGAATAGATACAGCATGTTATGAAACTATTTCAATATTTTAAGAAGTAGTGTGACACCGGTAGGGGGCAATGATAACACAGTAAGCACCAGATCTGCATAGAAATAATTTTTAAGTAATAGGTTCTGTAGCATAGTTCTACTGAAACTACAACAGGTAATGCGGAGAAGCAGGAAAGCATAAAACAAAATGGAAACTAACAGCAAGGGCAGCAGTGGCAGCTGCACCATAACATCCTACTCCGACCACTCCAGGGCCTGATTCTGGCTCTGAGTCTAGCCACCTCAGCTCCCTTGGATCCTGTTTCAGTTCTGAGTGCACCTCTCTAGCCTTCCATCATCTCCTTAACTACCCAGTATCTTGCCAATAAGCCCCTTTTTTCAGTTGGAGGTCATACAAGCTGGGTTCTGGTTATTTGTTAGACAAACCTTTGAGTACTAAAAGATGGGAGGGAGGAGTCTTGAAGATCTCTGAAGAGAAGACCCTTTCTCTCTTAGAAGTGAGGTTGGCCAGACCTCAATCACAAGGACACGACAATGGTTTTTATCTTTAGATCCCCAAGAGCACACTCACAATTTAGGCAGCAAGATGTGCCTAGGCCAAAATCAAGTCCCTGCTGTTTTTTTAGAGATAGTACAAGATGTTTTGATCAGATTTGGAACTGAAGTGTTTGTTTTACATAAAAACCTTTGACACATGATTTATTTTTAAATAAAGCTGTAAAGAATTTGATTGGTGAACTACATGATAGCACATCTTTGGAATGTCTCCCACACATCCCTGCAAAGGAACCAGACACCTTTGGGTAAAAGCCAAAATGAAGAACAGTGTCATCTAGTGGCAG